TGTTATTTATAAGCGTTTTATAAAAGACTTAGTACAATGTGACACAAGCACACACCTGTAGCAGGTAATAGTAATCATATAGACGTTATGCACCATACCATACCATGGCAGCCCATAAAAATAGCCACCTTAAAATGTAGACAGGCCAGGCTGGTTCTACTAAAACCATTTGGCTGCTTTGGATTGAGAATCGCGCCAGAAGATTGATCGATGATTCCACGTTCGCTGAAGCTACGCTCCAGGGAATTGATCACCGCCGTTAAGTGGCTTCTGTGTCGGTATTCCACAGAGTACACCTCGGGGAATACGACGTACGATTTTATTCCAACAGAACCCCTTTCTGCTTTGAAGCAACCAAACGAAGAGTAGCGTGCTTTCTCTTAAACCATCCCTTAACCTTCCCCAAATTCTACTTGGCCATACACGAGTTTTGTGATTTGTGACTCTTTTCGATTGCAAATAGTCTAAAGTAGAACTCACTTAACCCTATACTTGGCAAAGACGGTTTTGGTTAATAATTGTGATTTACACTATAAATATTGGATTAAGGACGAATAAACATCATGTAAAAAATACGAAAAAAAATCTTAGGTATGTAGTTTTGGAAATATAGTATGTATCTTTAAGTGCACATTGCCAGCTTTGTAGGAAATTAAAACATGGTTTATTTGTTAGTAAAAATTAGTTACATAAATGAAAATTACTACAAAACCTTAAGCTATTCCTTATTTGAGAAATAAAAATTAATTATCTTTTACAAAAAACTGAAAACAAAGTAAAAAAGCCACTTCAAAGTCTGTAACGCCTTGCAAGTATAGCTGCATTTGGATGTATGAGAACCACTCCATCAGCGTCGTTGGAGTACCTCCTGAACCTCACACCCCTCTTACCATCCAGTAGAAGCAAATGTAGATAGGACACAGGAATCTTGCAAGACCATTAAAAAAATACGAGGGATATTGACGCCAACTGGTACCGAACTGTGTTCACGTCTTCGATTGAAGATAATTTGATACCCAACTTACAGTGGAAACGCAAGATAGCGGAAATGGGTCTCTAGAACTCTCTGGGAAACTATGCAGCAGTCGAACTGGCTGAAATTCTTCAATCACCAGCTTTATAACCAGAAGCATGCAGCAGCCTGAACAGGCTGCTCGCTTTTTGGGGGTGATCTGGGTTGTTTGGAGTAGGAAGATAACCACCCAAGAGAATCAGTAGGCTAAGTGCGACTTCTAATTCATCATCTGAAGTGTCACCGCCACTGACTTTCGACCTGGTTCCAGATTTTGGAACCAGAACCAGCATTTTGCGCGCCTGATTTTGTTGCTGCAGCACAAAGTTGTCCAAAAAACATAATTTTTTATTACATGAATTTAAAACTCACATCGGCATATAATTTACAGCTTTAAATATTACTAACTAATAACATGATCCCTTTTTTATGCGATAAAATCTATGAAAAAAATCATAAAATAAATTCAACGAAAACCTGGCAATGTGTCTTCAAGGATACATTCAAAATTGAAAGTAAATCATTACGTATCTGACAGTGTGCATTTAGAGATACATTCGGACAATCCGCATCGTACAAGAATAATTATGCAAGTTTTGGGATGAAAAAACAGCACTATCATCAAGAAACCTTTATTTACTATCCATATTACTACAGATAATCACCAATATTCTTTGAAAAAAACACAGAAAATAATAAAAATTATTAGCCGATGCGTAGATGCCTGTCAACGGTCTGACATTTTGAATATTACTATTAAATCTGTGCAGCCTGTAGCGATTCTATACTGTGTAACACAATCTGTAGTATTTGGGCTAACGTTATATTAAAAAAACATTTAAAAATAGTTTTCGGTTTCTCCCCCATATTTTTGTTTTGGTCAACGTATCTCTAAATGCACAATGCCAAGAAAAGGGTTAATGCAGTTACTTCCCCCAATACTATGGTATCTGATCTTATTTTTTTTTAAATAACGACTTAATCATTCTCAACATAGGGACATGGAGTAAGTAGTAATTGGGTTTTTGTTAATTATCTGTTTTTAATAATAATATAATATCTATAATAAAAATGAAACCCGTTTTCCGTTGTCACGACATAACATGAAAACGGCTTGACCGATTTGGCTGATTTTTTTTTGTAGTTTTCTAATACTTTGTACAAGGTTTTTACGGAAAAAAATATAAAGAAAATCTCTACGCTAAGGTGGTACGAAGTTCGCCGGGTCAGCTAGTTTATGATAAAAAATAATAATAAAACCGCAGGAACAGCTAGTGGCAAGCTGTAGGTGCGCGGCGACACCTCGGACCCCGATCTCCAGAGGGCCCGGATTGATTTGGCCCTCGCCTCCTGGTTTGCCTTAACCGGCCGGCCAGGAGTGGAGTAGCAAGACCTATGCTCCAGGTTGGAAGTGTAAAATGTCATAAAGCCGGGGGGGGGGCATTGATTTTGATACCCCTATACTCGATAGGTTTTGACGTGGTTTTGAGATAAAAAAACATTTTTGAACACAATGTTATGGCGCCTAAAATCGACCATTTTATTATTTTTTCTTTTTCAATTTTAATGTATACTCTTTTTTACCCAGGAAAATGGCCTATCCATCCCTACCGCCGGCTGGGGGACGGCAGGTTATGTAGGGATCGAACCCACTAAAAACCTGGAGTGTTCCCTCTGCCGCATAGTGGTCGGCGCCTTGGGTACTAGAAACGACCTACCCTGTGCCACTCTCACAATAAAGACGAATTTAACGACACCTCTCACCCTGAAATCGATCAAACCGTTTAGGCTGTAGAGCGTGCCAAAGAAATATAATACATACACACACTCAGAAAACATAACCCTCCATCTGGAGCAGTCGGGTAAATTATCTAGACACGCGGCAGCGCAGCGTGCAAGCCAAGTTCAAGCAGAGGTTAAAAAAAATACCTACAATAGTTGAATAACTTTATAACGGAACCCTTATAGATTCGTCATGTCTGTCCGTCCGTCCGGTATGTCACAGTCACTTTTTTCCGAAACTGTAAGAGCTATGTTGAAACTTGGTACGTAGATGTATTTTTTTACACACAAATATTAGTACTCAAACACAATTTTTTTTTTCACCACACCCGTTACATGAGGGTTCTATGGAAAAGTCTTCAAAAGATATTGAGGTTTCTATTTTTTTTTTTCTTAAGTGGTAACATTTTTTGCGGTGAAGCCCACGGCCAAGCATAATTTTTGTATTGAACTTGGCTCTGCTTTTTTACATTTAAGTTTTTGGTGGGATAAAAATAAATGATCCGCAAGAAACAGACAAAGAAGTTTAGCGCCATCTGTTGACTAAAGATAGAACTGGCTTATAGGTGAATTCATATTTTAGTGCCATCTGCTGACATAGTCATGAAGCTATGTGCTGGTTAATTGTTTTAACTCATAGAGTTAAATAACTCTATGTTTTAACTAAACAACAATACTATTAATATTATAAAGTATTAATATTACGTATCTTTATTTTATTCAAATAAATCATACTTTTATGTACCTACTAAAGATTCAAGCAATGCCACCTAGTAGCAAATAAAAGAAACGCGTATGTATTTTTGCTTGATTTTCTCTTTTTGGAATTTATCCATTCTATTTCATATCCTTCATGAATTTAGGGCTGATTTTTCAATCGTCGGATAACTTTTAATTGAAGAATAAGTTTGGCACATTGACAGTTTTAGTATGGTAAATATGTCAAAATGACAATTTTATTCTTCAGATAAAAGTTATCTGACGATTGAAAAATCTGCCCTTAATAGAATAGAAAAATTAAACTAAAGCGTTCGTGTTCTCGACTGATAAGCTCTATCTTTATCTGTGGCCATTCAACAATATCCAAGTCCATTACCAATTGTTTAAAAAAATTAAATAGTGATGTGACATTGTACATACAGTATCGATTAATAAATCATCGAATGTCATCGATTATAACAAACTAATAAAAAAATCAAATAAATGTGTGTTGTATGAATTGACAGTGCGTGATAATATGTTTGTTTCCTTGGTATAGTAATTAAATACAGGCTTTAATTTTTAGTAATGAGTTTTTTTATTGATGTCTAAAATATTTTATAATATTTTGTTCTTGATAAATATTTATTTTAAAAGGATTGATTTGTTATACTTATGATTATTTAGAAAATTGAATTAACAAAACAGTATTTATTATTATATTTTTTTGGTATTTATGAGCTACAATTCTACACGATTGCCACACACGTTTTTATTTCAAAATAAATATGTTATGGACATTTTTTTATTTTATAGATGTTTTTTTAAGTTGAGCTTTTTAAATTAATATTAAATAACTAGTTTTTGTCTGCTAATATCTAAACAATGTTAAAAATTGGCGGCCGCTCGCGATTTCGTACGCGTGGATCCCGTTTTACCCCTTTAGGAGTGGAGTTTCGTAAAATCCTTTCATAACGGATGCCTACGTCATAACATCTACCTGCATGCCAGGCCTTGCGATCATTGCAAACGTTGTGATAGGGATAGAGACATGCGATTTTTTGTTTTACAAAGGTAATAATAAAGAATAACACAAAGTAATAAAAACTACTTGTTATGGGGGCAGATTTTTCTCAAAATGTATCAATTTTTTATTATTTGTTGCCATTTTCTGAGTATTTTATGTATTTTTTTAGTATCGGCTGTTATTAAGCATTATTACTGTTTTTATTTTATCAGGATACACCTCTTAGTTTAAAAGTTATTACGTTTTTTTTGCAATAAGTAATCGGATGAAAAAAAAAATCTATAAAAAATTAAAAAACAACTCAAAAAATTTTTGACTTCTTTTATGTCGACAAAAATAGGTCTAGTTTCATCTATTTTCATTTTTGTACACTTTATCGTGACACACTGTATATGAATCGATTATTTCGGTTGACATTCGAAGTTCGATAAAACCGGTCTATTATTAACATCCCTATTAAACTTCAAACTGTCTCTGGTGAGTCTGGTGTTGATGTGTGTGTGTATGTGTGTGTGTATTGGTGTGTATTCATTTCACGATTGCCAGCTGGGCGGCTCCGAATATTAGAAGCTACGACAAGATTTTTCAGAGTAATGTAAGTACGACTTAGATTTTATATTATTCTTATTTATTTACCATTGTTGCCACCATTATTAGTTTAGTTTAGTGTAATTAATTAAAATAAAGTGCTACGTGGTGTTTTTCTGCGTCTAGTTTAGAATCGATATCTACCTACACCTACCCACCAAGCTCTTTGTATTTACGAAAGTTAGAACTAAATTAAGTACAATAACCTTTACTACGATTTACTGATTATTACCGGATGTAATTGCAAGAGTTAAAATAGGATTTTCGTGACTTTACATTCGTATTATTACAGGTCAAAGTAAATTAAAACGGAAAATAGTTTTATTCGTTGTATCCATAATTAAATATATTCCAAACAGCTTACTAGCTATTTAATTTAAATAGCCAAACGATACTTTGAAATCTTTTAGCCTTTAAAACAAAGTATTTTCAAGTTTAATCAATTATTGGTAAACTAACTTTTAATCATAGTCTCTTATAAATTGGTGTCTTTCATCTCAAATAAAAGTGTGCAAGTATACATACAAATGACTAAATGTAATACTGATGAATACTGAATGTTAATACTAGTTTTAATAACTTACATTGATTGTTATTGTTTTTTATTGTTTATGCAATCTTATTTTAAGCTAAATTCCAATATTTTTCTATATCTATATCATTTTGCATCAAATTTGCAACGCGGAATGTGATTTTCTACTTTGATTTTGATTTTATGGATAACATGACTAACAATGCTTATCCTGACATTTCAATGTCTTTGAACCCAAAAGAGTAACGCGTAAGGTGAGGGGGTAGGTGCGTTAATAAGACTGCTATTTCAAAAAGGAAATAATAGTATACTATCGTTATGTCCCAAATTTGAAATGGAATGTATAATTTTAATTTGCATGTCCGAATAACATACCAGCATGGTGTCTTCTTTTATGATTTTTTAATTCACAGCAACAAATGATATCTTAAATGTATGAATAATATTGCATTAATAAAAAAATATGTGAATTGTAATAAGTTTAGCGGGTGACATTTCCATTATTTAACGATACCAAGTATGAATAATGCTTGTGATAAAATCAATCAAAAGAGTAGTATTTTTACTTTGCATGTTTAAGCATGAACTACCAACATAAATAAAATTTCTAGTATAGATTGCAATGAAGTATACTCAATAGAAGTAAATCATAATATTTTTGTAAGTAAATTTTTGGAACGGATATCATCATACTTCAAAATAATTATTGTAAATTAAATGTGTAAAATATTTTTGCTGTTCGGTCAAATAAGTTCATGCAGGTGAGGGTATTGGCTATGCGAGTGATATATTATTTGAAAGACGCTATTATATGTATTTCTGGCTTTCTATTTAATTGGATTTTAGAATCAATAAGTACTTTTGATGATGAATTAAGTGAAGCTGAATGTTTTAACACTGGTATTTCTATTAGGTAATTAGTGAGCATTTACTGCTTCATAGCTTTATTTGTGTTTTCAATGTAGTACTCAACGGTACACATGCATCAATCATTGAACAGGATGAATGTTTTTAATGTGCGCATGCATTTAGTCACATGCAATTTCATGAACCTACATGGCAACATGTTACGCATGTTTTAATCTATGTTATAGAAATAGAAATAGAAATATTTATTTGTTTTTACTTTCTAGCGAATTTTTATTTGCTATGCGATTTCATGTTTCAAATCTTAATTTTTTCATGAGACATAGAATTAATGCTGTGACATCTTATGGTCTATTTTAAGTTTAATAGGTTTAAAAAGCATCAATTAAATAATGATCTATCCCCTTACACATCCGATATTAAGCATATTTTATAACCAAAAGACAGACCACAATATTGCAAAGTATTAATTATGCAGACGGCTTAAAATTTAGGCTTCGTTCAATCCCCAGGATCAAGCGTTTAGCAAAGCCAGTCACAAACTGACAAAGTTACATTATGCTATTAAAATTCAGTGTAACTTCATCCAGGCAGTTGTTGAGTGCTATTCTTGGTATACAGGCCTACAGAGTAGTAAATTAGATTATATTGAAGTTTAATTCCTGAATAAGTTATTGCTTCATACATACAAATAGCAGTATCCATTTCTATTCTAATTATTTTTAACCAGTTTAAAAATATGACTCTCAATTCGGTTTTTTTTATTGTTTATAGCACTTTGAACATAAACCAATATTAATTTTATTAACCTACTAATATTATAAACGCGAAAGTTTGTATGGATGTCTGGATGTCAACATGTTTGTTACTCTTTCACGCAAAAATTGCAGAACAGATTTCGACGAAATTTTACAGTATTATACATCATTTTATCAGTTTTATTATTATGTATTACTTTTTCAAATTAATGTTTAATTAAAAATAAAAATTGTGACTGCAATTTTTTTTTACATAAACATACTATACTGTCTGTTATTGATACTGTAAAGTACTCTCATTATTATCAATACATACTGATAAGATAAATCTTAATTAAAGTTATTTTCTTTATTAATCTATTGGTTATTTGAAAACATTTTGAATACAAATAACGTTCTCGTCAACCTAATTTCGGCCTGTTTTCTTTAAATATTGTCTCGTTTCTAATAACCTCAATACATAGCGATTATTTATTACATATAGCTATTGTCAATATGTACAGTTAAAAGGTGTTGTTGCGTGAGTGCAAGTAACAGTAGCGGCAACAAGCGTGCGGAAACACGTATTAATGGAGAAAAAGCCGTGTAGATACACGAAAAATTTAAATTGTCGATAAAAGAGACACCGCTATCAGACTTCAACGAGAGCGAGCGTGATCGCCGACAGGTCGATGTACCCGTCAGCTAGGGTTGCCACACTCTAAAATAGTATCACCCTCTTTTTCATGTAGGCGTTCTTTATATTTTACGCTGCGCCAAGTACGCCAAAATACCTGAAACTGATTGTTACTGGTTCGTTTCGTTGGTTATGAGTAAGTAGTTTTATTAATGAGACTGTATTAACATTATACAAAGCCACACAAATTGGGCGTTTGAATGCAGCTATATGAAACAAAGTCATAAATAAATCTTTCTTGTGTAGATAATATCTATTATGACCTAAGACCAGCTCCTGGCCACCTCTTGACTTCATCATCAGCAGGACCCTGGTCATCATCTAGCACTAAAGTGCTCGAAAAGACAAATCCAACCAACCCAAACTGGATGTGATTTCGCCGTTTCGTTTAGAAGTTCCTATGGCCACCTCCAGACTCTATCCAGCTCTATGGTGCCATAATATTGCATTGTCATCGTACTTACATAAGTATACCCAGCTCAATCGGTAGAGAACTGGTCTTAAATTTAGTTGCAAGATTTGTCCCTCACTAACTAACAAGCGAAGTGCTTGTGAAAATGGTACGCATCTTTTTTGCGACCAGTCATCTTAGAGTATTATTACCATTTTGGAATCGTGGATAGTTGCGTCAACTTTATAAAAAACTTGTCGCAGTATTTTTCTTACTTTTTTTTTACAATACGCGAGTCAAAGTAGAGTGAAAGTAAAAATCTTTCAAAATTTTAAGGAAATAACATATTTTGATTGATTTTTGTGTAAAATCTGTAAGGATTCTGGAGGTTTTCAAGAGTTTGGATGAACAGCAGTACTACTTAGGTTGCCGATACAAACAAAAAACAGAAATATTTGAAAAATTGTAGTCGTGGTAATTTAAAATATCATAAGAGGTGTCAATTTTCGATGAGTTTCATAATTTATTGTGTAACTTTAAAAATATTTAAGATGATTTCTTTTCAAATAAGAAAAGAAATCTATCCTAAATATTTTTAGATAATTTTTTTCCTAAAGTAGTCTATGTCCACCCTGCGGCGCAGGCTTATCGTTGAATTTTGGGACATGTATATTAATTCGTCATAATAAATAAGTACTTAATTATTTTTCTACATTTTAGTGCATTTTTTTGGAGTCGGTTTAATTTTTTTTATTATTAATATGGGCTATTGTAATACAAAAATGTAGCTTATTATTTTTTGCAACTGGCAACCCTACCATCAGCTCCGCCGCGCCAGCCGGGGGCTATCTCGCCACGCATATTAGTCTCATGTCTCTATAGAAGTAGGTAGTAGGTAGCCTTAAACATTAATGGACTCAGAGATCCCGGCTTAGGCTTTAAGACTCCCCGCAGACCACAGACTTTTAGTCGGCCGAGGCCAAAAAATGTTTTGCCTAGTGTTTTAATCACTAAACTACTTACTGAATCGATTTTAACAAAATGCAAAGTGAAGTGATAAAATTTAAAATGGAGGTGTACAATTTTTTCAATTAATTAAGTTCTGATATTGTTCCTGTATGTATGACGATTGCTTAGCATAATAATACATTTTTATTATTTTCAACGATTGTTTTAATTTGAAAGTTAATTATACATGTTAAAAATCAATTAACTTAATTACTAATCATAGTACTTAACGTACCTACTTGCTTGTTTCATGTCCATTTTTTAATTCGCCAAAATGTCTGTTGCGCTCTGTCTGTACACCGTACCTGCGACATCTAAGTCAATCGTTTCTACAAAAACATATTGGATCCACTAGCTCCTAGAAACACCTATATTATCGTAGAAAGCAGTCATATTGACGGTGAATATTTTTTTAAACTAAGTAGGTATTGCACTTTGCAATTGACAGGGAGTGCGTTATTCGTACACTACTGTTGGAAAAGGCGTCGTATATGCACACACACACTCATACAGCCACAATCCACATGCACGCCCCGATTATGTTTTTTTAACCATTCGCTTCTCACTCTGACTGTGAATACTAGTGATTACGCCTCTGTACAATCAATACCAGCTGTGTTTGGTGTTTTAAACACTTACTTCGATAAAACCATGCCGTTTCGAATTTTAACGTCATTTACGACCGCAGCCAATTATATTTACACTTTAAATATGTAATTGCCTTGCCACTTGCAACTTACAGTTTTTTTTTTCATAAACACCAGCCAAAACCACAAAGAACGCGCTGTCAAGACTATAGAATTTGTGTGTAAATTATGTGATGTCACTCAGCATATGCAGAAGTTTATTGGATTCAGCTCTTGAAATCAAATATTACAAATAAAAATTACCTCTTTTACCTATAATACATAGGTATATTATGTTTTTCAATCCTCTTCTCATCACTACCGTTTGTCATATTATAGTTGTCATTAAATCATAACATTCTCAAATCAAGACACATCAGTCAGTGCCAGTACAGATGTATAAATATAATCTATAGACGTCTGTATATCCTTCCTTCCGTTCGATGAGCACCAATTATTACTAACAGTAAAAAACCCTTTGCTTGCGTAAACAAGACTAAGTGTGAGAAATCGAAAGATTACCATTGTTTTAATGCCAACATAAGTCTAGTTAAGGAAAATTCCTGTTCATGGTTGAATGTCGGTCAATAATGTTGGGATCATGGTAAAGATGTAGTAAATCAAGCACCTAATTACAGAAACAATATTGGTGTAACAAAATATAGATACTTCCTGGATTATTATGCAAGGTACACGTGTTAAAACCTTGAACCTAACGGTAACCTGTTTAGGAGCTCCTTTATTTATTTTAATGAGTTCAAAATTTCGAGTAAATTGCTTCAATAAAGTAATAAATATAAATTCTATTAAAACGTTTGAAAGTAATTCAGAAACGGAATGTTCTTTGTAGCAATACAATAAATAACAAAAGAACTTAAGCGAAGGTCACGTTATAATACAGTTACGAAAAAAGTTAGAAAAGTGAGCTTACTTTAACCAACCAGGCTATAGGAGGCTTCCGGCGACTGGGACCGCAATTAACTGGGACCGCGGTCCCAGTCGCCGGATGCGTAAAAATTAAATAATTTTCTTCCGGCGACTGGGACCACTCATGGATTTTAGTACTGTACCAATTTTGGATTGAATAATATTTTCTTTTAAGTTATCTATGAGTGGTCCCAGTCGCCGGAAGAAAATTATTATTTTTTCATGGATCCGGCGACTGGGATCGCGGTGCCAGTTAATTGCGGTCCCAGTTGACGGAATCCTCGGCTATAGGTTAATCTAATCGGTACGGTCTGGACTACGCTCTATCACCTTTGCAGGTGTCGATAAGGGGTACATGAGAGGAGCTGATATTGTCATGTTTTACCGTGGCAATAGTGCTACGCATCTTCTGCCGTGGGGATGCCAGTAGGTTACGTGTTACTTGGGACTCGAGTGACTTCGACCTTCGACCGAGAGCCCTGCCTTTCCTCTATCCGCTATAACGGAACGACATACAGCTCGGTTATCGTACGCTCCGCGCGAGCGTTCTGTTACACCTTCATTACAAAACCTATCTATACTAATATTATAAAGAGGAAAACTTTGTTTGTTTGTTTGGTTGTAATGAATAGGCTCAAAAACTACTGGACCGTTTTTAAAAATTCTTTCACCATTCGAAAGCTACATTATCCACGAGTAACATAGGCTAAATTTTATTTTGGGAAAAAATAGGGTTCAGGGGTCCAAGCGCGCGAAGCCGCGGGCGGAAAGCTAGTTAGTTATATCCTAGTTAAATTAATTCACTAAATAAAGTCACAAGCATAGTTTTTGTTGTTGCTTACTTATTTTATTTCTTTATTCTCCCAATACTAGTTGCTTAAATAGAATTTGTGTTGATTGTAACTGTACATGCATGCGAACGTCCTAGAAATGCATTTAAGCGAAGGATTCTTTGCGTTTGGTCCAAGCGAACGAAATGACCGAAGGCTAAGCGCGTTAAAAAAGACTCATTTTTATTATGCAACAACGTGCCGCGATGCCGTTCGCTTGGAAGTTTTGTTATGTACACAGCTACCAGCGATTATTTTAATCCATCTTTCTTCTATTTCTGCCGAGAACTTCATAAACATTAAATGTGTGTAATATTTTTAATGCATCAAATAAAATTAATAAAATACAATTAACGAGATTTATGTCTTTTATAATGTAATGGAATTGTTAAATCCGAAGAAAATGCTAATCACTTGGCGCAACTAGACCAATCCAAACCAATCAGTGTGTATTTATTTACTCTTATTGTATTTATGAGTCACGGCGATATAAATGTTACAACAAGTCGAAACGTTGCAGTCATTACCGCATCGTCGGCATGGCAGGTTGAATTAGAGAATGGCCGTACGTGTCAAACCGGACCGTGAGTCACGGTTGCCTACCCACGTGGTGCGGCCGTCCTCGTCTTATGCGTTTTTTTGTTCAAAAACAATTAGGTGTGGTTTGGTTATACGTACGCAATCGTTAGCATCGACACCGTAGATGCGTTATTGTTTTACTATAAAAAAACAATAATTTCAGTTAAGTTATTGAAACCACTAAAAAATCAGAGTATGAACAATTGTTTGAATTTCCAACAGCTACATTAACAAGTTCAATTTAAATTATGATAAATAAAAGAGCCCCAATTTAGAAGTGCATCATTACGTTTTTATGCAAAGATATTTTAATGTTATGATAGAGCATCCATTTCATATTCGAGTGCTGCACTTCAGACAGCCTCAACGAGGAGCACGAAGTTACTGAACCGCGAATAAAGTTGGAGCTCTGACGTCAATGGAAAATAAATAACAAAAGCATCCCCCAACCGTGCCTATTTATTTAGTTAGGAACACGTGAACTTATATCTTGGTTTGTTTTGGTGTATTCTGATGAATTAAAAATACATTTAAATAATTATTCCAAGAAAAGTCCTGCAACTAAAATCCTCACCCTCAATATATTTTTGCAAATAACGATTAATTGATAGCAACTTCTTTTCTTTTGCAGTGCAGTGTAACCAGTGTTCCAGTGCAGTATCCCAGTCGCCACACTTGTTTCGTCAACCCCCGTTTCGTCTTCACCATTCCTTGAAGGTAAATTTCTTTATTATGTAATGTTTCTTTGTTGTTTCTATGGTATTTAAACCTTCTATAAAACAGTTATTTTAGAAATAGTCCCTGCGTAGTTTTGCTAAATATTATCATTTAGAGACTCCTCGTTACGTAATTGCCGTATGAGTAATCTTCCATTTCCCATTATTTAGACTCATGTTATTATTTATGGAATGTTTTAGACTATACCTAGTACTATCTAAATTGTGCTGGATATGATAACTGAACAATGCACTGAAACTCGTATTTGATCAGTTAACTTATTGATTAATTTGCTCGTTAAAAATTTAACGATTTCCTAGTTATCAAACTTGAAGACTAAAACACGATTTTTGTAGCACAATATCCAAGCTATCGACTGTTTATACTTAGACTGAGCGTGGGTGACGCATACCCTATTAAAGTGTAACCTGATTTGCTTGTCTGCCGAAGTCAACACTAGAGCCTTCGGCGCTCCCCTTTCTTGAGAGCCTTTTGTTGATATCTACAAACAAATTTAGGATGCATATCAAGTTTACGTCTACCCAAGTGATGCTTTCGAAACTGTCAAGACAAAAATAATTGGCAAGTCCCTTAAATGTCTCCGGTTACCAACCAACCTTCCGTCAAGTACATTATCCCAGGGGAAGAATACGTGCTTATGAATATTTTACGCTCGGTTTGGCTGCAGCTAGGATGCAAACTCGACGTGTTTATTTAGAGCGAAATACATAGTATGAAAACAAAGCGTAATTTTCAGGTCATGTTGTTTGAAAGGTTGTCGATAACTAATAATAAAATTGTACCAAATGATTGGCAGCAGTTGTGGTTAGAACAAAGTATGTAGTTTTAGAGGAATATGCGTATTTACAAAATTTCCTGAAACTTTGTCTCTGATAAGTCAGTCCGACACGCATAGCGGTTACGCCCTGTCTGTCACACCCTCTGGGGTATTGACCTAATACCTACCTCATCGAATTAGATAGCCAATTTGATGTCCTACATCTAACGTTACTGAACCAACTAATATCGTTTGGTTAAATAGGCAACAGTTAGGTAATGCAAACTTTAACATTGTCTGTATTTGTTCGTGGAAGGAGGTCACAGAAAAACGTATTCAACAAATGAAACTGAAACATCTTTCATTACGTTCATTCATTCAAACACATGGTATTTGTATTGTTATGAGAATTTAGGTGTGTCAGATTTTTTCATGTTTTGTGTACCGCATCGTTTTTAAGTTGCTAGTGGTTTCAGTTTTGAGGCATGTGCTTTAGTTAGGGCTGTCACTTACCTAGTTTTGCTTAACGTGTGAAGCTTTTTGATAGCGAGTAATTCAGGCCATTGCCGCTTCTGTGTAGTTTTTTTAGCACATAGCAGGACATTGTTCGTTTGGAAACATAGGTGCTTGATCCGGCGTGAGTGAGGTTTGATATCCCATAACCCAAAGAAATGCGACATCTGTATATTCGATTCCAGGGCCATAGCTCTCTGGCTGTATGTGCCAACTAGTGTCGGCGGTAGATGGATAAAATGTTATCAAAGAACATGATATTGTCAGCATTAATCCATTTATTATGACAATTTATTTCTATGGGCGTACCACATCTTCGGCTGATGTTATGTATTATTTTTCACCTTATTCATGCTGTATTTAATTATCAACTTGTATGACAAATTGATAGTATTAGTTCCTGTGTGTTATTATAACCCATCTGTCAAAATTTCACATAGAAATGACTCCGTTTGAGATTTCAAAGTAATGTAATCATATAGGTACTTAGTTATCCGTCCGTAGGCTTAAGCAGCCGCGTCATTGAACCAAGTGATTACAGTGAACGTCAGTGTTGCAGTAATTGAGTATTATACTGATTACCTTTGCCGGAATGCGGCCTTTTAGTACTTCACTTGAAAATCATCTGCTCATGCAATGTCTGTTTATATTATTTTTATTATTCGGTCTTGTGCAATCGTTAGATTAAATTCATTTATAAATTATTAATTGGATTCATAGTTAATTGTGATGGTATCTATTTATTCAATTATTGCGTCAATTATTCATGATTTACAGAACATTATTGCCGGTAGTTTTTTGTTTTAGACATTGATAGAAACACTATTTTTGTATTTCAATAAGTATATTTATTAGTGTTCAAAAACCGTCAGCAAGTAGCCTCAGTCAGCCCTAGATGTGTCGTGCGGCGTGCGCAAACCGCACACGAGCGCGCCACGTACGGCGGCCTTCATGCTTAGTGGGCGGATGACCGCTCCGCGCGGATCACTCGACTTTCACCCACGATTGCGATTTCATCAAAACAAAACATTTCTACACCGTCACTCGCTCACACCGCCCTACGTTTAAATTCTTTATAATTCCCCACGTGTACTGTGCAGTGTATTGTGTACGCAAAATCATTTCCCCCGACATCGCATTGTATGTGCATGAAGTTCAGTGATGCTTTGTTCATGTGGTTAATTGTATCAGTCACAGCTCAATTTTATTTAATGAGCCAACGAAGAATCCGGCTAGGGTGAAGTTTATCAACATTACTAATTAAAATTTCAAGCGACGGATTAATCCACATAATTTTGAACCCGAAACTAGTTTGACTTTAATCATAAACTCTTATTAACTGGTATTCAGTCTTTCTGAACCGCTTGAAAGTTTTCAGTAATTGCATGTGTCCCTAGTAAGTTTCCCAATGAAGTTTGAGCCGGTTAGATTGTGAATCGGGTGATGTAACCGCGAGGTAGTCGTTCGCATTGATGAATGGTGAGCTGATGGCGTGACGCGCGTGTTGGTGCAGAGAGGCGAGGAGCAGGCGCGGGCGCGAGAGTGCCCTATGTGGCTGACCCCGTGCCCACGACCATGAAAGTGGACGCCGACGCCCGAGAGCCCGCCGCGCCGCTGGCGGCGCCGGGGACGCCGACCGCTAGTAATACTGAATCGCCTGTGTCATCCCTGGACGGTTTGTTGGTTTAACTAACACACTAACGCACCTCACACCCCTGCATCCTAACGGTTGTGGAACTCACCAACATTAACCCCGCTATCGCTGCTTGTGGAATGGTAATATTCACTAATAACAGCTTTTTATCACTTTTTTAGTTATCACGTTAAAATTGCGTTCGCGTTTCGTATACATTAATTACCCTGAGCCCGTAATTACCCAGATTCGAACATTACTTTCTAGAAACCTGTAGAATATGATTTGTTCATTGGTCGGTCATCATTGATTAGAGAATCATTTTTATAAACAATCAGTATTGAATTATACATTTTTGGATTTACCATTACTTAAATAAATAACGTAGTTGACATTATTTAAGAAAGTAGCAAAATTAAACCGTCGTTCCTAACCTTTGGAATGGTGCTTGTAATTAAATGAATATAAAATATGTGCCCGAAGGTACTTTTTAGAATTTGTAAATCACAAAATATTTTGTAAGATACATAGATCGAAATATTTAAAGGAAGTTATTTATTAAGTTAGCAGTTATAATAATAATAATAAAAAATTCTTCAGTAACTGAAAACATTATATAATTTAATATACTAAATGTATACAGGTGCAGCATTACTCTTGCGTGCGAATGAACAATTTACGACAGATGCTATTAGTTGATGTCCATTGGATAACGAAGTTACAATGTAATGACAACAGAGACTTTGTAGGTAAAACAAAAATAAATAAATAAAAACCGAAACCATGAAACAGTCCGTAAATAAATTATCTATTTTAACAACAAACCAGATTTGGCGTTATCTTTTAACGTGCACGCGTACCTAATCCATATCTAAAAATAATCATAATCTGAGTTTATTATGCACTCTGACGAGGTTAACTAATTTAGTTTTCTCCATATCTTTTCCTTGCATAATGAGAGAAAACTGGGCAAAATGATGTTATTTTAGCATTAATTCACCGCTTTACATTCATTCAGTAGATTGCACATAACATAGCTGTATAGGCAGGCTCATATCTAAACCATAAAACTGTTATAGTTATCAGTAGCCAAGCCATGAATCATGGAAGTACTTAGTGCGGCGTACAGTTCCAATAGCAGACTCAACTCGGATGTAATTGGAAGACGGGAAAACACTTAAGTTGATTAACAAAGCATTTAAAGAGATAATAGGTATATTTAAAAATGTATTAGCATTTGAATGTGTTTGTGTCGTTCACGTTTTAGAAATGGTGAATGGTGATAGATCGGAGTAATGGCATTATTGTTAAATTCCAGTAAATAATTACATTCACACTCACCCTGGAATTCAAATGTTAGGTTTGGACGGTGTGTACTGTAGTTGTGGTCAAGTAATTTCATGTTGTTATCATAAACGTTATATTACAAAGCTTTGTAATACACGCATAAATAATTGATCTGTAAGTATGAGGTAAACGTAGAATGTCATAACATGTCCCAACTCGGCCACTGGCTCCCTTACTATAAAAATAACATGTGCTTTGAACGGTTTTAAAATGGTATACCCATACACTTTAAACCAGCGCTTTCAAGGTGCGTGTGTATTTTATTAGTAAGGGGGTTAGCCTATAAATATGTTCCCTAACTGGGATTGAAATAGAAGTTCAGTCTTGTAAGACATTTCTTTTGACATTCTGCGTAAGAGTCAAATTCATATTTTAATATCCGCATTTATCTAATAGTAACATTTTGTTACTAAAGGTTAAATAAATATCCGCACATGCATTAAAGCTTATCTTTTGCTCAAAGTGACGCAAAAGATTAAGTGACGAAATTTTGCTATTAGAAGTAAAAAAGTGCAGATAAAAAAACTGGCTGTTGTTTGCGTTACACCTGCATGTTGTTAATTTGGCTGTGTCCTGCCCGTAGACTGCCGGTCGGTGCAGGAACCTGAGACGATCCCGACGCCCGCCCGGGCGCTACTAGCCAAGCTGGAGGAAGAAAACCGGCGCATTGAGGCAGACGCGAAGAGCGCCTCCCTCCCCACGGTCCATAGTCGGAAAAGTTCCGACACTTCACAGATATCGCTGTTATCGGGTAAGTCATAGTCGCACAGAGGCAGACGAAGTTCTGACACTTCACAAATTAATATGGCATGTCATAGGCGCATTGAGGCAGACGCGAAGAGCGCCCACCTCCTCATAGTCCATAGTCGGAAAAGTTCCGACACATCACAGATATCGCTGTTATAGTTCCAAAATACTGGACTGTCCTGTCGATGACATTGACAGTGGGGCGCCACCGTCAATACCGGATCGCTGGTTCAGATTTTTGCCATGTTGGAAACCATATAGTTGAACGATGGTAGCGTCCCCCTGTCATTGAATTTTGCGGGACAGTTCAGCGTGGGTCATCTATATCGGGTAAGTCACGGCCGCATAGAGGCAGACGTGAAGTTCTGACACTTCACAAATATGGCATGTCAAAGGCGCATTGAGGCAGACGCGAAGAGCGCCCACCTCCTCATAGTCCATAGTCGGAAAAGTTCCGACACATCACAGATATCGCTGTTATCGGGGTAAGTCACGGCCGCATAGAGGCAGACGTGAAGTTCTGACACTTCACAAATATGGCATGTCAAAGGCGCATTGAGGCAGACGCGAAGACCGCCTCCCTACCCACGGTCCATAGTCGGAAAAGTTCCGACACTTCACAAATATCGCTATTACCTATCGGGTAAGTCACGGGCGCATAGAGGCAGACGTGAAGTTCTGACACTTCGCAAATATGGCATGTCAAAGGCGCATTGAGGCAGACGCGAAGACCGCCTCCCTGCCCACGGTCCATAGTCGGAAAAGTTCCGACACATCACAGATATCGCTGTTATCGGGTAAGTCATGCGCACAGAGGCAGACGAAGTTCTGACACTGCACAAATATGATATTGTCATAGGCGCATTGAGGCAGACGCGAAGCCTTCCCAACGTGCAGCGGAAGAGTTCTCACACTTCACAAATATCGCTATTATCGGGAAAGTCATTAGGCATTTGCAGTGTATAAAGGGCCTCATTATTGTATTTTAGCGACATATTATCTTCTCGCATTCAAATAAACTATTGTCTACTACTAATCACTAGAGATACGCTGGGGCAGGAAAGTTCTTGAGTGGCGACCACGAGCCGGAAGACGTAGCGTGGACAGGCCTCCCACTAGGTGGATCGACGATCTGGTGAAGGTTGCGGAATGTGCCTGGATGAGAGCGGCGCAGGACCGGTCTTTGTGGAAATCCTTGGGGGGAGGCCTTTGTCCAGCAGTTCACGTCTTTCGGCTGAAACGAACGAACAGATACATCTATTTCTAATAAAGGGCGGAAGTCTTTTTTGAAACTGGCCCTAGTTCCAAAATCGTAAGATTTCCATAAATCTGAATCCCAATAGAAATCCGCCACGCAATTTGGTTTTTAAATAATATTCAGCGCCGCAGCTATTACACTGACCGTCAACTCATTAGTCGCGTTGTATTCACTTCGTATTCTCTGAAATTTTATTGTAATCTGTTACCCAATGCTTCGTTACAACACTTATTTCAGACTTACTTTCGAAAAACTGTTGGTAGCACGAACTTCATTGTAAACATCACTGATTAGTATAGACTAGTGAACTTGTGCAGGTATTTTATCTTATGTTATCAATGGCAGCGATAAGGAGATCTTACACTCGTGCGCGTGTGATTAAGATGTTTTTATATTTTGCAACATGAACCAAAACGAAGATCAGTATACGAAAAACGTTTTTGAGTTCTACCTGTCGCTTATTAAGGATAACATTTTATTGTGTTTGTATAACAGTGTTTATGTAACTTTATTAGAGGTTAAGGTTGTATTGAATTGAAAGAGTGTTTTTATTTGTAGCGACGAGTTCGAGTCATGAGGTGGAGCCGAGGGCAAGCTGCAGTAGCAGCAGCAGCAGCAACGGGACCGGCGAGGAGGACCTCTGGGGTCTGTGGGGCCGTATAGTCAGTAATTGGGAGACCGAGTGGAAGCGGCGCAACCAGTTCGTCCGGGACCTGGTTCGCCAGGGGGTGCCACACCACTTCCGCGGCATCGTGTGGCAACTCCTGGCCGGTGTCGACTCGTCCCCGGAGAAAAAGCTTTACGCGACGTATATTAAAGTTAGTATCTAATAATCACACTAATATTATAAAGGCGAAAGTTTGTGAGTGTGTATGTTTGTTACTTCTTCACGTCTAAACAGCTGGAGCGATTTTAATAAAATTTGGTATGGAGTTAACTGACATTCTGAATTAACATAATTATAGGCTTCATTTTACCGCGAGTAACACCGCGATGCACAGCCCTAATATTGCTCGTGGTAGGTCCTAACGGAAATTAATTAAAAGGAAATTATCCTGATGTATTGAAATCAACATAAATAAAAGCTGGCTACTACGAAAACTTCATCGTTGACTTTCAATCTGCCTTGTAAAACGTATTTTTATTTTTTTCGTATCATATTTTCAGGCCAAGTCTGCTTGTGAGAAGGTGATACGTCGCGATATCGCGCGTACATACCCCGAGCATGATTTCTTCAAAGAAAAAGACGGACTGGGCCAGGAGTCTTTGTTTAACGTCATGAAAGCGTACTCGCTCCACGACCGGGAGGTCGGATATTGCCAAGGGTCCGGATTTATTGTCGGGCTTCTCCTTATGCAAGTAAGTCAAACCTTTTTAAACCTTAAAAACATCATATCTTGTCCTATAACAGTGACAGGAAGCCGTTAGATGCAGGCCGTTTCCATTCTCTGAATTTGTTATGTTAATAACAAAAAAACTAATTGCCCTTCATGTGTTGAAGTAATAAATAAAGCTCGTGTTATTTAGCTATTTGAATATTATGCATAATACTCGCCGGAAATCGTTTGAAGGTTAATATTATAGCCGAAAATATATTTTCTGCGTTCGGTCTGACCGGACTGAATAACCCTCGTTATATCCTTCAGTTTGTGGATGGAAAATAAATGCCGCTGGGGCTTACTGGTTTTAAATTATGAAATATTGTTGATGCCAAAAGACGATCATCATCTTCATGTTCTGTTTCAACAGCACTGTATTAATCCCGAACAAATCTAACTCCGTAATCCTAGCTAGGTCCTAGGTCAAGTGATACGGCATAATGTGATTTCCAGTCTGTTCCCTACAGGATGTTTCTCTGCCTCCATTATGACACTGCAAAAGTCAATTACAGGCCTTTTTTGGTTGTCCGTGAACTAAAGGAAATGTTTTGGCAGTACATACAGAGTAATAAATACCAATGAATGAGTAGGTCATCTTCATAGAAACGCACCGAGCGCGGTTTGTATGTGAGCGCGCCAATATACGTATGCGGCGCGCACGCACACACTGACAAAATTCGGCGCACTTCACCGCTAATCCCCGCTAAATTTTGTCAGTGTGTGCGTGCGCGCCGCATACGTGTTGGCGCGCTCACATACAAACCGCGCCCGTGCGTTCCTATGAAGATGACCTACTCATTTGAATTTACTCTGGTACATACAACATTCACACTTTTCGATACATAGTTACGCATCTGCCGTATCAATATTAAAATATAAAATCTCATTTGTAAAATTTCGTATGAATCATAACGTTAATCATTGTAAAGTTAAACAAAATTAACAAGTAGCGAGTCATTCTGTACACAAAAGTCCCTGTTTGTACTGTCAAGTTGCGTTTATATTGTGACCAATTTCTTTTTTTCTTCGCTAAACACCGGCCATTGGTTGCAGATGCCCGAAGAAGAAGCGTTCGCTGTTTTAGTGAACATAATGCAACAGCATAGAATGCGCGACATGTTTAAACCCAGCATGGCAGAACTAGGCCTTTGCATGTTCCAGCTTGAGAAATTAGTTCAGGAGTTGCTTCCAGAGTTGAACGCACATTTTACGGCTCAGGTAATCTTCTAAATATACTATAACTCAAAGGTGACTGACTGTCTGACTGACTGACTGACATAGTGATCTATCAACGCACAACCCAAAAATACGGATTTAGAACTGTTTTTCAATGGGACGACTTCTGAACGTCAGCGAGATCTTGACTGTCAAAATACGTGAATTAGGCCACTGGTCGCACAGTTCCATGTTCGTGTGAATCAGTATTCTGTAGTTTGCTATGCAGCCGCAGCTTGAAACTGTCGATACTAGCTGCTTCAGGCTGTCCGTGAATGTCGGGCCTTACTCTGCTTGTGAATACAATTTGATATGTTAATTGTAATTTATATTTCCTTTCAGAGCTTTACTACTTCAATATACGCAAGCAGCTGGTTCCTTACCTTGTTTACTACAACATTGTCCTTACCACTGGCATGTAGGATCATGGATGTCTTCTTATCTGAGGGCATTGAGATAGTTTTTAAGGTCGCACTAGCTATGTTAACTCTTGGCGAATCACACATGTTGTCTTTGGACATGGAAAATATATTAAAGGTAAATTTATATTATTCCCTGTTGTGAATGAAAAACCTATATCTTCGAATAAATAAATTGTTCAAGAAAATTATTGGAATCTCAAATATACTTATTATTTCAAAAATTTGGTCCTTTTACAGTTTATTCAAAAAGAGTTGCCCGCGAAAGCGGAAGCAGACCAAGACGCATTCATGGATCTGGCTTATTCAATCAAAGTTAACCAAAAGAAAATGAAAAAGTATGAAAAGGAGTATACGGTGATAAAGACGAAAGAACAGGGTGACATGGCAGTATTAAGAGTAAGTTGACAGATCACATAACTTTGCAAAATTACAATGCATAATTTAAAAGCACCCGGATTCAAATACGAATTTGCGCTTATCGTACAGATTTTGTGCGACTCTTTCGTTTACAATCATTTAGATAGAATTCGAATACTGAATTGTCTCTGTATGGAATCAATTTCTATTTTTAACCCAATCTGGTGAAACTAAAACATTCCTGGTGATGTAAAAAATATTATTATTTACTATTATTAAGACTTAGTGTGCGTCAGAACCGCGGGGTGTGCGTCAGAACCGCGGGTGGGGTATCATGAAATCGAATGAAACATATTCTGGTATTTAGTAGTGTTTTACTATTATTTGATAGCGAAGATAAAAATTTTAGTACTTATCTAATAAACAAAATTAAACGAAAAACAAAGTTCCACCGCCAACCTGACGTCAGGATGGCGGGTGGGTAGTTGAACGGTGTACAATACTTAGAAACTGTAAATGCCAATTTTTAGTATCTCTTCATTAAATAAATAAAATAATGTTAATTCTTATCTACGCCTTTTTATTTACTTGTGAAATATATTTTTTTCAATGTCGGAAGCCATACAAATTTTTTTTTGTTTAGTTTCAAAAGTTCTCTGATTAAAACAGCATTAAACAATAAATGAGGTGCACTGATATTTAATACATATCTACAAGTATTGCATAGTAGAGTAAAAAGATTTAGTAGTTCTACTAAATACAAGATGAAACGATTAACAAAGTCCGCCGCCGTCCATTCTGACATCAAGTTGGCCGGTGGAAATAAAACGGTGTAAAATGCATAAAGTATGTGGCACAAGGGTTTATTATTTATTTATTTAAGGCTCACAAAACAAGTTAGTCATATTTAAGTACAAATTACAATCCATAATTTAATCTAAGCCGCGACTCTTAACATGTGGGCGCACAGAATGGTTATTAAAAATAATGAAATAAATAATATTTAAAGATGTTAAAAGTTATAATTTTAAAATAAATGTAAGTAGTTACCAAAGGACTATTATAATAAGTTAACATCTATAGTCTTTATGCATTTTACACCGTTTTATTTCCACCCGCCAACTTGATGTCAGAATGGACGGCGGCGGACTTTGTTAATCGTTTCATCTTGTATTTAGTAGAACTACTAAATCTTTTTACTCTATTATGCAATACTTGTAGATATGTATTAAATATCAGTGCACCTCATTTATCGTTTAATGCTGTTTTAATCAGAGAACTTTTGAATCTAAACAAAAAAAAAATTTGTATGGCTTCCGACATTGAAAAAAATATATTTCACAAGTAAATAAAAAGGCGTAGATAAGAATTAACATTATTTTATTTATTTAATGAAGAGATACTAAAAATTGGCATTTACAGTTTCTAAGTATTGTCACAGAATAAGTAATAGTACAGGTACAGAAGGATTACTCCGCAAGACGATTTAAATAAATGCGAGTCTTGCTACGACGCGATACAGTGGAATTCAGCTCGCACAGCACTACGTACCTACAATTTTATTCACCTACAAGTTTTGTCTCTTTCTATCGCGTGCCTCTGAACTCTTCTTACGCTGTTAGGGTTGCTGTCTAGTGAAAAAATAATTAATCTACTTATTTGTAATGAGGTACGTATGTAGGTAAGTATGCATTCATTATGGAAATCCTTCATAGTAGGTTAGGTTCCTATACTATCCTAAGAATTATTGATTACCTACATGGCCAACATACCTTTCAGCATCTTTGGAAAGCGAAAAAAAAAAGATAAATCCGGTAGATTACTTTTCGTTTAAACACCCGAACGCCGCACAATATTTCTTTCTCTTTATGTCCATTTTTAAATAATACTTCGATCATAGAATAATAATCATACTACTACAACGCACGCCACGCGCCAGCGTCCTGACGAGCGCGCACGTGACACTCGACTGATATAATCCCCGCCGGCGGGGCGCTTCGCTGTAGGTAATTATCGGATGTACCACGCGGAGTGAGCCAGGCCTGGTATTGTACACCGTTCAACTACCCACCCGCCATCCTGACGTCAGGTTGGCGGTGGAACTTTGTTTTTCGTTTTATTTTGTTTATTAGATAAGTACTAAAATTTTTATCTTCGCTATCAAATAATAGTAAAACACTACTAAATACCAGAATATGTTTCATTCGATTTCATGATACCCCACCCGCGGTTCTGACGCACACTAAGACTGTGTTAGGGTGAGTTGCACCACCTAAATTTAACGGTAACTATGACGATAATCGGTGCATTTTGTATGGAGTTTGACAGATTTTTGACGTTTGTCAAAGTTAAAGTAAGATGGTGCAACCCAGCCTTATTGATTGTATTTCTCATTTAGAATCCCTACGAAAGTCCTAGTTAATTTAATTTATAAACTTAGGGATCTTGTTATTTTCTTGTTATACGAAATAAATACTACCAACACATACTTAAATTCACAGTGTCTCCGGCAAGAAAACAGGCTGTTGAAGCAGCGCGTTGAGTTGCTGGAGAAGGAAAGTTCATCTTTAGCGGAGCGGCTGGTCCGAGGACAAGTGGACCGCGCGGAGGGCGAGGAGGAGACGTTCGCGCTNTTTTTTTATAGAAGAAACATTCTATTCTACAAGTTATTCAATTTCAAATTGCATTATGAATACTACGGTTGTATCTTTTCAAAGAAAATTGTATTTTAAAGTCATAATACGTGGATTAGTCCGCACTCCGCACTAGTCGCGTCAAGTATGGTAAATTACTACGTACTAAGTGGAACAGGTATTTGGATCACGTATTAATAAATACTTGGAATAGGTGCACCTAGTATCAAATTTACCTAGTATAACCCATCTCTAATTATTATGTATAATTACATTATGCATTCATTCCTCACATCTATATTCTTATTTATTTGTCTATTTTGCAATGCTGCTCTCAGCAGACACCATTCCCCAAAAAATCAATCACAACTTTTATAAAAAAAAAACTCTTTATTCTGCTCTTTAAAACTTAATTAATTTTAAATTACCTGTAAATTAAGATTTTTGTAAAAAAAAAAGTAGTTTAATTGAATTGACAAAATAGGCAAGTCACTATTATATTGCCATACAAAATCTATGGAAGACTGTAATTTTGACAGTTTAAAAAAGTAAATCCATTGATAAAACGGGACTATTCCCACCTCTCGTTCCCACCACTGCAACTCCTGTGTAGCCAGGATCAACAGCTTGACCGCCACAAAAACCCAATTAATGAAGGTCAAGTTTGTCCCGGGGGAAAGTTAAACTGTCATTGGATCCGCAACAAAATTAATCAGAAGAACATAGGAGGAGTTCGAAATTAAGGTTCGACTTCAATTGATAGTGTCAACGTCTAAATGGACAATTTGACACCATTCTCCAATAATTCTAAATCACAACTTTTCTAAAAAGACACTTCATTCTGGCCTTAAAAACTTAATCAATTTTAAATTACCTGTAAATTAAGATTTTTGGTCGCATTGTAATTGAAAAAAGTAGTTTGAGTTGACAAAATAGTGACGTCATTTGCTTGTAGTGCCATACAAAATCTATGGGAGAGATTCGTTTTGACAGTTTTAAAAAGTACGTCAATTGATTGGTGGTGTCAACATGTCTATTCAAAGAGTACGTTTCGTAACAGAACAACTCGCGTCAGTCTTCGCTGGAGGGCACCGAGGGCAACAGCGCCAAGGGCGAGGAGTTGGCGCGGTGCCTGCAGCGTGAGCTGGTCCGCGCCCGCCTGGACGCGGCCGAGCGGGAGGCGACCGAGCGGGAGTTGCTCTCGCGGATCGCCGAACTCGAGAGCGAGCACAAAAGCTTGCGCCGGCAGCACGTCGACAACAATGTCGCGCACCTCCAGGTCAGTACCTTAAAGTTCCGTACCTCAAAGGGAAACAACGGAACACATAAGGGATCACTTTGTTGCCCGTCCGCATAGAAAAAACAAATAAGAAGGGTCCGTGGCCGAGTCCCCCTGTGTTCGACGCACCCGTGGTCGACGCCCCCGGTCAGATAGAAGCAATTTTTAATCAAATGTACAGTCAGTCACAAAAATATTTATAAACGAATGAATATTTATACTGATCGTACAAATAAATGTTTAATATTATTTTACCATAGTGATACCTAAAAATATAATAGGTTTTATTTTAACCTATCATATTTTATTATAGGTTTTATTTACCTATAATAACATGTAAATCGTTTTACCTAATCATAATAATTGTAACAATCAGTTTTTAAAATAACTCTACTCTCTCTACATTTAACTAACTACAAATAAAAGTTTTAATTATAAAAGTTTTAAGTATTTTTAACAAAAAAATAAATACATCATTTTAAATAGCGTCAAACGTGCATGGTTTTCGTTGACTGTACTTAGTGCAAAAGCCGAAAACAATATGATATTAAATTTATTTAAATCGGGGGCTTCAACCACGGGTGCGTCGAATACTGGGGGACTCGGCCACGGACCCAATAAGAAGACCAACTCGAGCCCGTGATAATAGCCTAAACATGTAGGGGTGTCGCTCTCGCTATAGTTTATTCAATCGTCAAAACTTCATTACTCAATTTAAATACAAAATAATTTTACTTGTAGAATAAGCATTTTGTCCAAATTACTTTCGAAAAAGGTTTGATCAAAAGTTGTCTTTATCGAATCATGTAATAATTTAAATAAAATAAAATGATTGTGAAATTGTATTTTTTACACAATAAAATATTATTACTTTTTTATTTAACTTACTCATAAAAATCTTTTGGAATTGACTATTTTTTACAATAAATTCTGTGCCGTCCGTCTGTCAGTCTAAAAAGCTAAAATTTATACCAAATATTCAGGTCTACTGTCCCTTGGAGCTGTAAAAAAATCAAACGGGGTTGCACCATCTTCGTTCGTTGGTTTCAGCCAAATGACGTCCACTGCTGGACAAAGGCCTCCCCCAAGGTTTTCCATAATCAGCGGTCCTGCGCTGCCCGCATCCAGGCTCTTCCCGCGACCTTTACCAGATCGTCGGTCCACCTAGTAGGAGGCCTGCCCACGCAACGTCTTCCAGCCCGTGGTCGCCCCTCGAGAACTTTCCTGCACCATCTTACTTTAACTTTAACAAACGTCAAAACCTTTCAAACTCCATACAAAAAGCACCCGTTATTGTTAAAGTTACTGTCAATTTTAGGTGGTGCAACTCAGCCGTAAAGGTTAATAATCCGCCATTATTATTTACACATTAATAGGAAACACAAATTTTAGAAAATAAAACATAACTGCTATACATGTCGCTTCACTTTCCCGTCAAGAAGTTATGTGTATGTGTGCATATATTACCACACATACTTACACCTGCATAGCTTTATCTCCGAAGATCGACATAATTATCGACGCCGCGTTGCCAATAGTTGCGCGCACACTGTGCCGCACTTTTGGAAAAAGCAATGAATGCGAGCTTTTTCACAAGACAAGCAACCTTTTTAAGCTTCTTGGAATTTCTGCGACTTCACAAGCTCTATCACAACTACACAAGATTACACATTGTTTAGCTTGATGTTGTCAAAACGCGGCTCAATTAGATTTTGGCATAGTGTAAAAAGTCCAAATAAGTTTATTTTATTTATATGTTTTTGCAGAGTAAATACAAATTAATGAGTAGGTCATCTTCATAGAAACGCCCGAGCGCGGTTTGTATGTGAGCGCGCTGCATACGTATTGGCGCGCTCACATACAAACCGCGCTCGGTGCGTTTCTATGAAGATGACCTACTCATTTGTATTTACTCTGGTTTTTGTTTCATGACAGGACGAGCTGATCGCTGTAAAACTGCGAGAGGCTGAAGCAAACCTCTCACTGAAAGAACTACGCCAACGTGTCACTGAGATATCCGAAACGTGGCAAAGATATCTTCAGGTAAGCAGTTAAACTTTGTAATTAGGTGTGAATAGACTTGCATTGCATCCTTGGACTGTTATGTATAAAAACAATAACCTTCATTTCACCGTTTAATTTGTTTAGGAGCACCGGCAAGAAGCGCCTCCTCCGCCAGCGCAGTCTAATGTGGTCTCAGACATAATGGCCACTCCGAAAAAGTTGTTACGAGCATGGGAAGGACGTTCGGCTGATGCTCAAAAGTTAGATGAGGAACTCATGAACACCAGAATTAGAGAGGTGGAAGCTTTAACAGAACTAAAGGAACTTAGATTAAAGGTATGTATAAGTTGGCTGTTTCATTAAAACCCATCCAGTAGTTTTTTACTATCATGACGTGCATCCTAGCCCGAGTAACGTTAAGAATTCATAGCGCGATTGCGGGCCCGCTCAGCTCTTGTAGAATGCAGATACTTATGTAAAAACTAATGCACAACTCACGACGCGGTTTGCCGCGGTAACCGCAGCCTCTGCGGATTGCGCTCTGCGATCGATTGGCAGGCGACCATTTTGTACCAGTGACTTAATTGCCCGTCTTGCAACCGCCCGTCTTGCGATTACCGACCGCCACGTTTGCGGGCTATGATCGGCGGCTGCGTAACCGCGCAAATAGCCGGTCCCGTGAGTTTTGAAATAGAACCGCAATTCCACAACCGCCGCGGGCGCGGGTGAAAATCGCACCGTGAGTTCTTAGCCTAATACACTCAACATCAAATAAACCGCACCTTCCGCGACGCGAACTTTAAAGATATTCTTCTGACACAATCATGGTACCCCAACAATATTGGTGTTATTTGAAAGACCAATAAATATCCTTAAAGAAAAATACATTTCATTTCTAAATAAATGATTAACATATACCATAAATGTGACTTGAAAATAGACCTCACTTTGGGCTCACCTCTGGGATCAATTAGACCAATTTTTATGGTTATAAAACCAAATAAAGATCTCACGTGTCCTCTTTATTTAACAGATGGATAGCGATTAATCCCAACTTAACAGTTTTATAGTCATAAAAAATGGCTATAGCGTAACTACCTATTTTTTGAATAAGTGACTCTGGATCCTTGTAAAGACACATTTTCGGGGTAAAAACCTTTCCTTTAATGAAATGAAGTTTAGAACTAGGCTTTCAAATGGTACCAATGTTGGTGGGAAGTGGGGATGCATACGTTTGATAAGTGCTTGTCGCAGGAGGTGCGATTTATTTGATGCCGAGTGTATATATTTTTGTCTATTGAACCTGGTGTTGACCCCCAGGTGATGGAGCTGGAGACCCAGGTGCAGGTGTCGACGAACCAGCTCCGGCGGCAGGACGAGGAGGCTCGCCAGCTCCGCGAAAGCCTGGAGGCGGCTCTGCTGCGCGAGCGCACCCTCCAGTCGCGCCAGAGAGAATACCAGCATAAGTTCGCCGACCTGGAAAGCAAGGTGCTTATTCTTTTCAACCGACTTCAAAAAAGGAGGAGGTTCTCAATTCGACCCGTATGTTTTTTTTTTCTATGTTTGTTACGCGATAACTCCGCCAATTATGAACCTCAAGGGTGGTCCCATTTAAATTTAATAATAGAAAAAACAACCCCCAAGGGCGGAAAATTGGGGATGAACTTTTTTATACGCAATATCTCCGCCGATTATAAATCAATTTAAACAATTATTTTTTTGTTGAATAGGTATTATCAAAAGGGTGATTTCATGCGAATTTGAAGAAAATATTTCACCCCCAAGGGTGGAAAATCGGGGATGAACTTTTTTATACGCAATATTTTTAACTTTTAGTTTTTTTTGTGTTCACGCATTTGAAGTCGGTTTTTTTTTTAAAGTTAATTATATTACAATCTAAATATATAAAAGGAGAAACTGACTGACCCACTGACATATCAACGCACAGCCTAAATGGCTAAACGTAGGCACTTGAAATTTGGAAGGGTCGTAGCTTAGGTACCGTAGAGGTGCACTAAGAAAGGAATTCCCGAAATTCCCACGGGAACGGAAATTAGCGGGAAAATCCTTTTGTATGAAAAATCTAAACCGCTTAAGTTAGACGCTTGAAATTTGGCATGCAGGTATCTTAGTAAACTTAAAGCTTAGTTACAACAGGATATTGCAAAATTCCCACGGGAACAGGAGTTAGCGGGAAAAAACATTTGTATGAAAAAATCTAAACCGCGTAAGATAGAATGAAGGGGGTAAAACGGGATCCACGCGTACGAAGTCGCGGGCGGCCGCTAGTAGAATATAAGACTTTTATTAAAATAGTACGCAGAACTGACGGCCGATGGAGCAGCCAGGCCAGTGGAGGCCACGTACCGGAAAACGCAGCGTGGGACGTCCACCCACAAGGTGGATTGACGACCTGATAAAGGTAGCAAGAAGGCGCTGGATGCAGTCCGCTACCAACCGTGCGATGTGGAAGTCATTGGGGGAGGCCTATGTTCAGTAGTGGACGTCTTGTGGCTGAAATGATGATGATGATGAAAATAGAATACAACGTGGTCGCGCTCGCGAGAACCTTGAGACGGTCAGCGCAGGACCGGTTTTATAGAAAGCCTTAGGGGAGGCCTTTATTCAACGGTAGACGTCATTTGGCTGAAACGAATGAACGAAAAACGTGCTCATTTTGATTTCCTGTAACTATAGGGGTATATTCTATGTATAAAAACTAGTTAAAATGTCTTAAGAACATGATTGTGTTCCTAAACGCACATTTTAGAATATTTATCATCAATCTTTATCTTTCTAAGTCTTTTTGTATATAATTTTCGTTAATACGTTATACATTTGTTATTTTTTGTTATTTAACTATTTATTTTGTATGAAAAAACTAAGTTGTTTTTTTTTTAATTTAATAACAAAATAATTCCATTCGATTCTTTGAAGTGGTCTCATTAATACCCTAGCTAGAGTTTCAGGCAGTCAAAAGAAGCGTGTTGTATTAGAAAGGGGCCCTCGCTAACTCGCGCGGGTGCACTAATATTATTCGATAATTTGTTTTAAAATACCAAGTTTATCTAACACTTTTTGATTGTATTACTTTATAATTACTTTTCAGGCCAAGTACGATTCTATGCAAGCCAACATTAGAAATATGGAAGACGCTCAAAGAATAGCAGAACTCGAGACGGAGGTTTCAGAATATAAACTAAAAGTAAGTTTGACAAGAAATTATATGAAAATAATATTAAATAAAGGAATGCTAATATGTTACATTAGCCTTCCTTTATTTACATAAGAATTGCCGAACTTGTTGCGGCCTGCGTTCAAGTCAAAGTGAACGCAGCTCGCATGATGTATCAAGATAGTCCAGNGTATAATCCGGCTGTATCTCCAGGTCACCTAGATACATTTCATAGCAGCTGTAATAGACATTTAGATATATACATTTACCAATTTTGGTGATAAATAGGCATTTTGTATTAGTTTTTGTATAACGCCTGAACAAAAACAAAGGGTAATATTTTGGTGTTATACATAGATTTCGAATATAAAAAATATATAATTTAACTAATTAAGACATGACAAAAAAGCTGAGGTATGTCTCGTTTCTGTCGGGTCTGGGTTTTTTTTGTATGGGGCGTGACCGTTCTTCTTTGAAGTGTTAACGCACAGTAGTTTTTGAATGATGAGGAGTCTAAAGTGACTCTAATTGGTTCGTCTAAATATACGCACGGTGCAGTCTCCTCCCTAAAACTAGGCTTAACATGCTCCTGCATGTCTATAGTGTTTGCTCAATATTGATTTAGTCGATTTTCTCCTGAAAAGAACATGTAAGACAAAAATAAAATTTCCAATTTTACAGACCTTCTAGAGCAGATGCCGCAAAAACTATACAAGATATAGAAAAACTTGACGGTCTCACCTGTAGCAAATTGAATAAGCTTTTTTTGGTTCATAGTAGTCATGTCACTAGGACGCATAGTTTCCGAGGATTAAGCGAACAACCGAAAAGTGGTACCTTTAAACCCCCCTCTCCCCGCCGACTCAAGGGCTAAGGGCGGGGACTTTTGCTATGTTCACCACCTAACTAGGCTAAATAAAGTCCCGATGTCAGAAATTGTGTTCCACGGATTTCTCTCTACACCGTCGTTAAGGCATTCATTGACTGGACTAAGAACAATGTCGGTCCTATACATTTTGTATTGATACGATCTGACAGTGAAAGCAATGAAGGCAAACTGACGGGTGCAGGCTGCTCATTTGACCTGACCAGTACCACAGACTGCAGAACGTATCCAGTATGACAAATATATTCCCACTATATTTTGGACCTTTACTCCCTTGTATTTAAGTCCAAAAACAATGAAAATTTTGGACGGTTAAAAGCTTAACCTTCGAATAATATGAATAGACAATTTGACACCATTCCCCAATAATTCGAAATCACAACTTTTCTAAAAAGACACTTCATTCTGGTCTTAAAAACTTAATTAATTTTAAATTACCTGTAATAAATTACGATTTTTGGTGTCATTGTAATTGAAAAAAGTACTTTAATTGAGTTGACAAAATAGTGACGTCACTTGCTTGTAGTGCCATACATAATCTATGGGAGAGTTTCGTTTTGACAGTTTTAAAAAGTACGTCAATTGATTGGTGGTGTCAACATGTCTATTTCAGAACGAAGTGATGGCCACTGAAGGCGAGCTTCGTAACAACAACATGGACGACTCGGACAAAGTTCGCGAGCTGCAGGAACAAGTCGCTGAACTCAAAGCCGAGGTAATACTCGTTCCTCTATGAATAAACCACTACCCACACGATACACGCAAGAAATTATACAGGGTGTCGAAGAGTGATTGAATCAAACTGCTATGGGAGGTAGCTGACCTACCCCTAAAAAATATGAAAAAAATAACATTTAATTCATTTTATTGCAGTTTTATGGAATTTTATTTTTGACTACACTGGGAGTTTAGAGCACTTTCTGTACAAAAAAATTTATGGCCATAATGAGGATCATTTCGATTTTTAGCTGTGAATGCAGATTTATAGGGCTAAGAAATCCTTAATACACAGTGCAAAAATTTTTGTTCTACGACAAAAATTGACGAAGTTATGGCCAAATTACTAAAAAAGTTCACTGACCGCCCGGCGCGGGGACGATGACGTCATTATATCCGATCCGAACGCTGCCGGCGTACTGCGTGGATAGAAAATATTTTTTTCTAGCCAAATTATCAGTTTTAGAGAAAAACTTGTAATGACACTTATTCATCAGAATAAAGTAAGCTATCGATANATGTGGTTTTTGGACATAGCAATACTTATTTTTCACAATTTTTATTTTTAAAAATTACTGGTCGATAGGTTACTTTATTTTGAAGAATAAATGTTATTAAAAGTTTTTTTCTAAAACTGATAGTTTAGCCGGAAAAAAATATTTTCCATCCCAATAGTACGCCGGCTGCGCTCGATTCGGATATAGTGACGTCACGCGGCCTTGCGTACGTTGACTTTTAGCGGCAAAAACAGCCTATGTTTATTACTTAATATCTTCGTAAGTAATGGTCCGATTTGGATAATTCAAAAAGATATATCTTTCTTATGTCTTAAAGATTAACGTAGATACTAGTTTTATTGAATTTTCTACAACAGTACTGATCCTCATTAAGCTTTTTTTTTTCATATTTTTAGTGGTAAGTCAGAGTCGAGGTCATGCTACCTCCCATAGCAATTTGATTCACTCATTCTAGGGAATCCTGTATAACAAGCGGCTTTAAAGCGCCACATTATGCAACTCATTTTATGAATTCCCATTACATCTCGAGTCTCAGCTTGTCATCGAATCACGTCCCAAATGTGGCACTTTTAGGTTCGCGAAAATAAATTCGAACTGAAGAGGACATTTTGTGTGTGATTACTGATTAGACATTTTCCTAATAAAATCCTTAATATTATTTCTATAAAAAATATTTTAATAATTAGGAAAATATGAACACATTAGCCTTAAAGCTTTGCTTATTTAACATTGATAACAACTATTTCTTACACTGTAAATAAGAAAGTTTTAATTGCACAACACTAACATGAGATTAAATAAATAAATAAAGGAAAATGCACTGTGTGAAGACACGCTCCGTCGCTTTACAGTCATCGGTCAAGCATACGCTTTATTCGTTACACATTTTGGGAACAATGTCCGTCTCTCATCTTACATTCATACTGATAATTTTCTTACAATAAACTCACTTGTTATAAACATAAGGTGAATGGGCAAACATCTAATTCTGTTCATTTCATTCTGGGACAAACTAGCTAAATTTTAGATAAGTAAGTTTAAAATAGCTGCGGGACTAATAAAGTTAAATTTAAAGCAGACTTCCCTCGGTCCTAAAAGTGGTAAAACGGATCCGTATTTAAAAATTTGTTCGTAAAATGCTTCAATAGTTGTCTGATACAATCTGTTTGGCACTTGCACAGTTTCCCACATCAACCACCACTCCGGAGAGTGAGCCCTGGATGGCTCGAGTAAGTGATACCATTACAATCGCTGTTTGACTAGGCGTTCGCCTGCTGAACTTATCATCTCGATTAAAGTGGCACGTAGAAATTATCGATATATTAAAAGGGCTAAAATTCACTTGACTTCTTTCTGGATCGTGATTATGTAAAATTACTTTTATTTAACTTATAATTTTGTCTGCGTAAGCTCAGCAGGTGGACGCACCAACCGGAATATTGTGTTAGTCCGTTGTGTACGTGTTAAGGGTTGGCAAACAATCGCAGCATCAGCTTCAGAGTTTTCTATTGTAGACTAGAAGAGCACTTAATGATAATTACAAGTCAATATTAAGCTATCGGTACAAAATTTTAGCTTCTCCCGTTTTAAAAATACAATGATGATATGATAATATTAACCTTAGGTGGGTTTTGTCTGTTTTTCATTGCATCTTAAAATATTTTGATCAACTTATTCATTTAATAGTTTAGTGTAAACATGCCATGGACCCTAAAATTCAGTAAAATGCTATGTGGTCGGTACGGTAAATTCTTGTCTATGCACAATATACTTTATACTATTATTTTGTTTGTGTACAAAGTTATTAATATTACCGGTAATATAGATGCAATAGAAATCATAAAACTTGCCCGCTAATGTCCTATCATTATAGTATTTTTTCCTTCAAAATTAATCAGTAAATAGCTCGATGTCCCAGTTGTTTGTAGTTAGATGTTTCAATTGACTGGTTTTTTTTCTGTTTTGTTACTAACATTACATAGTTTTGTATATTAACATTTTTCATAAGCGCATGCTTTGTGTAAACGTCCCATAACCTTGCATGAAATCAGTCAGTATCACATCGCTTTCATTTTATCATTTCTGAGCAAATTATCAGTTGTATACTATAGATAGAATAAAGTTGTAAATTCAGTGGCAAGTTGAATATACACTTGACGAGGCAAACTACGCTCATACAAACGTTGCATGTATACACGAGGTAAATAAACCTGTGTGTGCTATGTCACTATGTGAAATTGAGTGAGAATTTACATCATTCGTTCGTTTCCGCCATATGACGTCCACTGCTGGACACAGGTCTCCCCTAAGGATGTCCACCACGAGTCCTGCACCGCCCGCATCCAGGTACCTCCCGCGACCTTCGCCAGATAGTTGGTCTACCTAGTCGGGGTCCTTTTTATATTATTTTTTAGGTGGTAAAAATGCATTGAGTTGCATACCCGCCGCTGTGGTAAGGCTCTCCCCTCCAGAAGTCACTAAAAATCCACCAATTTCCGTCTTATTGAGAGGCAGGAGCCGGCACCTAGTGGGGGCCCTGCCTTCACTACATCTTCCAGCCCGTGGTCGCCACTCGAGAACTTTTCTGCTAAATCGGCCATATCAGGTCTGCGAGCTATGTGCCCCACTCACTGCCACTTGATTTTAGCAATTCTGCTGGCCATGTCGGTCACTTTGGTTCTCCTGTGGATCTCCTCATTTATGATTCGATCACGAAGGGAAACTCCGAGCATAGCACGCTCCATCGCCTTCTCGCTCCTTCCTTCTCATGGTCCACAAACGCCAGGCCGCAACTTCTATAATATTATTAGTATCGTATAATCTGCCGAACGAAAAAAACGGTGGTGTAATTAATACTGTGCAGTATTTTAACTGTCTGAATAATATAATAGAAACACAAAATATAATTCATACTTATCCATGTATTTCCTCCGCCATTTTCCGCAGTTTGGCACGTCACGTCACACATCATTTTACCGAAGTCAGCCCTATGGCTTCGGCGCAGTACCGTACACTGACGTTTGTCAACAAAATGGTTCTCGACTCTTGGGACAAGCTAAATTACACCATATTGTTAACGACATTGAGCATTCATTTTTTTAAATACCTTCGCGAAGAGTCTTCTGTGCGTAGTACTTATTATTATTCTGTTGTGTTAGTGTAAGTATTACTAACCATATTGCATTCATATTTAGTTTTGCTAACATTTTTAACTATTGTTGTCGCTCGCTGCTTAACAATGCATGATTGTGTTTATCTTCCAAATTACATTTTATCTGATAACTTATTTTATAAAATAAGAATAAGGACTGATTTTTCAATCGTCAGATATCTTATAACTGAATAATAAGTTTGACACATTAAGAGTAGGCGCAGACCATTGATTTTTAGTTGGCCGATAGTTGTGCCCGATTTTAAATTGTATGAAGAATCGACCAAATATACATGCCCATACTGATCAACTGCCCGTCTAAACTATCGGCCGACAAAAAATCAACGGTCTGCGCCTAGGCTAAAAATTTCAGTATGGGAATTATGAATAACTAGCTGACCCGGCGAACTTTGTTCCGCCTTAATAGCAATAAATAAGCAGACTTTTTTTTTATTTCGAACGGGATAAAAAGTATCCTATGTCCTTCTCCCGGCTCTAAACTACCTCCCTGGCAATTTTCAGCTAAATCGGTTCAGCCGTTCTTGAGTTAAAGTGGAGTAACTAACACGACTTTCTTTTATATATATAGATGAATATGAATATGTCAAAATGACAAGTTTATTCTTCAGTTAAAAGTTTTTTTTTTTTTGTGGCAACCAAACCTCTCTGGGAGGTTTATTTCTGCCAATGTCGAGTGAAAAATATTGACATAGTTATCAATAGAACGTGGGTGTTTCAGTTCTATTGATTTTTCATGGATTCCGTGGAGTTAAGTATGCCCGTAAGTTAAAAGTTATCCGACGATTGAAAAATCAGCCCTAGATGTTATAAGTCATAAAATGAATAGTTTTGTTGATGTAATGACGAATATTGATTGAATATTGACTATCTAAAACAGTAATAAATATAGCAATCTGTGATCCTAAAAAAATACTTTGAGTTAAAATTTAGCGTGAGGTAATTTGTGCCTTAAGGATTCATTTATAATAAATTTTAATAACTCAGAATTTTAACTATCAGTATTTTAATAGAAGACGTATTGTGAAACGAAACTCAAAATCTATTCAAACTTAAGATCGTTACGCTTGTAACATTAATTTCATGTGTTTTGTACTTTTGTCGTTTCATAAAACGTGTCTATATGGTGGTTGTATTTTGACTAGGCTGGTAGTGAGTGCGGGGTATAAAGCGCTGGCTGTTTAGAATGTTGATTGAAAAGAAGTGTTTTCAACAGAAGATTAATTTTAAGTTACATGTCGCGCCTGCCCCGCACCCACACTTAGTCTAGTCAAGTATCTAGGCCTAGGACAGACGAACTAACTCAAAACTGACGAAATACTTCGGCATATCAAGCCCTTCTACGCGGCACTTAACACAACCGATTTGCCACTACTAATTGGTTGTATCAAGCCTTTCGAATTTTATAAGACCGGTATGGGCATGAGACGCAAAAGTAACTCAACTCGAAAGCATCTGTGACGTCAAATCTTTATTTATTAAGCATGTCATAGTAATTTTGACGCTGTCATATTATTTTCGACGAATTAGGATTTATGTGGCGTCGGTTATACTCAGTGAATAGTGTATGGTTGGTTATGCGGACTGTTGAAAATAAATATTTTTCAACAAGTAACTGGAGAAGTTTTGCTGTATATGGACAAAATTATGGTAAATATGTTTATATTTAAATACTTCTACAAATTTTTAGTTTGGATTTCAATGAAAATTTACAAACCATTTTTTGCACTATGAGACTTGAACTGTGTAAAAAGAAATACATTACATATTAATAGAATACGTTAAAATTTTTGTTGAATAATAAAAGAAATCTTATTGTAATTTTTAGTAGATTTTTTAAGTAGTAACAGTTATATTAAGGTTGCCATATACAACAACAATAATATATTGTTGAATAAATAACATCTGGTATTGGTTATGTTGGTATTTTTGTCACTTACGGCGGAAGTTGCAGATGAACAAAAAGTTGAGTTACCTTGGTCTACTTTCAGTGTCTGGTCAGTTCTGAGTACGCTTCGAAAGTTCCCCTGCATTAGAAATGAAGAGAAGTAAAGCCTGGTCCGTGAGCACGTAGAATCCTGTCCAATGACCCCAAGCTACCCATCCTTATCGCTCGCGCGTAATTATATTGCTATCGCGACTGTGCGACGCGCGCCCGCAGTGAGTGTGCGAGCGCGACAGCAACATAATTACGTGCCAGCGACAAGGATGGGCAGCTTGGGGTCATTGGACGGGATTCTACGTGCTCACAGACCAGGCTTTAGACTAGTTTCTAACGCTGTTTGGTGTAGGTGATGAGGCTAGAAGCGTGGCGCGCGCGCGCTCAGGGTCACCCGGAGCTGATCCGGGCCATCTCCGTGGAGGAGGACCTGGAGGAGGACGACAAGCTGAAGCTGATCCTCCGGCGCGAGTCCTCCGCGTCGCTGGACCTCCCCCCGACCTCGCGCAAACCCGCGTAGCGCTCGCCTCGCACCCGCTTGACATACGCTACTTGATAGCCGACTCACACGATTGTGACCGAATGAAGTGTCTCTATCCCAACTGATTCTGAAAAATATCCAACAGAATGTGCGTACTTACACACGAATGCAGCTACTAGCGTCAAGGTCAGTTGAAAGTATATTGCATGAGCCCTATTTTTGCCGATATTGGTCTCGCAGAGAGGTGATCTCAATCGGACTATTTACAAACCGATCCCACTGGTGATTTGCTTCACGGAGTCTTCCGATTTTGTTTGTACGAATACTAATGACACCATTTATCCTACTCTTCCATTAGCCCCTAAAGTAATGTCATATTACTCTCCTCCTCCTCCTACTTAACTACCTCCTGTTTCTTTACTAACTATTATTTTGTATGTGGTACAGACAGCGTGTTCGTTACAGCCAAAGTGGCAAAAAGTTGACAACACAACCTTATTCGATTGATAAAGACGTGTTGAGTAGGTACTTATTGACTAATTTGGGTGTCACGAACTATTTGACGCTGACTGTACTACATTCTGATGTCGTCATTAGCTAAAACATACACGTAAACTGCAAAATAACTAAAATACGGTGATAATAGGTCCTGAAGCACTGCTGGCAGTGATAAAGCTAATCACAGTACCTAGTAGGTACCTACAGAGATTTTACGTCAAGCAGTTTCACTAAAACTGAAGTATCGCTTTTCCTACATATTTGCGCAATAAAGCCTGAATTCAAAGAGATATTTTGAACAGTCGCCTAATTTTCAAAAATGGTTCTAGATATTCAAATGATTTTTCGGAACTTGTCGGCTATCAACAATTTTTTACTTATCATTACCTATATATTGTGCATGTTAAGTATTAATTTAGAACATTATGCCTTCATTCGGTTGTAAAGCTTTTGTGTCCTAATTTAATAGAAAAAAAAAGTTTGTTATAAACAGATAAACTGGCGATGCTGAAATTGAAGGAATTCTCTTTCTCGTACACAACAATTCTAACTTATATTTAAAACAGAGAAAGATCTCCATAAATCAGATAAGTGTTGTCGGAATGCATGTATTATTATTTTTATATTACCTTGACATTAAAATATAATCTAGGTTTTTACGTTTACAATGAAAATAAATGATTTATTGATACTTTGTGATGTCAATTTATGAAATAGGTAGTTCATAAAATGGTTAGGCACGTATCCAGAAAAAGGCGAAAAAACTCAACTTTGTAGCTATTAGTATTTATCTTTAAACCATAGAATTTATAGGTTGAGATGCAATAATCAAAACATGCTTTAATTCAATAGCGTTTGATGAAGTAACTCGTGATGCCAACTAACCATTACCCTTAGAATAATGAAATTTTTATAATATGGTTGTAGTTGAAATATACAGTAGTGTTAATATTTCGTACATTAAAATTTGAACTTTTGAATGACAATTAGTAGCGATTGGGTATCCGTATATAACTTTAGGTAACAATTAAATCATGATAGTGGTATAACCATTTATTTATATCTAGATGAGACATGCCAAATCGATCATTTTGATCTCAAACGCCAGCACTTCCAACTGATTTTGTTGAAGTTTCCTACAGTGTTAGGGACCGGAGTCGGACTCCCGATACTTTACAAACGTGTTGTATGTTAAATTTTATCGTTAAAAACCATACAAAGGGCGGTCGCACCCCTCACCCCTCTGAATGAACCCTTTGAAATTTTATTTTTGCTTATTTTTACGAGTTTCTCCCTGTAAATATAGCATAAATGTTGTCTACGTACATCACTCCCAGCGCCGCAGTCGGTAACGGTTTTAAAACATCAAATCAAACAAATTAACTGACTACCCACTCTACCCATACTTAAGTTGTAGTGAGTGAAAGCTGGTGAGATTACTCACAAATTATAAAATTATCTTTTGGCGAAACAGTGTGCTTTATAAATACGCACCATTGAAGCCATTAAACAGAATAATAATAATAAAATTCTCAAGCCTTATACAATAATCAAAATAAATGGCAGGAAAGGGCGGCAAATCTACTGCTACGGCTAAACAACAATTAAAAAAAAAAGAAGAATGGTAAAGTACAACAATGTAATTCGTAGCATTTTTTTATCTTGATTAACACTTACCAATACTAAACTTTCTGCAGATGTTCAACAGAAGAGTATTCAAAAGGGAAAAGGCTAGGCAGAGTCTTAGCTCAAGAGCAAGACTCAAACTGCCAATAAGCCGCGTGGACAAGTTGATTCGGAAATTAGTTCCGCAACATTCAAATTTAATTCAAATTCAATTTAATCAAAGGGTTTTGTTGATTATATTTTAATTTCTTAACAAATTCCATTTTAAATTCTAGGACATTTCAACTGCTTTAAAATAAGGTCACCTTTGTGTATGTAGACAAGATAAAAACATAAATCAATGAGTTTCATTCATTAAACCTTTAAAAAATTAGACAAAATAAAATTTTACATACAATACAACAGGTTGATAAAGTATCAGAAGTCCGATCCCTAACACACTATAAAATATTTTCGTTAATATATTGGACTTATGTAATTGAAGACTTATTTTTAAAAACCATAACTTTTTAATGCTAACAATAACGCCACATACGAGATACGTTGCGTAATGCAAGCATGAGAATGTAATTACTGGACATTCCATTATATTAGAAATAATTATTTAACAAGAATTTAATAGTTATTCTATTATTCCAAAAAGCTATTATAATTTACGCTTTTAGGTGATTCAGATATAATGGCAATAAAGAAAGAGTACTTATTTAATTGTTTTAGTAAAGCTAAGATTGTGTGTTTTTATGACTTAATTTATTATTATATTAAATACTCATTGTGTATCGATATAAAATTCTATACACCTTTTGGTCATATTTGTTCCCACTTGTTCTATTGATCAGCTCTTTGGTATAAGTACTCAATAGAACATGCAGGAACAAATGTTTTATAAGAGTTCATTAAGAAATTGAGTAACTATTCTGTGATATTGAACTGAATAGGCACTGACTTTCATGGACTGAATAATAAAATAATTTCCTATGACTTACCACTTCATTTTTCTTTATGTTTATATTCATATTATCGTGCAGTACTACGCTATTTTTACTAAACACGCTCAGTGGTAGCTAATCAGAAATGTAAATAAATAGATGTCAATTTATAAAAGCCACTAAACTTCCGCTATATGGTATTTACAAAACCGCAGTCAATTTGTGAAATACTAAAAGTCCGAATATAGTGTTAATTGAACAAGAGTTGATAGTTAAGACTTTACAATCGCATACGAAAATAATTAGCTGTTATGTTATAGATTAACTTGGCAGCTTTTTGTACCGACTTTCATATTTATTATTATTGTTGTAACTGAAAAATATTTGTATTCGTTTACTTTCTATACAGTATGTCTTCATAAACTGGTGCATATATAAAAATGGATGAAACATTTTTAGAGAAGAAAAAAAATGACAAAAAATCTTATAATTTATTTTCATTTTTATATAGATTTATTTTTCTTTAAATTACCTTCTGTTGACTTTATTAAGAAAACGTTATAACTTTTGATACTAATAATACCTCTTAATTCAAAAGCTATAAAGTTTTCTTTACAATAAGTCAACAGAAGGTAATTAAACAAAAATCTATAAAAAATTGATTAGATTTTTTGTAATTTTTTTCCTTTGCTAAAAATAGGTCATATTATGTGCACTTTATGAAGACTTAAACTGTAGTATGTTAAAGCTAAAATGGTTGTTTCTTTGAATTTGAAATGTCTGACAATCAATATTGAATTATTTATACATATACAGGGTGTTAGGTAAATGGGTATATGAGCCGACACTAGCCCATGTTAACATGGTCATATAAATGGTAAGGTGAAGTCAGAAATTTGATATCATCATTTTAATGTTTTTAATTTTCATAGAAAATAAATTTTATAAAATCCGATTAGTATGGAAATTAAAATAATTAAAATGAAGATATCAATTTTCTGACTTCACCATACCATTTATATGACCATGTTAACATTGGCTAGTGTCGGCTCATATACCCATTTACCTAACACCCTGTATACATAATTAAAGCTTCAACATAAAGCTTCAACCAAACCAACGCGTGCAGATCGCTCGCCGGTGCGTTCTGCACGCGTTAGTGTGGTTGATATTTTCTTTTCTTTCAGAGAATATTTTCTTTCAGAGATTTACATATTCAAATTGCCGGTTCTTTGAATTTGAAATGGCTGATAAATTGATAATAAAATTATTATTTTAATTCATTATGCAATATACTTGATTTACTATAGGTGTTTCGTATTTACTCACTGTCAGACTTGAGTATAAATATTATTTTCTTAAAGAGATTTACATATTCAAATTGCTGTTTCTCTGAATTTGAAATGTCTGACAATCAATATAATTTAATATATTGATTGTCATTTAAATTATTATTTAAATTTGTATGTAGTATACTTGATATACTTTAATAATTCTTATCTGAAATATGTTATTAGTTTAACATTTTACTGTTTCGTATTTACTTACTATCGGACTTGTGATAATATAATTTGACTATAATATTTTCGTTCAGAGGTAGTTATTTTTACATAAATATTCAATTTGTAAGCAGCTGGTAGAACTATTAATGTTAGTTATATTAGGACTACTAAGTTATTATGAATTATACTACAACATTGATGACAAAAAGTACTGGGCATGGTTCGGAGCTATTGTTGGCAATATTTTATGCCTAATGTTTAAAGCAGGATAACTATAATGATAATTACAAATAGAATGTAAATTTATCAGTCATTGTGTTACTTTAACAGGTCATTTATTGTTTAAATCGTGTGAAAATCAGTAATACCCAAGACGTTCCGTCGCGCGTGTTTTGAAACGCTAACGATGAGTTTCGCAACGTGTGAATCCAAACTATGCAAAGGTTTTCATTTTATCGACTAACTATATTATAAACAATATAAATACTGTAAAGTTTAATTATATCCGTTGCGTGAAATATTTACAAAAATCCTTAATAACTTTTACGTGTATAATATTAGTAGGTACGATTATCCTGCATTTAAACATATGGTTAATTTAAGTAACTAAATGTATTATTTTTTGTTGTAAAATATTTTCCTAGTTTATTTTTGTTATTAATATGGAATGTAACATTTCTAAGTTAAGTGCAATTATAGAATGTGAAATTATGTTGGAGTAGATAATATTGTATTAATTTCTCATTTATTTTGTAGAATCTATTTCCATGTACATTTTCATATTGCGAAAGCTGTAGGGTCAAGGAGGCAACAGTGACTCGGTCGGCTACAGTGGCTCAGTCATGTTTCGACCTGAAGGCATAGGAATATACATATATTTGTCTCTTTTACCGATTCAAAGGTCTTTGTACCCGAACACGTTTAAACCAGTTTGCTCGCCGGTCAAGTGCCGTGCGGAAGGGTGAGGGAATGTTTTTTGTTTTCGCGCCCTCTAAATTACATTCTAAGGTGAGTTTCGATTGTTTTCATATCTTTGTTTGTTGCTATAGGTAATAGCCGTTATATTTATCGGATAGTAGGTCTTGTATCAATTGTCTTTAATCCGAATTTTGACTAATTTGTTTTACATCTTGGTTTTTTTGATCAAATATTTACAAAATGGCGTAGAAGTACACAGTGACTCAATTTTAATACTTTATACGAATTCAATATTTTATAACTGTAAATCGAATTTTGTTTTTTATTTACAGAATGCCACGGAAAAAAACCGACAGAAAAATAGGGAAGAAATAAATAACGAAGAGATTGAGATGACTTAAGATCTTATAGGTAGCAATAAAAGTACTAAGAGTCGTGTTGAATTGTTGATTATAATAAGAATAGCTTGTGCAGTTTTGTTATTATTTCTAACAAAAAACTACGCGGAATGGGCATTTTCTTTTCATATAAATACTGCCTTACCACGTTAATACTGTGTACCACGGTAGTGAGTCAGTGTGTACACCTAGTAGTCCACAGTGACTCAATTATCATTTTTTTGTTTTAGGTTCCTACTTTGACATAAGTAGTAAATAATGTAGAATCATGAGTGCTCAGTTACAGTTCAATAGTGTATCTAAAATGTGAGCAAATTTTAGGCCAATATTAAAGCGATATCTATTTTTATTAAGCTTCGAAAAAAAAGTGAGTCACTGTTGCCTCCCTGACCCTACTTATATTTTGAACAATGTATTTCAGAGCCAATTTGTAAACGAATTTGAAGACTAGTAGTAAGTAGTCACATGACATGTAGGTAACATTTGTAGAATTCGATTGTCCTCTAATTTTGAGTGATAGTTTGGTACCCCAGTTCAAAATTGAACAAGTACTTATATCGCTGGAATTGAAATAATAAACAGTTGGCGCCAACTGTTATTTTTCGACTGTTTATCATTATTAAAATCAGTTCAAAATGTATTGTTTTAAATTAATCGACAATCGAATTCCGTAACCTGTAAATGGCATAGGCTAAGGCTACAGATTTGTAATCAGCTATCAGTCCAGTAATATCAGGTTATCATAGCAGAAGTAATTTGTCAGCGTATTTACTTATTTTCATATCTACATTAATGACATCACATCATAAGTAATACATTTTTCAATAAAAGATAAATCAAATTGTTACAAATGCGTTTAATTTTTAAGTTTCCCATTAGACCCACCCACAATTATGATAGTCAGATATAGGCAGCATTTAAACCTAGTTGTATGTAGGTAACTACTTACTTAATATTTTATTGCATCATGTTGGTAGGTACATAGGGGAGAGTGGGGTAAGACGGGGTCCTTAACGTTTGATGGTAAATAAAATTGACCGTAAAGAGTTTTATTAATTTTTTGTATTCTTATAATCTTCATCGATAATCAGTCTTCATTGTTAACGTGTAATTTTGCAGTCTAATCAACATAATAAAATTTAAAAAAACAAAAAGTAGAAATACACCCTTATCCCCATCATGCCCCACCCCTAGGGTAAGATGGGGTACCCCCGTGGGTAAGATGGGGTACCAATAAGAGGGCAAGATGGGGTATGGCAGCAAACGACTATTTGCTTTTCACAATGTTCACAAGTGAACACGGTATCTGCATCTTCGTCATCTAAACCTGCACAGCTGCAGTAAGCCCATTTGCCGCATGCTGAACAAGCAACCCAGCCTTCATTTGAGTCCAAATATAGGCCCTTACAATACAAACAAGGTGTATTTTCAGTATTGCTGTCACTATTCTCGTGTAATGATCTATTCTTAGCCCCTTTTTTCTTCTTTGTTACTCTTTTCTCCTTAGTTGCAGGTTTTTCTTAAAATGTAAATTTTAAACTTATTCCAATAAAGAAATACTCAAAATTTGACTTTACGCCGAATTATTAATGGTCTTTTATAATTTCCTAGGTCATTTTATGCCACGGAAAACAAGGAAATTAGGACCAAAGAAATTAGATTTATGCCTAAAAGACACCACAGACAAAAACCTATTTACCCTATACATTATAAATAAATAAATAAATATCCTTGGACATTTTACACTGCGCTTCTAGTCCCAAACTAAGCAAAGCTTGTACTATGGGTACTAGACAACGGATATAAACATACTTATATACTTTTTTTTTGTAAATACATACTTATTATACATAGAAAACACCCAGTCCAATACAAACAAATATGTTCATGCACACAAATGTTTGTACTGTGCGGGAATCGAACCCGCTACCTCCGGAATAGTTGTCCGTTTCGAACCACTACACCAAACGGCCGACCCACATTTACTATTTAAATCATGGACGAAGACCCAGGGAAATTTACTTTTGACCTGGACAAGAACTTAACTTCACTTTATTTTCTTCCTATAAGTATTTGACATTTAAAGTTTTTATTTTCCGATAGCCAAAAGTTTCTCAAATGTAAAGAGAGTGCTATTAGAATTAAATTACGCTTCAATTTGTTATAATGAGCCTTCATTTTGGCAAACAACAGTAATGGACATGACAAGGAAATTAGAAAAACGACTTTTGATTAAGTTTTTCTACGGTATTATTAAAATTTGTAGTTTCTGCTATTGTAATAGCAAAAACAAATAAAACTTTTGATGAACTTTCCCATAAAAAGAGTTTTATACAGATAGATATAAAAAAACATGTGTTCAACCTGCCTGGACACAGAAAATTTACTGTTTCGGCGAAATACCCCCCTACGTGTTTATCCTATTTATCGATCGCTCGGGGCTCGAGTTGGCCTTCTTATTTGTTTTATCTATGTATGGCCTATTACCGTTGTTATCACAATGGATCATATACATCGTGCGTAGGTGGTATTTTACTATGAAGTCATCATGCGCATGGAGACCTGCGGGCCGACCTCAGATTATTGGGGCTACATACGTGCTCTGTGTAAGGCAGCCGCCGATCGCACAAAAATTTAATGTCTTAGAAACTTGTATTTTTTATTTTCATCAGAGAATACAGAAAAATCAAAATCAAAATTAGTGAACATTCGAAAATTCCGTTCCGTTTACCGCCTAGTAGACCTAATCCATATCTGTGGCCTAGACCGTAGACTTCGCACATGCATTAAAGGCGCTTTTACACTACGCGGAAATTAGCCAAGTCAAGTCAAAAAAACAGTGGAGTGGAGATGAAAAATGAATGAATTTCATCCCCACTCCACTGTTTTTTTTACTTGACTCGGGAAAATCATTCATTTTTCATCCCCACCCCACTGTTCGGTGTGTGTTCACATTGACTCGACTTGGCTAATTTCCGCGCAGTGTAAAAGCAGCAGGCTAATTTCCGCGCAGTGTAAAATCCACCATAAACAAAGTAAACTGTCAGTTTGAGATTTTTGAGGTCGGTGCGGTATTTAATATTTACGATAAAATTAACCTCTCTTGGGGAATACTTGTCCCCACGGAATCCCTGAAAAAACAATAGTAGAACACCTATGTTCTAGCTAAATAAATTTCCACTTGATATTGGCACTAAACAATTAGGAAGAAATATAACCTCGAAATCGTGAGTTTCCAAAACCAAAACCAAGTCATTACAAGAAACACAAGAAGGAGAAGGAGATCTCTCTGTAATTATTAAAACAAATTAAAGTTTTAAAGGTCAAGTGTTGATCCGTTATTTGCTAGAATAAGTCGCCAAAACTATGTCTACTACGGGGGCAGGTATATGCGTTATCAAAGAAGAATTTGTAGTAAAAAGACCAGATAAGAATACTGTAATTTTAGAAAGTGGTCCTCTTAAGCACAAATTAGATGACGACATTGAATCTGACGCCACTGATCCAAAAAAACCCAAAGGGGACGAAGAACAATGTTTTAAAAGCAAAAATAAAAGTAGAGGTCAAAATAAGGCTAGACCAAAGACTTACAGAGATGACAAGGAGAGCAAACCTTGTCCTACTATTGTGAGTGCTAAATCTGCTGATGAACTAATTCAATGTCAGTTTAATAATTGTAAATTCATGCATAGTCCATTAGATTACCTCAAAGTAAAACCAAAGGATATAACTAACAAGTGCCATCTTTATGATCTACGAGGGAGATGCCCACGAGGGATATCTTGTCGATTTGGATCAAGTCATATTACTCCAGAAGGATTTAATAAAGTCGATGAAGAAAAATTTGCATTATGGAAAGACGACACCAAAAACACACTTCAACAAACTTTACAAATTCAACTTCAAAAAAAGAAATATGATTTGAGTTTCGCAGAGAAATTAGTCAAGATGATGGATACTAGAAATAAACCTAAACATCAAGAAGATGGAAACAATGCAAATACCACTGAACATGATAATGCTAATGAGAATGGCAAAGCCAGTGGGGCCATTACGGATGAAGACATAATTAAGCTTCTGCCAAGAGAGAAAAAACTTATTGATTGGCGTGATAAATTGTACCTCAGCCCTCTTACTACCGTGGGGAACCTACCGTTCAGGAGGATTTGCAAAACATTTGGTGTAGACATCACCTGTGGAGAGATGGCTCTGTGTGAGTCACTTCTCAAAGGAACGAAGCAAGAATGGGCATTAGTTAAAAGACATGAAACAGAAGACTTATTTGGAGCCCAAATATGTGGAAATAATGTTTATCAAATTACAAAAGTTTCCCAATTGCTGCAAGAAAACACTGAGCTAGATTTTATAGATTTGAATGTGGGTTGTCCCATTGACCTAATTTATAAGAAAGGTGGTGGTAGTGGAATGATGCATAGATTGCCAACATTAGAAGCTTCAATCAGATGTGCTTCCAAAATTCTTAGTGTACCTTTCACAGTTAAAATCAGAACAGGAGTATATCAGTCCAAAAAAATTGCTCACACACTTGTCCCTAAGATTTATGAAGCAGGAGCATCCCTCATTACTCTACATGGAAGGTCCAGGGAAGCCAGATATACTAAATCAGCAGACTGGGAATATATTGAAACATGCGCTCAGGCTGCTAAGCCTTGCCCTGTTTTTGGTAATGGTGATATTCTTACTTATGATGACTACATTCAAAGAAGGGAATTGGCACCAACTGTACAAGGTGTGATGATAGGCCGTGGGGCACTTATAAAGCCTTGGATATTTACTGAAATTAAAGAACAAAGACTGTGGGACATCAGTAGCCATGAAAGGTTCGAAATTTTGAAGAAATATACTAATTACGGCTTAGAACACTGGGGCTCTGATACTCAGGGTGTTGAAAATACTAGACGGTTTCTACTGGAGTGGCTTTCATTTTTATACCGATATGTCCCAGTAGGCCTCCTTGAACGGCCACCACAAAAAATCAATGAAAGACCTCCAGTATATTTTGGCCGTGATGATATGGAGACCCTGATGGCTTCCGGAAACTGTGCTGATTGGATTAAAATTAGTGAAATGCTGTTAGGTCCAACCCCAGAAGGATTCCAGTTCCTTCCCAAACACAAAGCCAATTCATATGAGTGAAATATAGATGTCTATTTTTATAGCTGTTTATGTCTATAGCTGTTGTATCTATTAGATATTTTGGGATGGAAATATTGAATTTAAATTCAAGGATTACCTATTGCCTAATTATTATTTATTGTAGACTTAAAACTGTTTTGAAATACTATTTTATTGATATATTTTGTTGCCAAAAATGTAATTTGACAAAAAAAAAATCTAAGTAAAGGATAAAATATAGCCTGGCAATGGGGCACCATAGGTGGCCCCGAGGTTTTAATTAATTAATTACCAAGTTTTTAAAATTAATTATTAAGATTTAAAGTTATTTTAAAGTTTTAAATTATTTTAATAAATAATTTTTATCAAAACACAGTTTTTTATTTTTTATGTACCAACCCATCAAGACCATTGAATCTAAATTATTGTGGGATTCGAACCTCGAAGTAGGTATTAGTTGAATAAATTAGGTTACGTTACGTTCATTTATTTGCATCTTTTAATATTTGTTATAGATTGATGGCTACTAGTCCAGTAGAATTAGCTTTTAAATCGGAAATAATTCCAACAAAAGATTTTATTGCTTTAATGGCTTCATTGGTTGCCCATTAAGACTCTCCTAAGTTTTCGACTTCGACGGAGTTGTGCTTAAGTGGTGGGGGCCCCCGAAAGGGGCGCTTTTTCGGTTTTCCAGTTATACCGCGTAAATTACTTACCCTATCGAAAAGTGGTCTTCCTGATGGTTGAAGGGCATTTAATTCTGCATTAAATAAGACCAAATTNATTTTCTACTTACCCGAACTTTAGCGCGGGTACGGTTTATCCAAAACATTTGAATTTGGTCTTATTCAATGCAGGATTAAGTGCCCTTTAACCGTCATGAAGACCACTTTTCGATAGGGTAAATCCTTTACGCGGTATAACCGGAAAACCGAAAAAACGCCCCTTTCGGGGGCCCCCACCACTTAAGCACAACTCCGTCGAAGTCGAAAACTTAGGAGAGTCTTAATGGGCAACCAATGAAGCCATAAAAGCAAAAAAATCTTTTGTAGGAATTATTTCCGATTTAATCAATTTTTGTGTTTAATTCTACTGGCCTATACAGTAATGCATTCAAAGATCATAAACATAATAATATGTAACTCATTGGGATTTTTAAATCTGTTACTAGAAATACTTTAGAAATAGCAGCTATTATGTTTTGTCCAGTATTATAAATTAAAATTTTGGCAGTTTTTATAATTGCACTTAGATTAATAAAGCCTAGATTTTAATCTAAGTAATTGCAATACCTAACCTACAAAGGCCTACCTACCTAGCTACCTAAGAAGGTGGGAATCGAACCCTCGACCTTTTGCTTGCTAGTGAAACTGCCCTTCTAAATTAATATTATGGGTTTAAATATGAAATGCCGTTTCGTGAGAATTTGACGAAAATTCATTATACCTACCATACAAACACTTGCGATCTTATTTATGGAATTTAGTGGGTAGATTGAGACGCTGTGCTGATGTTTCAGAAGTTGCTCAAAAATGCTGAGCTGATCGCCCGATTCTGAGCCCGCAGTTTTCTTCTTCAGCTTCGTCATTGCAACGCTCAGCTCTGCTTCAGAAACGCAGACCTCCGTCCATAATATATGCCACAAATAATATCACAAACCCAAAATAGTCTTACTGGCAATTTTTTTCTTTTGCAACCGAAATTGAGATGCTCTTGGACTGCGTCTCACCTAAAAATGATGATCAGGCCGAAGGTGAAGGGGGGAATATTTACTTTCATCTTCAGTATACCTACACAGTTTTTACAAAGTTAGCTCTCTAAAAGAGCTTAGGCGTCGGTCGTCCTATACCTATACGTACTTACTGCACTTTTACGTACGTAATTTCTTAGGTAGTAAACCATATAATCTCATATCAATGTGCTTGAGTTATAATAAAAACATTTTTTATATTAAGTAGGTATGCTGCCCGCATCCAGGCTCTTCCCGCGACCTTTACCAGATCGTCGGTCCACCTAGTAGTAGGCCTGCCCACGCTACGTCTTCCAGCCCTACGTCTACGCGGGCAGCGCAGGACCGTTCATTGTGGAAACCCTTGGGGGAGGCCTTTGTCCAGCAGTGGACGTCATTTGGCTGAAACGAAACGAAGTAGGTATGCATCTTGAGGCTGTGCCAGGCCACTTACTAAAGCCGAAAGAGCACAAAATTATTTAGATGAGTAAGTATTATTTATTAGGAGATGGAATTTTTGTATTTAATTAATAAATAGTCACGATTTCGAAGAGCACTCATACGGCCCGTGTGCGGTGTGAGTGATCCAAATTAATCTTCATAACTTTGGAAAGGGACGTGCAAGGGAATTCTCAATTTGTTAATAGTTTTATTAACATATTCTTAACAATTTTTCAATACTATAAAAAGAAGTGCAAAGGCTTTATATTCTGAAATAAACATTTTCTTAAAGCGTGCAGATGAGTGATCCTATTTATTGACCGTAACATTTTTACATATCTCAGGTTAAACAATTTTTTTTACTGCACCGCAATGTTTTAACATGTTTTAACTAAACCTTTCTCGATTTTTGTTAAGATTGAAGCAAGGATCACTCAATCCTCATGCACATACCAAAAGTGCACCTGACGGTTTCAAATCATTTGAGTAATGTTGGAATTATCAGAAAATTTGTTATTTTGACATTTGATAAATCATAAAATTGAATAATTCATTATACAATTTATTAATGGCTTTAATTAAAAGACTCACAAAACACATTACATCCAACAAATAGGGTCCTAATAATGAAGGTCTATTCCACTTTGATCACCTGGCTTTGATGACCCAGGTGATCAAAGTCCACTTTCAGCGACAATTTAGTGTCCTTTGATCACCCACGGATACGATGCCCTGGGTGATCAAAGTGGACCCCAGTTAAATTATTATTTTAGTGTCCTTTGATCACCTACATACAAATCACACCTCCACATACTTAATGTACGGACAAACATTGTTCAGGTAAGTAACGCTTTAAAATATTTCATGCTGTAAAAAAATTGACTATATTATGAAAATGTTTGTACCTACTTACAACAATTGGACATGACGTGTCTATTCAGAGGAGGTGTGATTTGTATGTAGGTGATCAAAGGACACTAAAATAATAATTTAATCGGAGTCCACTTTGATCACCCAGGGCATCATATCCGTGGGTGATCAAAGGACACTAAATTGTCGCTGGAAGTGGACATTGATCACCTGGGTCATCAAAGCCAGGTGATCAAAGTGGAATAGACCATAATGAAATATTACTACGATATTTACCATCAGTAGTATGGATTTATCAAGTATTGTACTTAAAAAAAAGCGAAGATAAGTTTCTAAAGTTGAAGGTCCTTTATTTCCATGTACTTATACAACTTAGTCTGAAGTATCACATTAATTCGTAATTAAATCGAAATAAACTTCTTATAAATACGGGGAAGATAAATATTTAAGCTACCTAATTCAATAGTGTCATACACACTACGTACTAAATTGTACACTGAAACATACCACTTTTTGAGATTATTTAATAAATGCCACATTATATCATAATACCTAAATATTACTTTACAACAATTAATTCCAAACAAAAACATGTTATAACAACAATCTAAAACCAATGTTATTAACATAAATGATAAGATAGAACGATGTGCATTTCTGCAATAGCTTTTGCCTAAGTGATATGCATTTCCGTATAGAAAGATCTTCCAAATGTTAGTTCGAATCTAGACACAATTATTATAGACCTCAACGACGTGGCACAATGTTAGTTATTATTAAAGATCACTGCTAATGTTTAATATATTCCGATATTATTAATAAATGAGATCTTAATACTTTATTAAAAGTGTGCAGTGAAATTAAACCTAAATTATTTTTCCGACAATAGAAAGCGACTTAAAAAACAAGCGTTTGCATAATATTATTTGGCAAACATGAAATTATCTTTTTTGTTTGTAGAACAGTAAGATATTCAAAAATACTAAACAAAAACGTGTCTATCTAGCCACAAGTTATATTATTGGTCATTTGTAAAATATCATGCTAGGTAAACCATTATTTTAAGCCGATAATACATAATTTTGAAAAGGGACACGAATTAAAAATAAATATGTATTCGAGATAAATTTTAAGTGTCTACAGTAATATACAAAACTGTTTTTGTATTAGAACAATAGGGCAAGTATCATAATTGGAGCTACTGGAAAAAAATTGCAACAGAATTCCCAGAACTTTCAGATTTAATATTGATCTACATTTACAGGTTTTAAAAAAATGCAGCAAGAAGTTAACATTTGACAAAATACGTTTTTGATTTTTTTCGATTGATCTAGAAATGTAAGACATCGTAAAAAATCTTACATCTGTATGGTAATTTTCGTGATTTATATAAAACACTTTAATAAATAGCTTAAACACAAATTTATTGCAATACCTATTGCAATTCCTTCGAGTGTAAAGGCAATACTTGGCAAACATAACTTTCGAGGCCACTTCGCTCTATTCATTGTATTTTATGGTGTTATGTGCATTCCTTTTCGTTAGCAGTCAGTGTAAGCAAAAATGATTTAACATCCCCCCGGTAAAAAAAAAAGATTTGACCAAAAATACTAACTACGTCGGTTATTTAAAAGAGGCTATACACGCGCCTTGGAATGTCGCGCACACAACACAAACGACGCTTCAATTTAATGCTATACTGCAACTAAAAAGTAGCATCATTTTATTTTACTATAAGTTAACACAATTCATTATTTCGACAAAATATTACATAAGGTGCATACAAATTAAAAAAAACGTGATCACATGTAATGCCAATCTAACAGAGAAATCGAATAAATACAATAATTACATAATCTGGATTTCGCAAAGGTTGCTTTTATACAATAATCTTACATAATTTACTTGTGGCCTTGAAATGTAACCAAATCAAAATATCTAAATATACAGGGTTACAGGTTAAGTCGACCTATTCCCGTTAAGGGCGTGTTGTTTACATCATTTCTGACTGATTTGATTGTGAAACACCCTATCCTAAATCATACCGTTTTCGAGTAATTTGAACTTAATTGTTTTTTATGAAAATTTCCCGATTTTTGGCTATCAGCTTAGATATTTTTAAATTTGTAAGTCTTATTATTACTATTATTTGATTTTTACGTGCCGAAATCACATGTCTCGAATCAGATTAAGTGGCAAATCAGGAGAAGGTCAGAGAATGGATGGACACTAATTATCCGCCACAAATTATCAGCGAGAAGTCCAGACCTAACCCCCATGGATTTTTATGTGTGGGAGCACATGAAGAGTCTCGTGTACAGTGAGACCAATCCAATTTTGTCAGTTGAAGTATTGAGAGACAGGATAATTAATGCAGGACTTTAATATGGTTAGTAAAAAAAAAGTGGACTTCGTAAAAGAATGCGAAGATGTGTGCAAAACAGAGGCGGACATGTTGAACATGAAATTTAGACTAAGATATTTTGTTGGAACTTGAAAGTTGATTAAATTTAGTAACTTGTACTCACCTATTGTTTTATTTAGCTTTTTTGTCTCCCTGTAGATAAACCCTAAATTGTTATACCTCGTTGGATAGCTGATGCAAGCACATCTGCAAAACAGGCGCCATATTATTTTTTAAAATATCCTTTAAAGAACAATAAACCTTCAAAATTTTCATTAGTTTTAATAAGTTTTAATCGTCTCCAACGACTTATTCATTTTACGTACAATATTGGTTATTGAGGTCATAAAGCATCTTGTTTTACACGTAAAAATCAAATAATAGTAATATTAAGACACAAATTTAAAAATATCTAAGCTGACAGCCAAAAATTCGGAAATTTTCATAAAAAACAATTAAGTTCAAATTACTTGAAAACGGTAAGATTTAGGATAGGGTGTTTCATAATCAAATCAGTCAGAAACGATGAAAACTACAAGCCCTTAAAGGGAATAGGTAGACTTAACCTGTAACCCTGTATAATATAACTCAAAGGTACACACAGCCCAAACCACTGGACGAATCGGGCTGAAATTTGGCATGCAGGTAGATGTTATGACGTAGGCATCCGCTAAGAAAGGATTTTAGGAAACTCCACCCCTAAGGGGGTAAAACGGGATCCACGCGTACGAAGTCGCGGGCGGCCGATAGTTTCTCATAAATTAAATACTCTTATACATAATATTACATTTTCTGATAATCAAAACAGGATCAAAAAGTAATATTCAATAACATCTGCGTTATTACTACACAAATGAAAATATTATACCAAAAGGTCACTTAATAAAGATACCGTAATGTTTATATACAACATTAAGAACTACGTGTCTATAAAAATAATCATTTCACAATGAAATTCATGTTATACAGTTCATTCAATACATAACAGACAAAAATAATACACCAGTAGATCATAAATATTTTCTCCAAACACACATTCTAGTGTAGTATAATATTCTGGCGCTAACACTAAGTAACAAATGAGTGAGAAGATATAAATTCTTGGATCTATTTCACCGTGAATAAGTTTAATTATCAGAAAGTAACCGTGAATGCAGGAATTCAACAAATGTTTTGAGAAGTGTTAAAACATTACACAATTTCGTAAGTATGTACATTTAGATTTGTTCGTGGCAGCCCTTGTCAAACCTATGATTTTGAATAGGAGAACTCAACGGAATAACGCGGAAAAATAAGAACGCATTCGTTTTAGTTTTATACTAATACATAAATAGATAATATTTTTAATATACTGATATTGATTAGTAGACGGCCCTTTATATACTGGGTGAAAAGTTTATACACTGTTACCAAGTAGATATTATACGTTACGTGTTGACATGTACTTAAAATGCAAGAATAGTTTTGTCAATTAAATACATATTTACAAATTCATAGTATAATTTTATAAGAAAAGCTTAGGTGAATGATTTGGATTATTAAAGAAATTATTTTATTGATTTTTTTTAAATTTATGCCGTGACTTTGATTGCTATGACGCATTATCTATATGTTATCATCATTGAGATTACAGGTTTTTGTAGAATACTAAATATACAGTTGCGAACAATAATAACAAGTTCAAAAAAGACATTACCAATAAAACTAGTCTTGTAAAAGCGCGACATTAAATATCATACATAAAGGCTACAGCGCCGTGCTAAACTGATCCCAACTTGCTGTCAATGAGAAAAATATACTAAATGCCTTTTTTTTTGTAAAACACTATAATATTTTGACTTTTAATCGAATGCTTCTACGTGCTCAGCGACCAGCCTATAGACTTTTAAAGTGTAAACAAAGCTAATTGAAACAATTACATGACAAAGAACTGGAGAAATTTGGATAGCTTAGTATGCTCTGTTTCTTGTGGATATGTAATTCGATAGAAATGTTTTTTCCTCTCGCGATGGCAAATACACCTTAATTACGAATTATTAATATACAAGTAACTAATATATGATTTTCCAAATGTATAATTTAATAGCAAGTTAATTATGAGTTTGATGAAGCTCGTGCTCTATAAAACGCACTAAAATGGCACAAACTTCGTCAAGCACGCGGTGTAATTAGTTGTAATTACTAAAACGAGTAAAATTTGTATATGACTGTTATTTTATATGTATATATTTTATTGTAGTTACTATTATATTAATGAATTATACGAGCAATTGAGAAAAATCTAGGCCTACTGTTTTGAGGTCGTAAGTATATATATAATGCAGTCTGTCCAACTAAAATGTACTTAGACATTTTGATTCTTTAGCTTAATTCAACAATAACCACCGAAATAGTTGCCTGTGTCCATTTCATTTTATTGTGGAGAAATATGGCAAATATTCACGCACATTGTAGTTGGACGCCCTGTATTATTAATATAAGTATTATAAAACTATGGTATATGTATTTATATTATTACTATTGATACCATACAAAATTATTTGTAATTGAAGCTAATACCTTCATAGGCTACGTGAATACTTCAGGGTTTAGTAGACGTTCACACTACAAGTTTAGTCATGATGTATGTTTCAAATTGCAAGACGATTAGTGTATAATTATTAAATATACATAATATTTTTACGTGGTATATAATATTTTTAAGAAGACTTGGACTATTATATTACTATATCACTGATAAACGAAGACTTTGCGGATATTATTGCTTTTTAGATAGGAATAAAACCGTTGAACACCATGACTGACATGGAATTATTTTTACTTAAAAAATAACCTTTTTTGTTTAAAATTACAGTCACTATCGTAAATGTTACGTCACAACGAATAAATATTTGTTTCTAAATGTATTTCGACGCGCGTAACCGCGTAAATGTATATGCATGATGAATATTGACGTTATTCAATGTACAGAGAGCATATTATGTTCAACAGGTTTAGTGAATTTGTTGCTATTTTAGACTATTATTATGAATATCGTTAAAATGCGGCATTGTACAAATAAATTTCTTATATTGTAAAAAATCTTGTGTAAAGCTCAAACGTAACTAATTCTATAGGACCAATATTGAAATATCATAATTACTACACTTTCTATTTTTCCGATGTTGGGCCCATAAAATCTGGACTTTTCGTGTAAAAGAATGACCTTATTTATAATTGACAAGAATATTGATATAGGTTCGGTTTAGTAACAGATGTGTAGAGGCTTGAAACGTTATAGGTACTCGTTTCACTTTAATCCGGTATGAATTAATACGCACTAAAATTTAACACCGTCTACATCTATGCCCTAATATTTTCTTTGTGTTCACAGTATTTTGAATCTACTTATAATAATAACGGGTAAAAGGAAGAATTACCTCGCTATTTCTAAAATCAGTCTACTGGTTGCAATTCTGAAATTATGGTCTGATTAAAGTTTAAACTGTCTATTGAAATATTCCCTTGCGATTCACGACTCAGAACTATGTGTATACTAAGCGTTTGCGTCATACTATGGCTTTAAAAATACACCACTATTGTATTACTACGAGTGTACTACGGAAACTTTTCGACTTTTCTCCATATCAATTATCACTCCATTCCAATAACACTGGAATATTTCTTTATATTGAGGTTTACTGCGTAGTTTATTTACCATATGCTCTGAACCAATCTCAAGCATACCGTGTGCTGCACACGTAACATGCTTTTATTTGTGTTAAGTAATATCTACTTACAAGCTTGTGTCAAATATATTCTTGTAAGTGAGTATGCTCAAAGCTCAACATCCAAATGATTTCAAGCATGCTTCCGGACTCACGGGTGGGAGGTCAGAACAACCAATAAATATGTTTCAAGCAACATGCACGCTTGCAGGAGCGCACTACTTTTAAGCATACTTAATTAACACGCTATTTATAAGCATACACCACTGTGAATCACGCAATCGTCCCTATATCACGCGTGGTAACAACTAGGATATAATTATGACCTAAGATACTTAGTATAATACAATATTAATCAAACTTTACATGATCCTTCTTATTTAATGTTTGGTTTTCGTATTTTTTTACTACATAATTACGTGTACAAAATAACATACACATCGCTAATATTACTTCCGCACGGATAGCAACTGATACAATAATTATAATAAACATTACACCTAACTCGCTTCAGACATCCATCACTCACCTATTCACACAAGCACAAAAAGTAGAAGAGACAACATTCAATTCGTACATAGTTCCAACAAAAATATATAAAAAAAACAATAACATACAGTAATATTTACAATTCAGTCCATTCTTCACAGTTGTTACAATTCAAAGCGTATTTACATTATCCATCACAAACGAACCGATTCAGAGAGCACACAGTGTCACTTGCAAGATATAGCACTAGAGGTGCTATTTGTCAATTAAGACAGAAATGATCATCGGTAAACAGTGAATGACGACTATAAACAACAGACGTTAGTTAAACTATATTTCCATCGCACAATACGCCTGCACTGTACCGCAAACGCGAAGACGACTTGCAATCAATGAGTACCTGTGAGCTCTACTAAACCATTGTGACACATTCCTTATCACTTAATAAGAAGTCTATTTCATTCATGAAATACATTTAAACTCCTACATAATAAAAGGACAATAACTAATGTTTACATAGGTACCAAACATTAACTGCATGGGGATTACTTATTTGTAAGTATATGTAAAACATCTAAAACCCTACATTGCATTACATACGCAATATAACCAATGTTAGTAAATAACCTAATGTAAAGTTTTAGATCGTTTGGATCTCTTCAAAGCTTTCGAAGTCCTCACCCACGGCAGCATGAAGTCTCTGCAATGGAAAGACAAAAACAAGTAAGCTTTATGAAACGTACTTACATGTGAGTTAAATGTTGTTTTCATATTATCTAACTTAATTACAATGCAGATACAATAGCAAAGTGACGGAATTTTAATTTAGTTAAGTAGCGAACATTCAAATGCTCTAAATCACGATGTAAAGCACCGTAGTCTTGGTATATAACAAACTTGTTAAGAATTGATACTGGTATAACTTTGAGCGAAAGTAATGACGATAGACTCAGTTGCTTACATCAAGAAGTAAAAGCTTGCGCGTTAAAAAAGAAATGTCTGCCATCGGTGGCTGTATTCGGTTTCCGATATACGCAGAGTTCTTGAGTGGTGACCATGAGCCGAAAAACGTGTGTGGGCAGGTCTCTCTCCACTGGGTGGGCCAACGATCTGGTAAAGGTCGCGGAAGCATTTGGATGATGGATGATCCATGATGGTCTTTGTGGAAATCCTTATGCATGCCGGCGCTATAACTGGCTACTGGCTATTTTGGCTTAAGTTATAGTATTGGGGATCCAATACTATAACTTAAGCCAATCCCCAATACTATAACTTAAGCCAAAATGTATGGATATACATCAATGACTTGTAGATCGGTCTTTGGACTTAAACGTAAGGCCAAGACCGATCTATACATTACTCGTAGTCTAGCTAGTGGATCCAAGACTGTGACTTGGAGTCAATAATTATACCCAATGTGTGGCGCCGGCATTAGTCCTTTGTGCACATGGGCGTACCCCACTTGTGCAAGTCATTCCAGCTTCTGGCATTCAAGTCAGATTTTTAGATCATATTATTGACTTAGTTCCTTCAAAGCGACTTCAAGAGGGTGCAGCTGGGTACGCCCATGTTTCTGTAGCAGTGAACGTCATTAATCTAAAACGAACGAACGTAACCTTGACGTGTACTGTGTACTCACGCGTTCGGCAACGCTGGCAGGATCTCTCCGAAGGCCATCACGGGCAGCGTGTCGGTGATCTCGATGAAGCGCACGTCGCGCTGGGGCTGCGGCCACACGGTGTAGACGGCGGGAGCGCGCGCCCCGCCGCCCCAGGGGTCGCGCTGCCGCTGCCGTAGCCGCTCGACGTGCCGCTGCTCGCGGATCCGCCGCATGTGCCATCTGGGAGAACACACGATGTATGTTGTTCCCACTTGTCGGGCATTGGGCCCGAATATTAATCTGCAGGCACGAAACTGGCGACGGCCGAGCGATGGCGGCGCGACGCGACGGCAGAGCAACGACGATGCATACAACATGGACAGTATGGTGAATTGTTGACGTGAACGAAACGGGCGGAGGCGAAGCGGGGCGATCGCAATACTATAGTTCTAAAATACTGAACTGTTTTTTGCCATGTTGGAAACCATATAGTTGAACGATGATAGCGCCCCCCTGTCATTGAGTTTGGTGGGACAGTTCAGCGTGGGTCATCTATACTCCTCATCGCTGCCGCTCCGCCATCGCGTCGCCAGTTTTGTGCCCGCAGACTTAATCGGGTTTCGGCGGCGTCGGCGCCGTAAGGTCACGATTACACTAGTGTTGTGTCGTGTCGTGATGGCCTCTGACGTGTCGTCTACTAAATGTTTCATACATATACACTGATTATATTCTGGTGCATTACACACAACACAACACATCAGACAAATATCAATTCGGCTTTAGCTTTTTGCAACGCTTAGCAACACAAATATTTTGCGTTTATCTTGAATGGCTGGTAGAGTAAAAATATTGTGAGACACGTTAAGGCTGAAGCTAAACGAGCGTAATTTACGACGCGTTTTTTGAGTCTACACAAAAGTTCTGTATGAATTTCACAACGACGCAAAATGTGTTTATTTTGCTTGTTTGGCGTCAGCCTAAGACTAAACATCTTTAAAAATAACTTAGGCTGCGTTGCACCACCTAAATTTAACCGTAATTATAACAATAACCGGCGTTTTTTGTATGCAGTTTGACAGATTTTTGACGTTTGTTAGTTAAAATAAGATGGTTCAAATCAGCCTTAAGAGCGTTTACGCCGTTTGGCGCAAAAACAGTACTTTTTCAACTCGTTACAATCATTAACCAGTAATACTACAAATATGTTATAGGCATAAATAGTTAGGCGATTTCGTCGTCTAAATAGTTAATTGAGAAAATATTGCGATTAGTTTAGTATTCAAGAATTATATCAAGATAAGTCCACACAGGTTTNCCCCGCAGCTGGTGGGTATGAAATGGTATGCATTTTCCGGATAAAAAAAGAATAGTAAACAGGAAAAGTTTGTTTTGAATAGAACCGATTTGAAAAAATCTCTCACCATTAAAATTCATTTTTTTTTCTGCTGAACATAGGCTGTATAAAATATTCTCAAAATAGTAAAAAACCTTTGATAATTTACTATTTGATTGATTAGGACTAATGTATACCATTATTTATAATTATAGAGTCGGTGTTGGAAGATTTGAAGATTTTATAGTTTCTTTGGGCTGTCACTTGACAGCCTGGCACACTTTTACGATGGTGGATCAAAGTATTTTGGTTTGACTATAGAGCGTGAGAACACGCACACAGTCACAATTATTTTAGTGTGAATAAAAATAGCATCGAAATTACCTAAACTTGACATGCCACGCTAGACGTAAACGCTCTTAATTACTAAAAGTTTTACGATTTGTAATTATATACTATTTAGACAAATTAATAAAGACATTCTTGACATTTCATTTGCAAATTAATCTCAAACTGTGTGAGGGCGACGCATCCAAATTCCAACTGCGATCACATGGCCCATTTCTTTAAGTCCTCAGTCAGTCAGTCATTTCATCAGTGCATACGATATACAACGAGAGTAATCGATAACTAGATCAATAATTTACAACGTGTAGGTATTTCCTGAAGATATAATTTCATTCTTACACACAGTAACATAAAAGTACCTGCATGTTGCGGCACGTTGTTTGGGCAGGCCTCCCACTAGGTGGACTGACGACTACGTGAAGGACGCAGGAAGTACCTGGATGCGGGCAGAGCTGGCCCTATCGTTGTGGAAAGTGTTTGTCCAGCAGTGGACGTCACATCGCTGAAACGAACTCCATGTACATATCCATGGAAAGGAAAGTCCTATTCTTCGCATTTATTCACTCAAAATCTAAAATATTTTATTCATTTTATTAAGCCTGGCCATACGACGTGGCAATGCTGCCAGCCTTTTGGGCACCATTCCCGACTGCGGCGCTGGGGGTGACATATATTTTATTTTGTAAATAACATTTATTATAAGCAATTTTTAAAGTTTAGTTTTTAAGTAATTTTAAGTTTTTTGTTAGTAGATAAAATTTTCAATAATAAATTTATATTATTTTTATTCAATTTTGACCACTGGTGTCACTTACGGACGTCAAATACAGTAAAAAAGTAGCCCATAAGGGGCACTTTACATGTCTCCTTATCTTTTGGGCCCTACCAGCGCTTCGAGACAAACATATGGCAAGTGCTGAGAAGAAAATTATGTTAGTTTTATAAAATTTCAAACAATCTGAAAAGACAAACAGCATTGTTGACTTACCTAAGTTGCCGTCGCTCTTCGGCCTCTAATTTTTGATGTCGCTTTTCAAAAACCCTATCATCCAAATTCTCCGTTCCTTCGAGCGTATACGTACTGGTATACGGCTTTTCTCGCCACCTCGGTACCTGAAATGACACGCGTCAAATTAAAACAATCATTATATCTGTTTAGACATTAGCTGGAATACTGAAATCTGATAAATCTTGCCAACGTTGCGAACTTCTTATTTCAATAACAACGTATTATATAATTTTCTTTTAAACAAAAAACAATACACTCCCACCATGAATGTTTAGTAAAATAACATTTCTAAATACAGGTATTAGTTTTATGCTTCATCAAGGTGGAACGACGAAATTGTAAAGGTAGCAGGGAAGCGCTGGACGCAAGCCGCTACCAATCGATCAACATGGAAAGCATTGGGGGAGGCCTATGTTCAGCAGTGGACGTCCTGTGGCTGAAATGATGATGAACAGCTAAGATGTGAGTTGGTTGATTCTTTATTTTGATGTAAACTAGCAAACCTCAACAGTGGAAACTTTGCTGTCTCCGGTTTGGTCCACATCCTCCAGCTTCACATCCGGGTCCAGGCCGAGGTACCACGACAGATCCGGATCACCCACCAATGTGTGGTAGGGCTTCTTTGTCACCATTCCGGGCGTGGGAGATTTTTTCCCACGGCAAGCCGCTAGAGAAAAATATAGTACATTAAAAACACTATTCCAAATTATTAAATACAATGTACAATAAATATCCTTACCTTTCCCTTTGACTGGTTTGGGTTTAGGTGGAGCCCCAGGCACTTTCGGGATATTTTGGTTTTTTGCATTTTTCCCTAGACCTGTAGTAGAGAGAGCCCGTTTTCTGCCGCGTTTGCTATCAAGCATGCCTGGCATGCTAACTTGGCCGGGTTCACCCTAAAACAAAGGTTTCAATTAATTTTCATACAAAAATATACTTCAAAATATTAAATGTATTCTACTGAAATAACACTTACACCTAAAAGATTAGAGCCCATAAGACTGTGAGTCCTGACTGTTCGTTTAGTTGATTTATCCAAGACACTTTGATCAACAGTGGTGTTGTATTCCACAGAGTTTAGGTTCTCCAAACGTAACGGAGACGACGGCGCGAAGAGTTCTTGAAACTCAACTGAATCCAAAGATGGCAGAATATTGGATGCTAGATTATTTGGATTTTCTCCATAGGAGAAATCACACAAACTTGTCTCATTTCCCGGTTTATTTGGGTTGTAAATTCGCCAGTCAATTTCTGTTTCTGTTTTCACTATATCTAGATCGGGTTCTTGAATGATAAGTGTTTTGACTTCCTTTTTTCTTTCAGGGGGTTGTACGTAGGTGCTGGGCATGTGAAACCTATCCAGTTTGGTCTTGGGCGTGGGCTTGACAGTGGTCTCGGCAGGGTCGTAAATGCGGCGGGTTGGTGCAGCTTCCATCGTGCCATCTGCAGACATTTTCATTCTACTATGATTGGACTTTTGAAACATAAGTTTTGGAATCGGCGATTGCTCCCTCAAGTCCGCCTCCCCGAGCTGGTAAGGATCTTCCCCAGTAGGCGTCGTGTCAATCAACTGCAGCCTGTCCGAAAGCGATCCGGTGAATTGTGAAGTCCTTTTATTTATGGCATTTTTTGACTTACCATAGGTATTGATCATTTTAGATTTTTTATTGATACTAAAAGGACTGAATTTATCATCATCAAACATTTTGCCTGAAAAATAATTTATCATATTTAATCAATTAAATATTTGGGACAGATACACATAACTGGAGAGAATCGAATTTGTTATGAACTTACTGCTTTCAGAAACCTCAGGCTTAGCAACAGGAGTCTTTGACATTCTACTTAAGCTTCCCAATGCAGAGGATGTCCTTCGTTTATTTCTCTGTATTCTTTGGATGACAGGATTACCACTAAAAATTGATGAACATTATAGTTGTTGTTTTATAATCATAATAATATCTAATATCATATCATATCATAATATAATAAAACTAAGCAGCACTTTTTAATGGAATATTAGGACAAGGTGCCAGCCCCAAGTAAATGGTTTAGTCAGAAAAAGGTCATGTTATATGGTAAGTGGAAAATTTAAGACATACATAAACATATTTACCTATTTGAAGTCACAGTATACAAAGCTTCAGAACGGGGTTCAGTCATTATTTCTTTCTTGTTGGTGACAAACGGTGTACGCTTATTTTCAATCATTGTAAAATTGTCACGGTTTAAATTATTATCCAAAATTGAGGAAACACCCAGGTTTCCTTGCAAGAAAGTTGACACGTCTGAAAATAGTTTGATGGTCATTTAACATTTATGATTATTTGAAGATATTTTTGTATTAACAAAATCTTAATTTTTGAAGAATACACGTATTTTAAGACTGATAATTTACAGAGTAACAGGTACAGAAAAAGCTTTACTTATATAAATTGCAGTAATTTCAATAGTTTCTATAAATGTTCTACAGATATATGCGGATATAATGAAGCAGAAATCATATACTTAAATAATATTCATTATAACTGAGATAAAAGCCTTACCTTCTGTGCCCCTGCTGATCTCAAAAGAATCTTGGCCAAAAGGTTTGTTTTTATTCAAATCACTATCGTACAGAAATGAATTTGTTCTGGTATCAGGCAGTAGAAGCTCAGTGAAGCTGTTCAGCATTATCTGAAAGTTTAATCGGAATTTGTTGTCAAATAATTACCTAAATAAGTTTAACCATCAAGCAAGATTTGAATTTACATTTCAGAACACTCAGATTTTTTCAATATAAAGACTTCTTCATATTTTTTTATTTACATTTATGCTGTTGTTTCACCATGGTAAGTTCACCCTAAACACAACCTAAAGCAAGCAAGGAGTCATGGTTAAATTTTTTTACATACAGGGTGGAAACGATAAGTGATCTCACTCGATTATTTCTAAACTATGCAAGATATCGAAAAACTGGTTACTGATCCTGAAAGTGCTTCACGAGCTCTATCCAACGTTACCAATAACACTGGTCAACAAAAAATCAAAATGAAAATGGTGCCGAGATTCTGTTGATAGTTTATTATTAGGTGTGTATTAGTAGTAATAAAAATATTTTTCTTTTTTTTTTCCTACGTGTAGTTTTGGATCTACCCTCAGTTTTAAAATTTAGCTTTAATCGGTACTTTGGTTGCACAGTTTGTAGTGTTCTCGGTACATTTTTATAAATGCATATATTTTAATATCATGTCTACATTGCCAAGAAGTTGTCTCAATAATCAAAATGTATTTTTGTTACATTGGTGGTGTGTACACAGTTAAAAAGTTCAAAAATTCAGGCAAAATTTTATTAAAAGTGCTTATTTTTCTTACTTTAAGTCGGAAATTGTGGTTGTATTCAAGCCGTGGATACCCAAAATTGTTTTTATAATCTTCTGTGAACACTTAAGGCAATGTTACAATGGTCAAAGAAGCCGTAACATGAAGCTCAGAGTGGAGAAAGTTGGGAGAAAGTGAGGAAAGAACAAAAAAAAATCCTAGTTTGAGCATATTTTTTTTTTAAATTAATTTATTAAGTGATTTTTTATGGTCCATAAATAACAATATTAATAAAAGATACTGATTTCTTAAGTTCGATGGACTATTTGGAACGATTTGCATAGATTTTGTTAATTGAAATTACAATTTTTTTTTTGGAAATCACTAGTCCAGTAACTACTCTGAAATTGTGAGACATGCCTTAAAAACTCAGGATGTCATAATTTTTATCAAAGAGCACTACCTCCATAGTCATCTTGACCAATTCCCAGAGAATCTTGGGTCGCATTAGCATGCTATAGCTAAGAATAGGGAGAGCGATGCTATCAAGACCTAAAAACCATTGGAAGAGAGGTACCAAGGCAAATGGGATCGTTATATGATGGCTGATTACTGCTGGAGGATGTAACGTGATAGTTCCATTACACCTCATTCACAAAAGTCGTGGAAAATAAAGTTTTTAAGCATTTCAAAATATTATAAACGCTGATTTTGGTGAAATTTTGTATTTTTCTATACACGTTAAAATCTAGAAAACCACACGTAGGAAATCAACAAATTTGCTACTAAAGCAACCAGCATAAGGTCCTCAATCAAAAAATATATACAGTTCCTTGGCACCAAAACCACTGTTGACCAGTGTAATAGGTTACAAAATAAACTGGATCTATCCGAAAATTCAATGTTTCCAGCTTCCATACATTTAGTAAAACAACTTAATATTAAAAACTATACTAGCTATCCAAAAACTGATAACTGATCCTGATAGTGCTTCGCGAGCTCTATCCAACGGTACCAACAATTAGTTACAAAATAAACTGGATCTATCCGAAAGTTCAAAGTTTCCAACTTCCATACATTTAGTACTGCCACAATCATGGCCCTCATGTCTTGATAATATTATAGCAAGTAAAGCCTAAAACTAATGTTTTCCATGAATAATTTTAAATAAGAATGCAATTTACGAGTTCATTTAAGTGTTTATTATTTAATTAAAAAAAATACACTTTTCATATTGTGTGGCTGGCATACATTTAGTATGGAGGCTGAAAACATTGAATTTTCGGATAGATCCAGTTAATTCTGTAACCTATTACTGATACCGTTAGAAAGAGCTCGTGAAGCTCTTTCAGGATCAGTAACCAGTTTTTTGATATCTTGTATAGTTTAGAAATAATCGAGTGAGATCACTTATCGTTTCCACCCTGTATACCTGTGCTGGTGGTCCGGGTTCAGCTTTCACCACAGTTGAGGTGACCGGGGGCACCACAGGCGTGGGGGGCGGCAGGCCTCCTGGCGGGACATGAACGAGCGGCGGCGGGTTGCTGTGCCTCTGACTCACTGTACTTACTCTTCTGTTCAGCTTAGTTTTGAGCTAAAAGATAAACATGTACCCAATAAAAACAATGTTCCTATCGGCAACATAAAAAATAACAGTATCAGTCAGAAATCAGTCTTAAATTTTTTACTGCGATACAATGACACAGACTTGTCTATACAGTGTGAGTCACGTTAAAGTGTACATATGAAAATAGATGAAACTAGACCTATTTTTATCGACAAAAAAGAGGTCAAAATTTTTTTGAGATTTTTTTTTTTAATTTTTTATAGAATTTTTTTAACAATCACAGCAAATGTTGTGATAGGGATAGAGACATGCGATTTTTGGTTTTACAAAGATAATACGATAGAGAATAATACAAAGTAATAAAAACCACCTGTCATAGGTGCATTTTTTGGAGAAATTTATCAAATAACCAAAAAAACACGAATTTTTAAGCAGATTTTTTTTAAAAAGTATCATTTTTTATTATTTTTTGGCATTTTTTGTGTATTTTATGTATTTTTTTAGTATCGCCTGTTATTTAGCATTATTACTGTTTTTATTTTATCAGGATATACCGCTTAGTTTAAAAGTTATTACGTTTTCTTTACAATAAGTAATCGGAAGAAAAAAAATTCTATAAAAAATTAAAAAAAAATCTCAAAAAATTTTTGACCTCTTTTTTGTTGATAAAAATAGGTCTAGTTTCATCTATTTTCATATGTACACTTTAACGTGACTCACACTGTATTTTAATTACAAAGTACAATGTAAACTTATAATAATAACTTATTGTTGATTGAGTTTCCACATAACAACATCAATATGTAGAAATAAAATAACAGTAATAAATATGGTACAAATGTTTTAAAATAAATTAAAATGATAGACTTGCATCATTAATGTAGGTAGACGGATTACAGAATGTTTTAAAACAACTGTTTTTAGATCCTATCAAATATGCAATATACGAATGTAGGTTACCAGGGTTCACTTATGGTCTAATCAGTTTTTAATTACTGATTAGCAGCTCTATTAAGTGGTGTTTAGTAAGTAATACTGTCAGTCACAAAGGGTAATGTAATGCAAGTGAAAATATAATGCTATGATTACACTAAAGGTGAAAAAGAGAGATGCATATCTCTATACATATGTAGTGCAAATCAAACAAGCTTTATTTTTGTGTGCTAGTTACGAAAGCATATATTATAGGTATAAAATTTTTTCACTCGCTATAATTGTTTTAAGCCACAAGACATACTTTAAGCAAGAAAAAAATCATGCATTAAGATAAATATACTTCGCAATGCAAACAGACATTTCATTCTGCAAGAAACCAGTGAAAAAATAAATTCAAAAAGGTAAGTAAATAAAAATCAAGACAAAACTTCCATTACCAGCAATAAAAATAATAATTTAGGATTGTCTAAGCTATATTACCTAATTCACATCAGATAGATTTCGTTCAAAACTCTGAAGAAAATCTGAATCCAACATTGAAGAGCAGTGCATAAAAGATTAATGAAGATGATACTACACTCGGCATCAAATAAATCGCACCTCCCGCGACAAGCACTTATCAAACGTATGCATCCCCACTTCCCACCAACATTGGTACCATTTGAAAGCCTAGTTCTAAACTTCATTTCATTAAAGGAAAGGTTTTTACCCCAAAAATGTGTCTTTACAAGGATCCAGAGTCACTTCTACAAAAAATAGGTAGTTACGCTATAGCCATTTTTTATAACTATAAAACTGTTAAGTTGGGATAATTCGCTATCCATCTGTTAAATAGGACACGTGAGATCTTTATTTGGTTTCATAACCATAAAAATTGGTCTAATTGATCCCAGAGGTGAGCCCAAAGTGAGGTCTATTTTCAAGTCATATTTATGGTATATGTTAACCATTTATTTAGAAATGAAATGTATTTTTCTTTAAGGATATTTATTGGGATTTCAAATAACACCAATATTGTTGGGGTACCATGATTGTGTCAGAAGAAAATCTTTAAAGTTCGCGTCGCTGAAGGTGCGGTTTATTTGATGTTGAGTGTAATTTCATACTTGAGTAAATTATAGAAAGTTGTTATTTCTTAAGTACACAATTTGTTGTCTGTTAAAAGTATAAAGAAATTCGCTGCCAAGCTAATCCTTATTAACTGATGTGTAAGGAAAGTTTTGTGAAAGGATTATTTTTTTTAGTAAATTTAGAACTTTTGAATAGATAATATTGCAAGCACAAATAATACTTTCGCCATTTCATAATAGGGGATGGTACAAATCAAGACCTACCCTGGTAACCTGAATAATGACTTGATTTATTAAGCGCTCATCACATTCTCACAAAATCAAAGTTTTGAACAACAAATGTATCCAAATTAAATATTCGCAGGGCAGTAAATATTTAGAAAAAATATTCAAAATGTCACAAATCAGAACAAAGAATTTGAATTGATTTTTTTTATTGAACACTTCTGCTTACAGGATGTAAACCATGTCTTACTTAATAATTTCATTAGCCTGGATTACATGCTTTAATTAAAATTAAAGAAAGAAAATATCATAGTCAGCTTATTTTAAATTCAGTATAATTTCTAAGGAGATGCAAATATTTAATAAACTAACTGTGATGATTTCTTTGAGTTCAAATCTGTTCATTTCCAACACACATAAAATTCACTCAAATACTAGTCAAAGACTTAAGTTCATACCAAATTATTATAGCTCATTAAACGATACAAAAACATTAGCAGATAATTTGTAAAACATCAGTGAATTAACTTACAGTATCATTTTCCTGTTTTAAGGCTTGATATAATTTTTCCCTTTTAGTAATGAGTTCGTTTTGTTGCTGGATCAAGTCTAGGTGGTAAATGAGTAGATCCTTCAACCTCTTGTTTTGGCTCTCAGATGCAGCCAACTGACCAGAGAGTCTGCTGACTTCCGAGGTCACAACTAAGTCCTTCTCCTCGGATACTACACAATGCGTAGAGATCTCGACTTCTTTATCGAGTTGAAGCGCCTGCCTCCGGTCCGAGGTTTCAGAGTGACATGCATAAATGTGGTCGAATGGGAAACTCAGCAAGCCGTCCTTCGTGTCTAATTGGTTCAGTGTCGACAGATCGGTCGAGAAATTCACCAAATTTGTTTCATTTACACTACTGCGACTGTTCATTTTTATGGAGCCAATCTTTGGTCGCTTACGACGAGCCTGCCGGCTGTCAAAAACTATCTAACCGACACTGCACTTGTTCGTATCATTACAATTTTATTGATCATCTGTTTCACTATACACAACTAAGCACTCTTGTAAAAATTAACGTATATAAAAATTAGGCATTACATTGTCAAAACAGCGACAAACCTACGTTTCTTCTATTCTGACATTTCTTTCACGCACATGCAAAATGATAAAAGACGCATATTATCTATGCAATAGGTACGAACACTTATAGATTTTGCACATGTAAATAAATGGCGATTCATTTGTGTGAATAAATTATTATTAATTTTCTATCTAATAAACCGGGATTTGTAAACGAAATAGAACTGTATGAAAATTCATCAACTAGCGTCAAGGCGTCAACCGTAGACATTTAGTCAACTTTTTTTATTTGTCAAACATAGCATAGTGATGCGACCGGCGCAGTATTAGGCGCAGTCGTCTTTTTCAACGCATGGTATCGATTCAAATATTTAAGATGGCGCTAGTGTTAGGAGGTATCCAATTTGATTGAAAAAAAAAAGATTGATTTCAAAAATTATGGACGAGATTTTACTCCGTACTACCATACTACATAAATACATTGTATGTTTAGTAAAACTAAACTAGTTTTACCGGCACTGAAATAAAATGTCCATGTAGGTATGTTCCAGTTCCAGGCCACAGTTAAAAAAGTGTGTTTGTTTGTCTATAGAGCTAACCTTGATACAAAAAAGCGGGAAATGTGAATTGTTTTGTAGATTTTTTAGTATAGTCAGTGCTTCTTTTGCTATAACGCAAGTCACCGAAATGTTTTCTAAAATATTATTTTAAAATACACAACTTAATTTATCACTTTCAGTGTGTACTTAATAATTTGATTATTTGCTTTGTGCAAAGTAAAATATTTTGCTAATATTGTTTAGTTTATTTATAAAGAAATGTTATTTTATTTTTTGTACCCCAAGAATTTTTAATACAGTCCGAAAAAATATGTAAAAAACAATCAAGCAATTTCGAAACATAGATTAAAGTCTGAATTAGTAAATAACTATTCAGACCTTTATTTTTACATTTTATTTTATTGATTTTTTATGGGACAGGTAGGTACCTAAACGAGCAGACACGGATCACCTGATGGTAAGTGATTCCATTTTGTACTTCTCAGTTTTCATAATTAAGTAGTACATGAATTACCTAACTACTTAGTACCGAAGAGATATTGTTTTGCACACCGCAAATGTACACTTTTTTGCATGTTTACTTAGCGGTCCAGTTATAAAGTAGCTTAATCATCTTTTATTTATTCTTTGCATTCTGCGATTCAAATGTTGAAAAAATCCTATTTAAAATGTTAAGTGAGGATCAGGGGTCCCAAAAATATTACGTTAATTTTACTCACCAGGATTGCAGTAGTGCAGAATGCAGATACAACTATCACCATGTAAGTACGGCGTTGGAGCAATGCGCATCATGACTCCTCGAGATTTACTTAGTCAGACGCAAACACAATATTGAAAGGGCTGGAAATTATGATTTGCTTTATCCGCCCGGCCTGTGAGATTCGAAGTCAACTTAATATAACAATGATGATTTGACTGTATGTATAAGCGTCTGCGGCATAAGTGGGTAATACTTAAATTAGAAGCGATTTTGCGTTTATCGCAGAAGCATTAACGCATATTATAGGTAGTTATCATGGAATCTGCGTATACCTTAGCATAAGTAGTCAAGGGTCTACCTAGGATATTGTAATAAGCACAAACATACCTACTTATAAACCAGATATAAAACATTGTATTGGTATAACTATCCCACAAGAGTACCTAGTGACTGTCGATTCCTATCATTAGATATGTTTATTATAACACCGGTCCTCTTTATTTATGATTGTGTTTCATTTATTTACGCCTACTTACTTACAGTCACTGATGACTCCTTACGTGATTTTTTCTAATTAAAAGTTCGGATAATAAAACACCTAGAATTAATAATTCAATTAGGTGGTTCAATAATATCGAGCTTCTTAGATAATTTTTATATCGAGTTATTTTTTCATTAATTGCATCAATTTTTATGCTTTGAAGTTTGGAATGAAGGATGATATTCGTGTTTTTTGGCGCGGTGCCAGCCAAACAACATAACGCTCGAACGAAATACGTATACGTTGATAACCGTGAAAATAAACTTCTATGAATACATTTTCACGGTTTAAACAGTCAAGAAGCAGTATACGTTCGATATTTAGTACGGCAACCGCTTAATCCTTGAGAAAACACGAAAGTTGTTTATATTTACGCAGTGACGTGCGCGATTCCGCAAAACTGGCTCACCAATTTTGGATATCCTATCACCCACCGACTGGTAAGCACTAATTTATCTGCCAATTTTATAAAGAGTACAGTAACTAACATAGGAATATATTTCTATTCGTTTAACCAATATTATAGCACTTTAGTCTTTTGTTATTAGTACGTACCTACGCATCTTAGCCAAAAATTGTGATGTTACTATGTAAAGTTCTAACAGAGTTAAGTACAGTGAGACCGTTTGATCACCCCTGCAATTTTTTGACACCTGAAAATTGCTACACTGATGCAATGAAGTAGATATTACCTACACGTGATTTAGGTCTGGCAATAAGTAGGTATCATTACATCGAAAATAATGAATACTCAAACTCTTTGAGGTCATTCTTACCTATACCTTACCTTACTTAGTAATACCTATGCGTTACGTTATTACCAGACAGGTAACGTCGATTGCGAACCTAGGCCTACATTTTTAAAAGTTTTACTGGTTTTACTAAGTGGCCTGAAACCAGAAATGATTCATTTACATTTGTGTAAATTGTAGTGTACCTTCAAGTAAGTAAAATATTGGCATAATAATAATACCATAATATTATGGTAGCTACAGTACAAGTTTATAGTTTTACTATATTCGCATAGCCTTTCGCCGAGCACATAATCCACAGAACCAGCTTACATTTTACTTATCTATATCTATATCTATATCTTCTTTAATATATAAAAATTAAACCCGTTTCGCGTTGTCACGGCATCACGTGTGAACGGCTGAACCGATTTCGATAATTCTTTTTTTTTAATGTTTGTGGAAGTCCAAGGATGGTTCTTACGGAAAAAAATATTAAGAAAATCTCTACGCTAAGGCGGTACGAAGTTCGCCGGGTCAGCTAGTGTTTAATATTTTTTATTTCCATCTCGGCCGTTTGGTGTAGTGGTTCAGAACGGACTACTATGCCGAGAGGTCCCGGGTTCGATTCCCGGCCGGGCAGAAATTGAAATGATGAATTTTAATTTCTGTGACGGGTCTGGGTGTTTTCTATGTATAATATGTATGTATTTACAAAAAAAAAGTATTTAAGTATGTTTATCCCGTCGTCTAGTACCCATAGTACAAGCTTTGCTTAGGTTTGGGACTAGAGGCGCAGTGTAAAATGTCCAAGGATATTTATTTATTTATTTATCTCAAAAGGAAACAAACATACATCCAGCGGTGATGAAACTCCCCCAATACCAGAGGAGGAGCTGGAACAGCAGAAAATTGAACATGAAAAGCAGGTGCAAAAGGTAAAGCATAAACTTTATTATCCGCAATTATTCGAGTAGGTAACTTAAAACACTTTCATTTGACTTCAACATTTTCGGCAGTTTCGATGAATCAGAATAAGGTCTGAGCTAAGTGTAAGTATAAATAAACATTCAATAAAAATTAACGATTCACTCCTCAGTAGGCACGCGAATTTATTACTAAATGCCTACTGAGGATTTTTTAAAAGTATAAGTGAAGGCAAAGTAGGCTTATAGCTTTACACTACTACATAAGTAGTGGTCACGGCTCTCCTACCCCCTAATTCAACTCCAGAAGCAGCGAACGTTATCTCAAGAAAGAAAGCTCCCATACTTAGTAGTAGCGTAAAAATGGTGAAATGTAAACCTTGGTAAAATAATTACCTACTAGACATATTAAAGTACCTACCGATTCTCAAAATACAACGGGTCGATAAATCGATAAGGCCAAACTGTTTGAATGCAGCGCGAGGCGCTCGATCCAGCAAGGTCAGGTCGATATAGTTGGGTATTTCTTATCGCCACGGTTCTCATCGTCACCTTCGTGGCGAATTTTATATCTAACTTATTTCAACTTTTTGTAAACAAAAATTGTAGCGCTTGATGTGAAGATTGTATTATCAGTAAATCAGTCAAATAGTGAGTCTCGTTTGGAAGATTTAACGTTTTGAATTTTTTGATGCCACGAAAGTCATACTGTAGCTACTTCACAGCAATAATTTTTTCAAATATTTCTACTGTAAATGACTCTTAAGTGTTTATAAAACATATATTTTGTCTTATTTTCATAGATAAATAGCAATAACAAAATATAAATAGGTACCTAATTAAATACAAGATAAAATTTTACTGATTAGGTCACCTACTAAGTTACAAGATTCTACGCAATTGCTTTTAAGGGTGACACTGGTGGCATTCTGAAATGCTAAAGAAGCAAAAAACGGATTATTAGTACCTCAATTAAAAAGAACTCTAACTGATTATCAGTCCCTCAACAAAAATATATTTTTTATTTAGGCCAGAGGGCCTCGTATTTTTGTTGTACAACTTTTAACTCAAACTTCAAATTAAATTTATCTTACAAACAGATACACAGTCACATATACAGACATACATACAGTCATACAGACAGACAACAAAAATACGAGGCCCTTATTTTATTTATTGATGTACTGATCTCTACTTTACCACGTATAATTTATTAGTTATTAAAATTATTGTAAAAACATAAACAACAGTCACTATATTTTAAAATAAACCAAAGCAAGAAATCACTTTCGTGGCCTAAAATCACCTTCGTGTATAAAACACGAAGCTGTACCTCTAGTAGGAAAAACTTTCGAGTTCGTTTCGTTGCGTATTCAAAGTGTCATCGAAAAATTTTGTATGAAAAATTAAACAGCGCCCCCTATATTATAGCCCCCTATATTATAGCCGCCCTAGGGGGCGCTGTTTAATTTTTCATACAAAATTTTTCGATGACACTTTGAATACGCAACGAAACGAACTCGAAAGTTTTTCCTACTAGAGGTACTGATGCCACGAAGGTGACGAAAATTTTAGTTTTTTATGAATTATCCTTAAATTTGGATTTAACGGTTCAAGTCGAATACTACAAAAATAAGTCTAACATGTTAAGTTTTCAATGGCAAAGTTTCAATTAAATTGTTTAAATTTTAGAGGTAGAAAATATTGTTCAAACAAGCGACGGTATGTCTATGGACAATCACAAAAAGCTACGTATTTTTTTCGCGGAGCGACGATCGACCTATCTCACCTCTCCAATGGTCGAAGCGTTACTGACGTTAACCGTACCTCTAGCATGAACAACTTTAGTCTTCGAATCGTTTGCGTATTCGATAAAATTCGATACTCAGTCTTCGAATTAAACGATATAACGTGACAATTTTGATTCTGAAATTAGTTTCGTGCAACCACATCTCATACTAAGTTCAATTTACGACACGTTCACAAAGGCGCTGTTGTAGTTTTCTTACTAAATCTTTTGATGGCGATTCGAGTACGCAAACGATTTGAACTCGAAAGTTTTTCGTGCTAGCCGTATCTACCGAATAGAACACTGTGATTGGTTCCTGGTGTTCGGTTTAACGGCAATCTTGTATTATTACTCAAAATTTTAGGTACCTAAAATCGTGTGACCAACGTATTTCGCTTTCTCAATTCAAAATAATTATAAGAAGATATTTTTTTGACTATTGTGTGGAAAGTATATTTAATTACAATGATTTTAGTATATACTACACACAAATTGAATGAAAATTGTGAATGCAGTAACCAAATGTTTCATTGCAACCGAAGGTGTGACACGATGAGAACGCGAAAAATGACCCCGTTTTTTATCGTATCATGTGATTTTTTCGTATTATTTTTGCTTACGATAAAATTTATTTTGTATGTAGCTAAATACATATTTTATCACCCGATTTAAAAGGTATTGTTCTAACTCATACCGTTTATGAACTATTATTGTGTGACCATCAAATTTGAGTGTAAATGAGAAGTACCCAGTTACGGAAAATTGCTGGCAGGGATTTGTTATGACTTAGCTGAAGTGCACAGGCGGAGGTCCTGGTACCTAGGCTCATAGTCTGTCTTGATAAGACAACAAACATGTAGTAATTGAATGAAGCCTCAGGCCACTTTTTTTCTAGTTTTTGATAGATCGATTTGACCAACAAAGGAACTACTTAAGTAGGTATCCGTCCGTGTTAGGTATTATTAATAATAGACATCAAAACAAAAATAGATATTTGAATAAGCTACTTATGTATTGTGTTGCTATGAAGTTTTAAACATTTAAATTAATATTCAGTGAACCACACAACTATGTACCTATATCTAGGTACTAACTACTATTTAGATAGGATCTCGAATGGCTTAAAGAAAAGATGTGAATTGTGATAATATGTATATCTTACTTGAAATCACACAAAGTGTTCTTTGAATAACAGGAGAAAGAATGCCAAGCAAGGGAGGCAGAAGAGGTTCGACAACTCGACATAGAGCTGTTGCACCAGCGAGCGATCGAAGCGGAAGAAGAACAAAAGCGAGAGGTAACTAACTGAGTGTCATCTGCGTTGGACCTCGCTTCACGCAATCATTTAATTCCACGTTCGATCGTCGTCAGGCTCCTCGTATAGGATGTAATTCTTTGCCTTACAATGTATGAATAATACGTTGCATACGCTTGTTTGTCTAATTTTAACACCATTATTCAATTCAAGACAATACATTCAAGTTGATACGAGATCTAGGTACTTTTCCAATACTTTGTTGTGAAGAATCTTTGCCATAAAAGAATAAGTAAAGTCATTAGGCATACATATAATAAGAAAACATAAAATGTCTACGTAGGCGTCTAGGGTTCCTGACTTTTGATACAATAAAACTTATGCCTGCGCAAAATAGCGTTCCGAAATCGATTAAACCCCTACTCTAAAGCTGTAGATGTAGTAAAGGGCAACTAAGGAACAAGAACATCCAAAGATCACGCCTTTATTAACCCATCTGCCAAAAGCGTGAGGAATGCAAGTTAAACCTTTAATTGAATCAAGCAAATTAATGAGGGTGTGCTTATGCACTGACGACTACATCGCCTGATGATGTAAAAAACTGACACTAATTTACATTTAGATAGCCGAAGCAGTGGAAGAGTTACGTGGCATGAACACCTCGTGGTCTCATCATCGACTTTGCGACTTACAACGTCAAGCTGCCAGGTGGCGGCACAGTCGGCCTTCTATACCAGATACTACTAAACACTACAGGGTAAGTCACGAATGCTTATTTCCACCATAAACTATAACACTACCCTATTCAAACACAACTGTGCTAAAATCATAATAAACGGTTTTACGATGGTATATCGTCGTAGTTGACTCTTTCTTTACACAGAAAAGGGAATTTACTTATTTTGATTCTTCTTGAAATTCAGAGGAAAAAATGTTGGTATAAAGGTACTGGTTCCTCCTCCTACATTCTCTACCTAAAATATATTTAGGCTGGTTTGCACCACTTAACTTTAACGGTAACTTTAACGATAACCGGTGGTTTTTGTACGGAGTTTGACAGATTTTTGACGTTTGTCAAAGTTAAAGTAAGATGTAGCACCATCTTCAGCCAAATTATGTATTATAGTGACTTTCATGGGCTTTCAAATCAATAATCAAACCCAATGCCGTATGTAGATAACAAAGTTTGTTTTGTTCCAGAGCGTCCTGAAGAAGGCATGCAGTGCACAGTTGACCAAGCCTCAGTCCAGCCAGAGTATATGCGAGGAGGACGGCATATTCATCAACTTGTCTCGCCTTGGCCCATGCAGAGGTAAGTTTGCGTGCTTGTTGGTAACTAGTTTATTACGATTTGGTTTGAGCTACATTCAAATATTGTAGGCTTGTATGTTGGTTTTGTTTTTGTTTAGTTTTTTATGATTCAAATATACCTAATAAGTACCAAGCTTTAAATTAAGCCAAATTTAAAAAAAAAACAAGTCAGTTTTCTTACCAGTAGTAGCATAATAACATTATGGAGTAAAATATTATTTCATACAACATTTATGGAAAATTAAAATTAACTGGGACGAAGAAAACCTACCTAACGAGTTTTGTTATGAAGATAATCAAATATTTAAATCTAAATATAATGTGAAATAGTCAGTGTTAGTTAGCGCTTATCTAATCGGATAGGTATTTAAAATAAAAATAGTTTTTATTAATATTAGGTTTCTATCTACAGGGTGTTAGGTAAATGGGTATATGAGCCGACACTAGCCCATGTTAACATGGGCATATAAATGGTATGGCGAAGTCAGAAATTTGATATCATCATTTTATTTTTTTTAATTTTCATACAAAATAAATTTTGTAAAATCCGATTTGTATGAAAATTAAAATAATTAAAATGAAAATATCAANCATACAAAATAAATTTTGTAAAATCCGATTTGTATGAAAATTAAAATAATTAAAATGAAAATATCAATTTTCTGACTTCACCATACCATTTATATGCCCATGTTAACATGGGCTAGTGTCAGCTCATATACCCATTTACCTAACACCCTGTATAAACTTACATAGTTGAGAGGGTGGTGCGACTCTACATTGTGTTGTGCCCGTTTTATCTACTCATACAAAGTACATAACTAACTTTTATAAGAGTAACAGTTGTGGACGTACCTACCTACTTACAGTAATTTTCAATATATTATTACATTCAGTAGGGTGCGGGACAATTGTATAACCGGGTAAGTAATTTAAAATACGATGCTTTTGAATCGTTTTATTACATTCAATATGGACATTTAACAAATTTCGTTTCAAATATTATCGAATTATCACACACAGTACCAGCAATCTAATATTGCTTACTTATCTAATTAAGTACATACAAAAATGATCAAAGTATCGTAAAAGTTAACGAAAATGGTCATAAAATAAAAATTCCAACCCAATTGAGAATCTCATCCTATCGTTGATTATTTAGCAAATATTTTCAAAATTCATAAAAGAGCTACTACTAAATATTTTAGGCTGAGTTGCACCATCTTACTTTAACTTTGACAAACGTCAAGAAGCTGTCAAACTCCATATAAAAACACTAGTTATCGTTATACCTACTCGTAATAGTTACGGTCAAAGTTAGGTGGTGCAACTCAGCCTTAGACTCTTTGTTTCGTAAATTCGATCAATTTAACTATCATAATTATTATACCCTTTAAAAATTTTAATACACCCCTAAAATAAGAGTGTAATAAAATGAATACACGTCTCTATCACATGTGAATTTGTCTCTTGGATCGGAATTGACTTGCCTTAATTAGGCCACATATAATTCTATTAATACAATCAACATACCTATACTTCTAAATCTAACGATATTATCACATAAACCGAGTTCGTGACGTCTTGTCTAATATCACCCAATATTGGGGAGTACAATTTTTGAATGTAGGTAACTATTGTATGTATAATTTAAAACACTTTTTAAACATCTTAGATACATGATCATTTTATACTTATAACTAAAACATCAAATCGCCGTACATAATATTGACCAGGGAAATAGCCTTATAATGTATTACGGTGTTTTGTAAATTTTTAACAGTGTAGAATTAATTAAAAGTTTCGACTTACACAGCAAGAGGCGCGGCGCTCCTGGATCGGTGCGGCCTTTTTTATTGGCATCTCATCATAAAGAATCCTGATCTTCATATCCTGTAAAAATATTAAAATTAAACTCCACTGCATCTTTTAAAACCTTGTATGAACGAAAAGGTTTCCTTTGGTTTACTCTACATTTGGGGTCGGATTAATTGGCCAATTTTTATAGAAAACAGGGCGACCCTCTTTCGTGGGGCCCTAATAACCTTCACGCAGACCCCCTAACCGATGAGGGGCCTTCTCTGCTTAGTTGTTAATCCATTTCTGGACATCTCAAACACTGTATTTAATGGTTACGTTAAAAATTCAACTTTGTTTCCTTAACCAAATTACACTGCAATGTGACCTAGTGTCCAGTGAATCTTACCGGGTATCTTATTATGGGCTCGCTACCCACAGGGGCTGCAGGAGCCACAAAGGCCACAGGAGCCACAGGAGCCACAGAGGCCACAGGAGCCACAGAGGCCACAGGAGCCACAGGAGCCACAGGAGCCACACGCTTTTTCGGCTTCTTTTTGGTGACCTTTGTCCATTCATTTTTGCGAGCCTACAACATATCACATATAAAACGATCAAATAACTGCGTAACCGCCGATGTTATTAATTTTATCGTGGGTAACTTATTAGGCATAAGTATTGTACATAGACACTGAAGGACGAATTACGAAGCTGAAAAGTTGGGTGTGTCTCTACATACAGGGTGTTAGGTAAATGGGTATATGAGCCGACACTAGCCTATGTTAACAAAGCATATAAATGGTATGGTGCAGTCAGAAATTTGATATCATCATTTAAATTTTTTAAATGTTCCTACAAAATAAAATTTATAAAATCAGATTTGTATGAAAATTAAAATAATTAAAATGATGATATCAATTTTCTGACTTCACCATACCATTTATATGCCTATGTTAACATGGGCTAATGTCGGCTCATATACCCATTTACCTAACACCCTGTATATGCTCTACATCAAGTGTAGATATTAAAGATAATAATTATACATAGTAACTTCACTCAAAATCTATTATAACGACATCGACGGGACTAGGTACTCATATTTAGTCGTAAAGACCGATAGTTGTAACAACCAGTGACAGGTATTAATAGGAAAAATAATACATACTCGTACATGGCCGGAAAAATGACTTGAAACAGTGAAATCTAAGTATGATGGTGATTAATTTCAAGAACTTACTCTAGCTTTAGCTTTTGTAGTAGGTGCTGCAGCACTAGCGGTTGAGGTTGACGGCTGGGCCAATAACAATTCTCCTTGAGATTCAGCTGGTCGTTGGGTTTTAGATTCAATAGGGGTTTTAGATTCAAGAGGGGTTTCAGATTCAGTGTGGGTTGTAGACTCAACGGAAGTTTTAAGTTGATCAGGTTTTTTAGATTCCGCGAGTTCTTTAGTTTTCTGGGGTTTTTTAGACTCCAAGCGTTTTTTAGACCCAACTTGTTTTTTAGGGCCAGCGGGTTGTTTAGCACCAGCTGGTTTTTTAGGTTCCTGTAATAAATGAAATCAGTTAATAAAAAAAACCTAAATAACATACGTAGGTACCTAATATGGTACTGTACGGTAAAGAGAAAATGTGTTTAGCACCATTCTCTTGATAGCATACTCGTAAATTTCATTTTGTTATAGCATTAAATATTATTTCATAAGTGACTTGTATGTATGGTGTATATACCTATTTTCTACCAGGAAATATTAATGTACTTACTTTATTAGTTGTGGCTTTTTTTTCCTGTCGTTCTTTTCGCGGCTGTGTAGCCGGTTGCACCTGACCTAGCGATCTTGTGTGAATGCGGCTAGTGGTAGGCGAAGTTTGCGGCTGCAGACTCTTCGCATTCTTCGCAGCAGGTGTTGGGGGCTGAAAACAAAGTATTGTCTTAAGCTTACATTTGTGCTGGATGCCTCCTCATAAATAAATCATAATATGTAGGCTAGATTTAGTAGGCTACATTTTTTGCAATTAGGTACCATGCTATTAGTCACAGTTACAATAATACAGATACGCTTATAAAATAAAAAGAATAAACTTACAATTTTAGCCACAGGTGCTTCTTTAGCAGCAGCTTTGAAAGTCTTCGGCTGAGCCGGTTTTGCTTGAGACTCAGTCGGTATCGTTTCCTGGTAATAAAATGATATAGAAAATATTTTTTAGTGCAATTTTTTAATTTTAGCTATCAACCAGCTTCATGTAAAGGAAAAGCTCAATAATTAAAAGCGTTTACCAAAATGCAGGGTAGTGAATAATGAATAACCATTTCAGCATTAAAATTTTGTAAGTAATAAATACGTTGTAGGTATGTACCTATGTATGTAAATATAAGTGGTACTGCCACCGACCAGACTTACAACCCGGTCAAATTAACTGCGCACCTGGCGGCTGTGACGTCACATTGACGCATTGTTACGAACGGGGCGAATTCGGGGAGATGTGCGGGTGAGTGCGAGGGAGTTTCGCATAACAGCGAGGTTCGCAGGCCGCAGCTAAATTAACCGGGTTGCATGTGGTTACATTAAGTGTATTTAGTGTACAAGAAAGTGTACTTACTTCAGCGCTTGTGGCTGTTTGGTTCTTATTGTTTTTACCGAAATAGTTACCCATCTGTAAAAAACACATCGAGTATATGAAAACTATTTTTATCATGGAAATTAAAAAGTTAAATTTTTAAAAATTCGCTCATTTTCTTACGTTCGTTAATGATCGTGTCTGAATACGATTAGGTTGAGGATTGACATCAGTGGATGTTGACGGCTGCAAATTATGAATAAGTATTAACGTATCAAGAAATAAAAATGCATCAAAATTAATCCAGATTTGCTTAATGGTATATACCGGAGATGTGGCCCCTGTGATAGGATTATAATAAAAATCCTTTTTAGGAACTTTTCTCCCAATCACTTCACTGTAAGGTGTCGGTTGCCCCCATGGCGCCTAAAACAAACCAATATGTGTAATATCGCCCAATTGATATTTTTAATCTTATTATTTGGTGATTTAAGGGTTCATGGGTAAATTGAAAAAATCTAAAGATTTATCTTATCATCTTCGCTATTGTTAAATTCGTTGGTTTTAAATGTAAAATACCGCCAAGGTTTTTAATATCAAAGTTAATAGGTAAGCAAACTAAAAAATTTTTTCAGTGTAGGTGCTACTTACATTTACAGTGAAAACATTGCTTGAGCCTTTAGCGCGATATAAAGTTATTTTATCATCAGCACATAAGGCATGTTGCTTCTGCAAGTTAATAAAACGGGGTTAAGATTCACAATGCTTGTTTCACAATGTGGTAGAGTGAGGCACGAACTGGCCAACTTTAAGTGCGATTACTTTATGTACTCTACATTGTGAAAAATTCTTTTTGGAAGACTTGTGCTAACCACACCAACGCGACTTACGCGACAGGCCAATGACAGGTCGCGCGACCCGTCATTGGCCTTTGATCGCGCCGGCGATGGCGATCTGCATGCGTTATTGTGGTTGAAGCTTTACAAATCCATTGGCTAACATTTTAGGCGGCAACAGTGTTAACGAAAAAAGCCGAATAAACAATAGATAAATAGTTTCCAACCCGGTTTTCACACACTTATGAATAAATTAGGTGGAATTAACTAGCCTTATACTCGTATTTTAACAATACTAATTATTTACCTACACAAGGTGTTTGGCGGAAGGTTAGACAAACTTTGCGGGTGTATAGGTAAGGACATTTTAAGAATACCTGTTCGTCCATTTGACCCTAAGTGAGCTACGTTTTTTTTTTAATTGATATTTTTGTTTTTACTTTTTTTCCGATATTATTTTGACCTAAAAACTGCTTCAATTTTTTACTCGCTTGATTTCAACCGATTTTTTATTTGATACTAATATCGAATAAGTCTTTAGTCAAATAAAATAAATTTCAGACCCAGATATTGATTGGATAGCTAGTTAAGAGCCGCCAAAGTTTAACAAAAGTACAAACCACGATATAAAAATCAACTTAGAATTTAAAAAAAATGGTGATAATGGATTGCCAATGCTCTTAAAAATATTTCTAACTTCTCTTCTTTCCAATGATATATCACATGTAGTAATTTGATATTGAAATTAAAGTTTATGAAAAATGGAACAATAATACAAAAATTATCCATACAAAGTTGATTTTGAATTTTTTTAAACTCTTTTCTTCTTAATGTCACTTATTTTTAAATTCGTTTTGAAATAATACATACAATATCTATCTGCGATACCTAATCAAAGTGTAATAATACACAATAATATTTCCATAACGATTTCAAGTGTATTAAAATAATTGCTACATTTAAATGGTGCAAAAAGAGTCACTTTACGAGCTTGAGCGTTAAGAAGCTATGAGAAGCTAACTATAAGACGTAGCAAAAAAAATAGTGTTCCTAATTTAAACATCAGTAAGGTTCTAATTAAAAAATAATACATTAAATAAGTCATATGTGAATAAGTAAACAAATGTGTAAGCAATCACTGCACAACAAAATTGCAACTTTTGGCAGATGATTGACTTTCATTACATGATGTTTACTAATTTGACGTCGCTGATTCTGAATCTGCCGTCCATTTTTTCGTAGCAGCTCTTGTTTACGTGTTATAGCTTCCACTCAAAAATTGCTAAATTTCAGTCTTAATTCGCCGACAGTTCAAAAAATACTATGTTTTCTTTGTATAATTTAATATGGTAGCATTAAGAAGTGTTTGTGTGAATGATCTAAATCAACTTTGTTTCATTTGCGGAGAGGATATGTTTAAAAAATCCGTTTAAATGTGACAATGTTACGTTATGTGTACAAAGTTCGTAAAATTGGCTTACAAAAATTAGTTTGGGGACCCAGGGGAAATGAAAGATAAGCCTTGAATTCCGCAAAAGGCGTGGAAAAGATGCGTTGACTTTTTTAGTTTGTGAACAAATAAGAATATGTGTAGATTTAGGTACGAAACCACTATGATCTGAATGGAACCCTTGAACCATAGCGACGACTGTTATTTTTATTTTTGAACAGAAATGGTTTTAACCAAAAAAAATTGAACTAAATGGTAATTCCTTGCATACGTTTGGCATGTAGACGTCTTTTCAACCCTAAGAAGTCACCTGAACCTCATGCTGATACTTCACAGGAGGATTTTGAGGCGAAAACTGGCAGTGTGGTAGAGACTTTGAATGTGACCCGAAAATTTCAAAACCATGTAGCCAAGATGGTTTAAACGATCATTTTAGAGATCTAGGATCTTCAAGTCTTCAGTAAAGACGTGAAATGAGTTATTTTTGCAATACAATTTTTTTTTTTTTGGAAAATCCGAAAAAATCATTCTATTCTTACACATCAAACAACGTATGAGTCACTTACAAACATGTTTTTTGGTTGGATGTAATAGAAACATCAAACTACACTCTCTTCGCAATCACCTGAACAATTTTATCACAACTCTTAAGGATCTAAGTGAAGAACATGGCGAGCAAATCCACCAGAGCCTTCGTACGATAGAGGGACGCTATCAGTGCCACTGGAATGCACACATGATGGCTGACTGCTGTTGAAGCATTCAGAAGAGCTGTCTGCCTTCAGCTACAGCAAGGAAGTCAAATAAAAGAAAGTTTTTTCAACTTAACAACTTCATAAAATAGGATCATCTCTAAAAAAAGGGTGTTTTATTTCAAAAAGACCCAAGTGTCATATTTTTTTAACCAGAGCTGATACAGACATTTCAATCACAGATTTGAAATCGCCATTAAAAATTGGACTAATATCATGTAACATAACCCAATCATCAGAAATGCTGTTGTGCAGTTATTGATGCAATGACTTTTAAATTAAATAATTAAGTAAGTATTAATACTTCTAATGGTAATTAACAAATTAATAGAGCAATAGTTTGCAAGTTACATGTATTGACATACCCTTCTGCCTCGTTTGCCAGTTTTTGGTATAGTTTCAACAGCGGGGCCCTAAAACGCAAATTGTGCGGTGTCAAATTATTTACATACCTAAAGTTATTTGCAATTGCATCAAGGAATAAAGGCGGCGATGTACACATGCCAGTAACTGTCATAATTATACTGGGATAGCATGTATGTATGCACTATAATTGATTAAAAATTTTACTACTTGGAATTAAGGGCGCAAATGGAGAAGCTTCGTGATGTTGAAAACATTATATTTCACTGAATGGGATTAAAATATAGACCAACATTATTTTTGAAATCCATCAAGAAATGGCTGAGAAATAAATTATTTAAATTACCTACATATTTTCGCGTGAAACTCAAACATAAGCGGATTAGGCGGTGCGTTAAATTCACGCCACCCGTTCTAGTTTCAACCATAATGCTTACCACCCTGGCGCGTTGTCGAAAATGATACTATAATTATGTCAGTCTTCCTTCTTCTTCTTTTTGTAAATGCCCAGGTCTAGGATATGTCAAAAAAAGGTTACAAAATAATTTACTAAGAAAGAATCTTGAGTGATCCTGTCTGAAAAATTAAAAACTAATAGATTTTAAAAAATTAGATCTGTCAACAGCACTGGTCAAAGGGTGATTCACTGTTTGTACTCCGAATGAGTGCAGTGACGTCACCGATCAAACGGCGCGAAATATTTGTTATGCGCATCTTTGGGACCCTGTAAATTCTTTATTTGTAGATTTTCATGATTCTTTCACAATAATGTTTTATATTTTCAAGTTTTATTATTAGAAAAAAATTGAACCTTCTCCATTGCATGCAAGTGTCCCTGCGCATGCCGTTAACAAGCATGCACGCTACTTTCCCGTTTAATACCTACTGGCTGGCATGTGTATCGCAGCCTTAGAAGAAGTTTACAGAAAGAACTTACGATATTGGGTTCGGATGCTGCGGCTCCTGTGTTTCTCTTCTTTCCCCGGTTGCTTCTCTTGTACATTATAATACAGATTTATTATTTACAGTTATTGTATTATCTTAAAATAAACAAATATGTAATTAGAATATTACAAGTAAAACGTGGTTAAAAATTCATAAAATCAGGTCTTTACCGATGAAATTGCCGTTTTGTATGGAAAATTTAACGAATTTTCAAAACACTCGCATTTTCTATTATTTTTGGTAATTGTAGCGATCTTAAAATTAAATGTGTAGTCTAATACCTATGCAATAAACCATACAATAAGCTTCTAAAATAATTAAATCATCGTTACATGAATTCAATTATCACACATTACACCCGCCTCACAATGAAAAACACCCCTCGTATGAAAAAATAAGTTTTCATTTGAGAATTATTCATGAGATGGTCTGAGTGGTAAGAGAGGGGTGATATTTAAGTAAGCCAAACAATAGAATTTGTTATTTGATCCAAACACTTAAAATGAGGGTTGCTGATATTGTTGTATTAATTTGGAGATTGGCATTTAGATACTGTGATAATACAAAAATGGTAAGAAACTGATTGTTTCATGCGATTGAATTCAAATTACTAAGTAGTAAGATTAGGCAATAAGCTTCAGCTTGAATTAGCAATGCTCTAAGATTCTCATAGTCAAGAAACATTTGGAAAAGAAAATGACTGTGTAAAATTGTATTTATTTTCGAAATCTAGTTAAATTTTAAATAGGTAAGATATTTCATCCTTCTTTTGTTTTTTTTAATCTAAGTTAAGTAGGTAATTATGCTACCTCACCATTGAATCACGCACGGCAAAGTCTTCGAAGTTTTTAAGGAAATTATCGTCGTTACACAGCTAACAAACAAAGAAAAGACAAAACGCGATCGATATCGAACGTTCTGCTAATTTTAGAAAAAGGTAACATTTTAAAAGTGATTTTGGACCTAATTTACATCATGTTAAAGCTCATTTAGATTTGTTATTGGAATAACGTTATAGGTTGTATCAATACCAGATTAAAAGAGACTTAAAATCGCGGAAATCGTTTTGTTCAATTTGAAGTTCAATCTATTGTGATTTTCAAGTAAATCTAATAAATTAATCTAGTAAATTGAATCATGTTATGTTTTGTAGACGAATCTTTGGACAGCGATGGTTGCTGCGAGACACCAGGGTGTACCGCCAGCCCAGAGACCAGACCTTGGAGGGCATCAGCCAACGACGTCAGCCCCCAGAGGCGGATGGACTTAGTTAGAGCCCCTTCGTGTCCAGGGTAATTACTGTCTTTCAAAACCTACTAACGTCACATAAAGTTTTTTGCAGGCCAATATAAGCTGGCTACCTACGGACATAGTCACGTCCTACAATTTTAGGCGCTTATTTAGGTGATTTAGCAAATAATTATTTCTTAAGGGTCCATTCTTGGTGTAGGTAACTAAGCACACACTGAATAAACACTACACTCACTATCCTAATTTACATATTGAAGCTGCAAGATTTGTGCTTTTTCCATTTTTTATCTACACTTGCTCAATTTTCTAAGTATTTGAATTATCACAAGTCACTATCACAAACCTTATTATAATAAGAGAGATTGGGAAAACAATAACAATTACGCGTGGCGGCAAATAGAAAAAAACATGGCGTTTTCACGGAAAAAAACTTTGATTTATCAATACTGGATGTATCGGGGTTGCCCAATATCTCAATAAATAATTATTAACGTGGACAGCAGACACCTGTCACTTTTATATAATACACTTTTTCCTTTTTTATTTACACTCTACCAAGCTATGTTTATAACACAACGCATTTTTATAATATGCAAATTCATCCCCGATGTGAATCTTCCTAGAGTCAAACGATCAAAGTCAAAAGGTAGCCATTCTGAATATACGACTAGAGTTACCATTTAAGCTCTGACAAAAGCTCACCCACAAAAGAATTTATTGCATTTCAATTTACGTTCTATTAGATGTACTTACACTGTACTTTCTTGAAGTCTATTCTCCTTTGTACAACTGATAAGTAAAACGATATTTGCCGGCGTTAAAATAACCGACCTCCCGAAGGAAGCTTCTACGCGAAACAAAATATCGCGCAACCTCGACACCGGTCAATCATAAAATGAGTGGGAACCTAATACCTATTGATTATTATCCTAAAATAACCTACTTTGTCGAGATGTCTACCTACACAACAACACAACTATAAATCACTAGCCTGTTGAACGCTGAGGCAATGTTTTTTCGACGACCGAGTACATAAAACGAATGTATACCTATGTAACAAAATAGTACCTCTATACATTAAATAATGCAAGTAATTTTCAACATAATAATATTGCCTCTCCATTAACAGTTATTTGGAGCCAAGTATATTAAGCAATTTACCGTAAATCGAGCGTTACAACATGTTACATGCCGGTACACTGTAAACAGCGATGTCTTATTTACCTCCTAAGCTTAAGCAGCCGAAATTCCCTCCGCGTCTTCCCGTAACTTACGAAAACAAACAAACGGGCCTGAGTTTCACGAGGACCGACGCGCAACAAGTGGACTTCTTTATTCTCATCACATCTATGAAATTACGTACCTGATTCTCCCGGCGCACCTCTGAATACATTCACTATATTATCATTTATTAACTGCCCGAAAATTGCACTCAATTAGCAAAAAAAAAACGATACAACCGAATTAAAACCAAAACAAACGGGAGGGATCGATGATGACACTGTACAATATTCTTTCAACTGAACGCGACCCGGCACTCTACCGGCGTCGGTAGCTGCATATGTACTGCATTTATGTGCCTATACGTATTCATGCCTAGGTATATAATGTGCGAGTCCATTTAAGAATATGTATTTACTTAATCGATATTCAAAAGGGAAAACCTTTTCATAATTTGTAATTCGATTTTTAATATTAATTAGTTAGTATCATTTGTTATATTGAAGTTTAAAACCAGTTATTAAATGTTATGTTGATGCATTGTATTGCCTCACATACATAGCCTTTCCGTTCAGTTACTGTGTTTGTGTGTGTGTGTAACCTGTCATCGCAGCATCCCAGGTCTAGGGCATCTAGATACCTCCATCGATTTGTGAGCGATACGAATTGCGCCGAAACATCTACATATGTACGGTACGCCAATACGTATGCGAGCATATTGAAGGTGGATGGTCAATAATAATTTTGAGACCTAACGACTATCGCTGAAAGGTCGTAGTTGCATCAATCCGAATAGGATTGTTAATTTGTTTCTAAGCTAGACTGCAACATCGGGTACGGGGTGAAGGTATATCTGGGTCATTCGATGGGGCGCGGAGTGCGCATGTGCGCGACCCGCGCAGTCCGCGCATCCTTGCGCAGATCTCCATTTTGCGATTCCCCGCACCTGCAATACAGGCAAATTGCTTCGCTGCTTATTTTCCGACTTCACTTCCCACAGCTCCAAATGTTGAGTACGTAGAGCTCCTAAATTACCCCTGGTGAGTGCGTCTCAGTGAACTATGTGTCTATACCCAATGTGCCCACTACACAATCTTTCCAGTTGTTTCTCAATTTTATTGTGACTAGACTCCGATGCTTAGACTTTACAGTGTGATTCACTCGAATTCGTGTACCTTTAGCGGTCTAGATGTTAGCATTAGGGCATGCATGCTTCTCTATGTTTACCTATTCCTTGAGTGTTACGAAACCGAAGTCCTATGTCAGTGTGTCGTATCGGGGACCGGCGCGTGGAGTCCTGTGAACGTTTCATTACAGCTAAGATGTTTGTAGGGAGTTAAGATGCCGTTGCTAAGCGTAGGAGCGGAATGAGGCGTCACGAGATGCAGTGCAAAGGGGCAGAGGCCGGCGGCGGCAAGGAGGGCTCGCAGATGTCTCGCAGCGAGTCGACCCTGAGCCGCTGCACGCCGCACACGCCGCTCGGCCCGCCCGACAGCGCGAGTGTTGACTCCAACCCCATGCCCACCATCTATCGGTAACTCCCTGAGGTCGCCCAGGAGAAGACGTATACACCGCCTTTACCGCCGACACTACATGCAGCGCCGCACTGCTCGATATGCTGTGCTGTGACCTTCGCGCATACTCAGGCAAACGCTGTTCAAACTGACAACAATCAAACGATGCTAGTCTCTACTGCTAGTTACATTTTACGTTGTGACGTTCGTATACATATAATTAGGTACTTATTTTCTCTGGACTCTAACTTGTTTTCCCGAAATTTATCTTACTCCGGGAAAAGTGATGTCTTTCTAGTTTTCCTTCGAAATTAAATGAAAATATGTTTGCCTAGTGAAAACTCTACGGTAATAACTAAATATAAACTCACGACACTCAAATGCTCAATATATTTACTCGTCATTACTTTATTATTACTAAGAATTGACCAATTACGCTGAGGCTTTCGTTTTCGATTTTGAAATAACAATTTGTAGGTGCCGTACTTTGCCGTGATATTATGTTTGTCTTAGTATGCGCAAACATTTCATTTAGATGCGTATCGATTGATTACCACAAATTGTTATCATTTGGATGGTTAAGACATCATGATATGTCTTCTCCTGAAGGCAAATAAAGCTGAGAGCGCACTCCGCCCGCATCGCGCACCGCGATCGTCGCATGCGAGTAGGTACCAACAATCACGGTATCTTATACAGGCTGACAAACTCCGACAGATCTCAAAGAAAATCTAAAATCAACTGATACTGCACGGGGCTTGACAACTGTAAAAGATAGGGGTACAATCCCACTGCTTAGCTTACCCCATGCCGGTACATCTGGAGGAGCTGCGCGGAGCACAGGTATGGTAAATAGGTACCTTTTTGAATACCACAGCACAGTGTCGCTTCCCCCACCTCGTCTCATCACCTTTCCTTGTCACCTCTATACTTAGTTGCAAGCTTTCTGTCCGCCTTGGCGCTACTTATCTGGCTTTAAATGATAAAAACAAAGATTTTAAACAGATTCGAAAAGATCTATAGAAACCGCATAGCTAACACGTAGGTTAAAAGCCTTTAGTAAGGGTATCATCAAAGAGAGACAAAAGCACTTTTGTTAGTATGTAACAAAAGAGGACATATTATCCTCAAATATTGTAGATGACAGTTTAAAATCGGCGCGACGTAGGTATTGTTTTATTTTTACAATAATGCTATAGAGTAGGCAAAACTATTCACTCTCAAGGACGTAAAATGTTCACTAACAATAGATTTTAGAAAAAATTACATAGTTATTATCACCTAGCTAATTCATCATGTAGTAATCATTTAATACAAATTAATTATGTTAGTAGATTTATATTTTATAATAAAGCATTCGAAAAGTAGTGTGAAATGCTATTTTAAAATATTTTCTTAGGATTATTACATACACACTAACTTATCTACACACACAGACTTTACTTAAGTTTTTATTTATGAAATTGAACTTCTTACAATTCTTAATTAAAACTATATAAAAAAATATACATTTGCAATCTTTTAATAAAAGGCAAATAAATACTACCTACCAAGTTAGGTAAACCACCAGCAACATATGTAAACAACCAGGTTTACTAGCTGACGATAAAAAATAGTCATGATTATTAACAAAAAAACAATTTCAATTGTAAACTCAATACAAAGAAGTACAAAGGTACACTTGATTTTGTTATACTTTATTTATTTAATAATGCAATGATGGATATGATTCAACTTATCAGGGCTATACCGTAGTCTCAATTAATTACATATTGTCGTCACAACACAAAGGTTAAAGGTGTAGAGTATTAAGATACATAATCTGTTTTTTTTTGTTGGCCAGATGTCGCGCTCCAATCGCTTCTCTCGATTGTATGGATGATTTTAGTGCGAACTCCCAACAAATGCTGGACCAAGGTAAGATAGAGCAGTAAGTTTTCATATTGAGATGACGGCAAAGAGCGACCATTTTAATATAATAAAAAAATTATCAAAGCACCCAGACCTAGTTAATCTAGTTAATCAACTACTTACACTTAATTTAATGTACTTACATTACGATGACGAGTATTTTCGTAGTTTTGCGCAGGCCGTAGTCTACGACTACGAGTACTACGCTTGCTACGAAAACGTAGGTCGCAGTTTCTTCATAAAGTTACATTAACTGTAAATAAAAGTAGTTGATCCTGAATAACATTTTACTTAGTTAATGTAATTTAATTTCTAGTAAAAGAATAATAATAATCAGCGATCATACCGTCAAACATAATTTAAATTATGTTTTAAATTAAGTCTTAAAGTTCTGTAAGGTACAAAACTTTCAGTTAGTTATATGATAATGGTTCATTAATCGGACAGATTTTTTTATAGAGCACCAAATAACCTACAAAAAGTATTGCAGAGCCAGCAAGGTCATCAGGAAAACCAGGACCAATATCGTTTGAAGAAAGATTGAAGTGGCGGAGTGGGAAAAATATAAATCAAGAACAATTCAAAATGTTATCCCCGACTCTCGCAAAGAAAATGAACAAATTGAAATTAGGCCTCTTTGATAGAGGTGGCATCAATAAATTTGTTATGATGAAGGATGATTCAGAGGGACATTAGAAATATTTAGCTCTATTAGGCTAAATAAATTCTTGCCCTCATTTTTTATTTTAGTTTCCTACCTGGCTTCAATTTTAAAATGTATGAATCATTGATTCATCATCAAAATTATTTTTTTTTATTAAGATAATGATCAATGAATCATTCTTTATAATTAAATGTTGAATGTTGTTTGTTATCTTACTGAACTTTAGTTATCTTTTGTAAAGCCTATTCGTCTGGCTGTAGAGCTTATCCATGTCACTAGCATGAATAATTTGGCATACCCGCATCCCATACTTACCTATAAGTATATGTTTATTTTATTTTAATGTATCACCCAATAATATTAAAATTTGATTAAGCCATTTCATATCATTATTATTATTTAGTTGTCTGGAAGTGCTTTAAGCTTTATCCTTTTCCAATAGGTTAAATAGTACTTTATAATTGTATTTATTTTTGTAGACTAGCTTTCAGGAAAAAGTGAAAAGGAATAGTTTTTCTTATATACTTAAATGCTATACATTAGATTTTGAAACAAAGGGAATGTTCAAAGAAGTAAACTGTAGCAATAAATGTCAGTGTTAATGTGATATAAGTATTTTTGGCAACATTTTACACCTACTATCGATTTAATACCCGAAAATAAAATTAAAATATTGTTTAATCAAAATGTCGTTATAAAACGACGTTTTTTCTTTGTTTGTTCCATGATGAAGAATGATTAACAAAATAAATGTTGTCAATTATATTCCTACTTCAGAGTAATGCTGTGCGCCCCGTACTTTCCTATTGCTAGCTAAGTATTTCTCTTAGAACGTGTATCAATGTTTTTCATGTCCTTTTAAATGGTAAGAACGTTTTGAAGACATTGTGTTTCTGCCAGCAGGGGAAGTGACGGTATCCCGTCACATGTCTGGATATATGGCCAATAGTAACGCTATGGCCTCGTCCGTGACTCCCGGCCTCCGCTATAAGAACTTGGGCAAGTCTGGCCTCAGGGTTCCCAATATTGGGCTGGGTATGTGGACGATGGTCAATGAAGAAAGCGCGGAGGATATCATTATGACAGCCTTGGAAAATGGGATCAATTTATTTGATCTGTCTGAGGCCCACTGCGGTTAGTGCACATGATGAATGACAATAACACATTAACACAAGCTTTCATAGCAAGCAAAATAGAATGGCAAATAATAAAAAATATAAATTATCAAAATTGGATTAGATTTAAACGTAATGCAATTAACACATAATATAATGTTAATAACACACTTATTTACATATTAACATGCACTAATATCCATTTTAATATTATTATAGTCACTAGATATTTTGCTGGTCATTGCCAAATCATGCTAAGTTTCACTTCACCACACACATATAAAGCAAACTTACTACATCATGTGCGCTATTTTTATATGTATATCGTATAATCACTGACTTTTTTTATTCATTGCATATTCATATCGTCATAGTTTTAAACAAGCGCCAATTAAAAACAAATGATCATGGAATAATCACAGCTAAAGGCGAAGCTGAACTGGGCAGGATCTTGAAGAAAAGAAACGTGAGAAGAACAAGCATTATTATTACTACGAAAATTTACTGGAGCACCAAGTGAGTATGATACAATGTTTTGTTATTTTAACCACCAACATTCTGGATACAATGTATTGTATTTATTTAATCCTATGTATTATATTTTATTTATTTATATTTTAATTGTCGCATAAAAATAACATGACAGGCACTGGATTTTGTTTATCTTTGTTCTTTACCACACAAAATAATATTAATTTTAAATGTATAGGATAGGTATAATAATAATTATTATAATTTTATAACGATCGCATTCTAATTCGTATTATAATTATGTGTTAAGCTAACTTGATACCTTTTGTATAGCACCCATGGACACAGAGAGTTAATATTTTTACAATTAACACAAGATGAGTGGAAACGCTAGTTGCTATTGAATTTATTTAGCTAAATGATACTGAGACCTAAGCTTCACGTAACATGCTTGATGCTTCTCAAAGATTTTAGAAAAAGTGACAAATATTTATTCAACTTGCTTGTTTTGCAGATCTGATGAGAGAGGTCTCTCTCGAAAGCATATCATCGAAAGTGTAAAAGCATCTCTGGCTAGACTTCAAGTCGAATATATTGACGTAGTACTTTTGCACAAAGTAGATCCAGTCTGCCCAATGGAAGGTGGGTACATTATATTTGATTTTAAAGCACTATTTTTAATTGGCTATTTGTATTTATAATCTCTCCTTGATTTCAGAGCTGGTGCGTGCTATGAACTTTGTGATAAATCAGGGATGGGTGATGTACTGGGGCACAGCTCGTTGGTCTCCCTCAGAGGTTTGTATTCATTATTTTATTTTTTGTCTTATTTAATGAGAAAATCTTAATTAATTCTTACTTTTGAGTGGTTATTTCCTAATTAATTTCACAGATAATGGATGCTTACACAAACTGCAGACAGTTCAACTGCATCACGCCGATAGTTGAACAGACAGAATATCACATGTTCTGCAGGGAGAAGCCTGAACTCTACATGCCAGAGTTGTATCACAAGATTGGTGTTGGCAAGTATTTATAATTATTTTCAATAAAAGTATTGTAAGTACATTGGAATGATATAACATATCGTTACTTTTTTTCAGGAATGATGGTGTGGTCAGCTATCACCACGGGCAAAGGGCTCGGCCGTGAGGAGATTACTGGACTCTTCGCCAAGTCCCGCTTCAACAGGAAATATAGCACCTTCAGTTGGTGCGAGGAAGACCTGGCGGTTCCAGAGGTATTTTTTTTCTTTCATGATTTCACGAAGAGAGAGAGTATGATGTATAAATGATACATATTCTTTCAGATGCGTAGCTCTGGCAGTAAGGAACAAGTAACTGGTGAAGAACCACGCACATACGGTGACAAGCTTCGTGATCTTTCCAATCTGGCAAACTCACTAAGTACGTACCTATAAGAAGCAAACAACATCTTCCATTTTTGGCCTAATTCTGTACTCAATGACACATAATTTTTCGTTATTTAGACTGCTCTATGAGCCAGCTGGCAGTAGCTTGGTGCCTGAAGAATGAGTCGGTGAACTGCCTATTACTAGGCGCCACCAGTGTGGAACAGTTCAAAGAAAATATACACGCTTTACAGGTAACATTTTCCTAAGGATATACGAGTACCTGCTTAAATTCTTTACTTGATTTCAGTTTGGGAAAAGAAATCGTGTTTAGATGGTGGAGACACTAAGAGACCAAGTGGCAATGGAGGACTGATGTACCCAAAGTAGTCTTTATTTCAACAGTGTCATGTCACGTTTGCCTGCCTTTATATTGTTCTTTATTAATGTGTAATTTCTGAGCAGATAGTGCCGCAGCTGACTCCGTTGGTGATGATCGAGATAGAGCGTCTGCTGGCAAACAAGCCGCAGAGGCCGCCCATGGTGTCTACCCTGGCCATGCGCAACCAGCAGAACAACACAGTCCGCATTGATATGACGTAAGTCTTGTGGAGACTCCATTTCCAAATTATTTCATTAGCGCTTACTCGTCAATTTTTTACTTTTCATATAGGTATAGCATTTCATAGGCCAGCAACGCAGGCTGCGGGTGTTTGTGGGCGGCGGTAATCATTTACCATTAAATGATCCGTCTTTTCGTTTGCCTCCTGTTCCACAAGAAAAAGTTACAACGCAATTCTGCTCCCCAAATTCTTTGACACGTTTCTTCATGAGACCAATCAAATGAAAACAGTTCCACAATTACCGTTAGCTGGAATATATGAAGATGATGTAGAGGTTAGGTTATGGCTGGTTTGCTTGCTCCCAATTCTTGAATTGAGTGTATGTGTTCATGACACAAGAAATGCGAAAGGTTCTTTAATGCTTTATCCCTAAGTTCCACAATCACTAGCCTTCTAGTCCAGCTAGACCTACGCCAGCGTATTTTATTTATTCACATTAGCTTCGTGATGTTCCAGAGGTGTCACATCGTTATTGATCACATTTCCCACTTGGTGTTGCAGCGGTGTCACATCAGGCACTGGATCGCCCAAGCCGGAGGGCGAAGGCGCCGAGGGCGAGGCGTCCACCCCCGGCAAGGAGACTGGGCGGGCCTTCTGTGAGATCCAGTGACCGTGGTGGCGCGGAAGCACTGACTCTGCTTCCAAATCTAGCAAATCAAAGGTATAAGTCTCCAATCCATATACTTTCTTGATAAGTTTGTCATCACAGGTTAGGTTTATAGGATACAAGGAAGAGGGGCAGCCACAGTAGGTAACACAGAGTCGTTCAGGTGAGTGCCAGGAAGAGGTGCAGCAACCGCAGTTAAGGAACGGCTGGGACGAACAAGGATAGGCGCATCCAGCTCGTAAGCTTTGATAGGGTTACACTGGTTGAGGCGCTCCTTTTCAAGACTTGGAAGCCTGCGGGTAACGAGCCATTGGACGTGGAGAGGGTCATTAATTATACACATATTTTCTACTTTGCCGAACATTTGCACGAGAACGGTTTGTCCAAAACATATGAGTTTGGTATTATTTAATGCAGGATTAAATGCCCTTCAACCGTCAGGAAGACCACTTTTCGATAGGGTAAGTCCTTTACGCGGTATAACCGGAAAACCGAAAAAGCGCCCCTTTTGAGGGTCCCCACCACTTAAGCACAACTCCGTCGAAGTCGAAAACCTAGGAGAATCTTTATGGGCAACTAATAAAGCCATTAAAACACTAAAATCTTTAAAATTTAATTCATTTTTGTGTTTAATTCTACTGGCCTATCTGTGCAATTTGACATTTATATTTTCTTGATATGATAATAATTTATTATTCTTCATTCCAGGAATCACTTAAGGACTCTAAACCTAAATTCTTTTTAAACAATGCCGGCGAAGTCATCAAACGCACAGGTTAGGCATTTAAACCTGTCTTGATTACATTTCATTATTTTCAAATCAATTTAAGTTTCCTTCTTACAGTCTTGTCATCTATTGAGATTCAATTCATAATCAATTTCATCAATCAAAAATGGAAAGGCGTAACTCCTATCCCTAGTTGGATAAAACGGACCTTGATTTTCGCTTTTTTTCCAGAGCAAGACGGAGTATCAACAGATGTGGTGATCTCTGTATCTTCCCTGAAAGGCAAGCAGCCCGCCAGCGGCGGCAGCAAGGTAAAGAAGTCCAAGTCAGATACTGCTCGTCCGCGCTCCGCCTCGCTCCAGCGGTCCTCCTCGGGCCAGCTGTCGGTCGCCCGGGACCGACGCCGCTCCCGTCTCGAGCTGGGGTCTCCTGCTGACATTTAGCGCTACTAACTTTTCAGTTGAGTCGCGATACGACACAATACAAGTGTGAAATACTCAACCTACTACCAAAAATCAAATCAATGCTTTTAAACCCTGAAAGGGATGGACTATGTGAAATTATGCCAAATTACCTGGAACTGTTAATTAATAAAGGATGTGAATACAGCATAGTTTTAGATACAGTAAATTGATATTGTTTAGGTGGATACTACGATGGACGGTCACACCTGGTGGTGAATTATGGTCTGTGATTATGAATGATTACTTGATTGTTCGATTAAAATGTATATAAAGTGGAGTAATAAAATCACTGTAGTAGAATATAATTCACTCTTTGTGGTAAATGGTAAGACTGTAGCATAAGATTTATGTCAGTACGTAATAACTAGAACGAGATCGTTTTAACGGCCGATCAAGTAGCTCTTGGTAAGGTAAGTACTGTTATACAATCTTTCCTATTTTTCTTAGAAAACTATAGTAGACTGGATTTCAATCAAAGTAGTAGGTAGTTTGAAAGAGACAACTTCTTCACATTGAAACGAATAGCGGAACACCTTTGAACACCGTAGAACTTATTGTGTCCTAGATATTAAGTCAACGAGCAAAAACTTAGAGCCGTTACCACACAGCGGTTGTATAAATGATTCCTTTGAATTCACTAATAGAGAAGCCGAGTCTTTTAAAACACTTTGCTGATAAAAAATTGCTTACACTACGCTTGTTTTTAAAATCTGGCTTAAACATAATTAAGTTATATTTGATTTATTCCACTCAAATTTAAGTAACGAAATTAGTTCTCGGAAACTATTTTTGTGTATTTCATCTAAATCAAACTTTCTTAATGACTAGTTATGCTACTTCGGCTATGCTCAATTAGGCACAGATTTATATTTTATAGACACAGCGCACTTAGATACTACATTAAATGTTGTGTAGAGTGGACTAAATGGCCTACATACGACATATAAATCGGTACCTATTGTAGTCCTTTTATTGCTAAATAGCGTTCCTTGAATAGACCACTAGCGACATTGATATGGGTCGCTGGCCAGCAGCATTGGGACGTACTAGGTATACCTTAAGGTAACTTACCACTTGGTAGTAAGGTAAAACATGTCTAAAATATTATATGTTATATGTCATGGTATAACTACCAATTTTTTGTTACCATTAAGTTTCTGTTATTTAGTAAAATATACAATAGTTAGCAAATAATTAAAAGTTGTATTATCAATTCATTATACATATAATTACTATGTATGTATTATATAAATTATGAAATTACCGTTGTTCTTTAAGAATATTACAATTTAAATTCAATGTTAGAGAATTAATTCGATTTAACTTAGAGAGTAAACAAACATCTTACATGAAGATGCATCAGAGTCCACAGTACCTGTTAATGTTATATGAAATAGTTAAATGTTAATGATAATAATTGTTTCAATGTGACTTTTTCCGTGTTATGGTATTGTAGTAAAATTTTTAAGTAATTATACATGTATGTATTTTATAATAGATTAATAATATAACATAGAAAATTTGGAAAATTCGACACTACCTATATACCAAAAACAATTATATTGTATTATCTCGTAACTTTCAATATAATAACAGTCTATTTGATGTCTAATAACGTAAACAAATTTAATATCAATGTTAGCCATATATAGTCCAGTAGAATTAGCTTTTAAATCGGAAATAATTCCTACAAAAGATTTTATTGTTTTAATGGCTTCATTGGTTGCCCATTAAGAGTCTCCTAAGTTTTCGACTTCGACGGAGCTGTGCTTAAGTGGTGGGGGCCCCCGAAAGGGGCATTTTTTCGGTTTTCCGGTTATACCGCGTAAATGACTTACCCTATCAAAAAGTGGTCTTCGTGACGGTTGAAGGGCACTTAATCCTGCATTGAATAAGACCAAATTCATATGTTTTGGACAAACCGTTCTCGCGCTAAAGTTCGGCAAAGTAGAAAATATACGTATAATTAATGACCCTCTCCATGTCCAATGGTTTGTTACCCACAGGCTTCCAAGTCTTGAAAAGGGCCACCTCAACCAGTGTAACCCTATCAAGGCTTACGAGCTTGATGCGCCTATCCTTGTTCGTCCCAGCCGTTCCTTAACTGCGGTTGCTGCACCTCTTCCTGGCACTCACCTGAACGACTCTGTGTTACCTACTGTGGCTGCCCCTCTTCCTTGTATCCTCCTGCATGACTACGTTGCCTAGCCGTATGCCTGGTCTAAGGTTCGACGCCAAAAATCAACAACAACAAGTTCATATTAAAACGCTGAAGAGTTTTTTGTTTGTTTGTTTGAACGCGCTAATCTTAAGAATTACTAGTTTGATTGAAATCATTATTTTTGTGTTGAATAGCTCATACATTGAGGAAGGCTATAGGATATATACAATCACTCTACGACTAATAGAGGCGAAGCAGTAAAGAAAAATGTTGCAAGCACGGGAAATAGTATTTAAACTATTTTCACTCGTACGAAGTTGATTTTGTGGCGTCGAACCTTGGACCAGGCATATGGCTAAGCAATGAAATCGTACAGGAGGGTACAAGGAAGAGGGGCAGCCACATTAGGTAACACAGAGTCGTTCAGGAGAGTGCCAGGAAGAGGTGCAGCAACCGCAGTTAAGGAACGGCTGGGACGAACAAGGATAAGCGAATCAAACTCGTGAGCCTTGTTAGGGTTACACTGGTTAAGGCGACCCTTTACAAGGCTTGGAAGCATGTGGGTAACAAGCCATTGGACGTGGAGAGGGTCATTAATTATACGTATATTTTCTACTTTGCCGAACTTTAGCGCGAGAACGGTTTGTCCAAAACATATGAATTTGGTCTTATTCAATGCAGGATTAAGTGCCCTTTAACCGTCATGAAGACCACTTTTCGATAGGGTAAGTCCTTTACGCGGTATAACCGGAAAACCGAAAAAATGCCCCTTTCGGGGGCCCCCACCACTTAAGCACAACTCCGTCGAAGTCGAAAACTTAGGAGAGTCTTAATGGGCAACCAATGAAGCCATTAAAGCAAAAAAATCTTTTGTAGGAATTATTTCCGATTTAATCAATTTTTGTGTTTAATTCTACTGGCCTAATATTCTGATTCAGATTACTAGAAATATTTTATTTATTGTTATTGTACTTCGAAGATAATTAAACCTATTTAGGCAATTTTACTATTTCTAATAGGTACCCTTGTGTATGTATCACAAGATTCATCTCTCATTTGTTCTTTCATATCATTAGATTAAATATAAGGCTCAGGCCTTCAGGATTTGCTAAGCAACCACCTCTTAGATACGATTTTTTAATGTTTAAGCCAGGAATGTAACCAAAATATTAATTAAATAAAGCATGCGTATACAACATTACATTGTTTCTTTTATCCGCACGGAAACAACCAGTCATCTATTAAGATGTGTTGGCACATCCAGTCGTTAAAGTAGTAAGTGGGTAGGTAACCGAGTCTCACAACACAGCACCGGTAACTAGTCAATTAGTGGAAGTCATCCCTCCAATGGGCCACTCAGAGATCCTTCCAAGGATAAATATAGCATCGTTCCAGCTGCCAGTTCCGCTCGGTAAATTGCACACCGAGATGAAGTGTAAGTGTGTCGGAGCTCGGACGCGCTCTCGGCATGGCGGTGGTATACTTCGACTGGCTGGACTACCTCGTCTTCGGGGCCATGCTACTCATGTCGGCCCTCATAGGGGTCTACTTCGCGTTTTTCGCGCGGAAGAAACAAAACACCACCTCCGAATACCTGATGGGAGGCAAGAAAATGGGCATGTTTCCCATATCAATGTCACTGATTGCCAGGTACTTATGACCCGCTTGCGATGCACTCTAGCCTACGATTGCGAATTATTACTGTGCTTTCTTTCAGCTATATCTCCGGAATCTCACTGCTGGGTCTGCCAGCTGAGATGTACACATACGGGACGCAACTGTGGACTATTGTGCTGTCGGAATGGGCGGTTTCTTTGACCATAGCTATCATTTATTTACCTGTATTCTACAATTTGCAAATAACATCAACGTACGAGGTAAATATTTATTAGTAGTTTAAGTGTTTTATTTGAAAAACTCCGGTAATTTTAAAAATGCATAAATTTTTATGCATATAATAATATGTTTTTGCTATGTAACTTATTGCGAATTTTTCCCCGCTTTATATTTTATAATTATTTTCATAACTAAAAATGTTTTTAATTAATTCCTGAAAAAAGGTAAATAACGTGTCTAATTTGTGACGTTGTAGACCCAATAACATTGTATTAATTAAATAATTATACTTTTCAGTATTTGCGGTTGAGGTTCAATCAGAAAGTTCGTCTCTTGGGGTCAATAATCTTTATTATCAAGATGATGCTATACATACCGATTGTTATTTACGTGCCTGCTTTAGCGTTTAGTCAAGGTAAAATATTGAGTAAATTAAGTACACAATAATAGTGCATTGTGATGAAAGTGTGCTAAGTTAGTTAATATAGTTTTACAGTAAATATGGTGATAGAGTTTAGAGTGTAATAACAAATGTTTAGGCGTTACATTAACTTTAACGTTTTTCAGTATGTTTGCGAAGAACGAAGCCAAAATAATATAATAATTGATACATTGTTTGCTTCTAATTTGTCAAATATCACACCAATGAGTTGCTATTTGGATCTTTTAAAAGCCAATTTACATTAGGTAGTGCGATAATGATAATGCAATTTGCGTGTGTAATAGGCATATTAAGCATATAGGCATTATGAATTTAAAACGCTGCATTAACACCAGTTTATTTGCAAGTGTGTTGAAAAACAACTAGGTACATATAGGTACTCGTATTTGAGAAAAAATTTGAGATGCGACACTTGAAACTAAAAAAAACACGAATAAACACCATAAAGTTTATCATTTAAAAAATATGAAACTAATGTTTTTTTTTACAGTGACTGGAATCAACCTTCACATGATTACTCCAATTGTGTGCATCGTATGCATTTTCTACACTACACTGGTGAGTAACTTGTACCTCTTGTCGCGATGTCCGAATGACCTTATTTTATCCCCCACTCGAACAGACAAATTGCTACTAGTCTTCGTGCTGTCTCAGATCGAGGTCAAGTAAATCAGACTTGTCGAGCAGTGATGGAATATTTTTAATTTAACCCCTTTACCAGTCAAAGGTAATACAATAACCAAATATTTAAAAAGTTCATGATTTAAAGAATACAAATTTTGAAAGTTTTGATGTTCAGCATTTTTGTCTAACGACCAACTGCATTAACCAAGTGATTTGATTGAATGCGGCGGAACACAGTTGGTTTTTATTACAAAATTTTATGACCTAATTTTGTTTAAGATTTCATAATATTAATTTGAATTTAAAAATATTTCGTGTCAGATTATGTTCTTAAAAAGAAGATTAGTAATTTATACAAATTACTAATAGTCCCGTTAACCCCTCGTGATAGATTAAGGGTTAAATTACCATGACGATTTTTTGTAACTTTTGTTTTTTTTTATTTATAGGGTGGACTGAAGGCTGTAGTATGGACGGACACCTTACAAACGGTGATGATGTATTTTGGAGTTGTATTTGTACTTGCGTACGGTACCTGGCGCTTGGGAGGCATAGGAAATGTTATTGAGATAAACAGAAAAGGAGACCGTCTTGACTTTTTCGAGTAAGTAAATTTTTATTACGTGTTATTGGTCCCATACATAAACAATCGCTGTTTATCAAATGAAACGATTTTTGGAAAAAACCTACATTACATAATTTTATTCAAGTCTCTACATATTACGGTCGCTAAGTACCTACATGTGACCACGTTTTATAGGGTTTTTCAGAATTCATTCCTTAAAAGGGGGAAATGGGGTGACAAAGTCTGAAAATCAACATGGTTCAGTGGGTCGTGAATTACGAAAACAATACTCAATATTCTGGGACAAAACGAAATTCACAAAATATAAAACAAGGAATAAGGCGCATTTTTCAAGTCTTTATGTTATGATTCATATAAATCTTTCAATTTGGTTAACAGATATGGGCGTTGCTTTATGGTCATAACGGTACAATAAAAAATGTGTCCTTTGTTCTCGAAAAGTCAATTTAATTTTCAAATCTGTTTCAGTATGCGTCTAGACCCGACTATCCGGCACACATTCTGGACAACCGTGTTTGGGAATTATTTCAGCTGGCTCGCATCTTGTTCTGTTAACCAGGCTATGGTCCAGCGCTGTCTTGCTTTGTCTTCTTTAAAAAGAGCTCGCATGTGAGTACAATAAAGTATTTACCAATTACCTCTTTGATTCTTTTCTCTCAAGATGTCTCGCGTAAGGTATCTAATTATTTTGTAATATTGAAGAAAAAAGAAATGGTTTCATTGTGTCAACTAATCACTGTAGTTTTTTAATTACTTCTTGTTAAATTACGTAGACTTTTTTGAACATTGAGTCAATAATTCCAGAACAATATTCATAATGGCAGCAGGCATATTCATAATAGTATCACTGTGCTGCTACACTGGTCTCGTGATCTACGCCACTTTCGCGGACTGCGACCCTCTGTCAGTAGGATCCATCAGGAAGAGCGACCAGCTGCTGCCTTACTTTGTGATGACCATAACGGGGGCTATACCAGCACTACCTGGTATATTTATGAGTGGGGTGTTCAGCGCTGCTTTGAGGTACGTATTTGTGCTTTAAATCTGTGGCTCATTTCAGCTGGACTTCGGTAATACAGAGAAATTAACTATACTGAGTGATTATTCACCTAGAAACTTCACTAGTCTCACCCATAGGGGTAGTTTGGCAAGCAAAAACTGTTTTAACAGTAAACTTGTAGGTATTACTTGTACTAACCCGTCATTTGACGGTATTATCTTCCGAAAAGTTTTATCGATATTTTCAGCCTCAATTGTCATTGAATTATGAACGTAGGCACATAATATAATAAGACACGCGGAAATGTTTTAAAAATCTAATTTGAGATTAAAAATTGTATTTTTTTTGTAGCTCTATGTCAACTGGCTTGAACTCTTTGTGTGGCGTAATTTTTGAAGATCTCATAAGGCCTGCCTATGACAAGCCTATTTCAGAAAAAACAGCAAGTTTCATAATGAAGATTATCGTCGTAGTTATAGGTTTGCAATCGTATTTGAACATTTTAATACTTTGACTATATTAACTTCTCTATATTTAATGTATTTTGTGTTTTCAACAGGGGCTACGTGTGTAGCGTTAGTATTTTTGGTGGAGCACATGGGAGCGCTAATACAGGCAGGAAAAAGTTTGGCTGGGATTACTGCAGGCAGTTTGTTGGGCCTATTTTCTATGGGACTCTTTCTGCCATGGACTAACTCTACGGTACAGTTTTGTATATAACTACTTTGCCCTGATGTTATCGCTGGATTCAATATTTACTTAACTATACTTCCAAGGCTTCGTTAAAAAAATCACTTCATTCCTGAAACCCAAATGAATTTGCTATGAAATTCAACCTTGAATTTGAACTTGGGAATCAACAAATAGTCAATTGAGTTTGCGAACTAGTCACTAGTTTTTTTTGTTATACAGCACTATACATATTTTACAGCTTTTAAAAGATATGTCAATTAACTAGCGGTGTCAATCAAACCCTATTGGGTAAAATTTCAGGGAGCGTTAGCCGGTGGGATAACTTCCACCCTTCTCGTCGGGTGGATCTCGATAGGCACGCAAGCGGCCATGATACGAGGGGACATCGTGGTTGTCCCGAAGTCGGTGTCCGTAGCGGGCTGTCCCGCGAATATGACCACTTTCACCACCCCCATGCCGTCTACACAAACTGTGGAGTTTGACCGGTAATGTTATAACTTGTTATCTATCGTATCGTAATCAATGTACCTACATTGCTTCAATAAGTAGCGCAATACAAGTTTGTAGGTTATTACTTAAAATGTATTCAAGAAGTTTATTTATTAAATCGATCATAATTCGAGAATAATTTCTATTAAACGTAGACCTAATATTAGGTTTTTCAAATAGTCGAATGTTTTACTAATAATGTTGAAAATATGTAGGTAGGTACATATTATTTAAACATGTCTAAAAGAATAAATAAATATGTTTGGACAATCTCACACAGCGCCATCTAGCCCCAAAGTAAGCAATTAATATTAACGGATATACCTACTACTTATATACTTTTTTTTTTTAAATACATACATATTATACATAGTAACACCACAGAATACATAATAGTAGCAACAGAAATTGCACTCCTTTGTGTAGGATCAGATGCCGACATTTTAACGGTAATAATAATAATGCAAAATATCCAACGCACATGGTGCATTCGAAATCGCACCTTACTACTACGCTCACAAGAGCGCAAATTTTTTGTGTTCAGAATTGATCTACCTCGCAGCTCAAGCGCCAGGGTTGTATAAGCAAAGTAAAATAAATAATAACTTAATTTTAAGAAGCATTTATTGTATTTACGATTGGTAATCTTTAATCTAGTGGTGTTTGTATAATCGTACCATCTCTAAAGTACCTATTAATAAACTTCAGTGTTGCAATAATTCGAAATTGGACAAATAGTTTTAAAAGGTGTAGTGTCGGAAAATAGACACGGTGAAGTAAGTTAATGTTTATATTAGCTAAAATAATTTTTTTGCTACAGTTTTTTGTCATAAGTATTTCAAAATTATTTAAAAAGTGTAGTTTTTTTTAATTATTTAAATTAGTACAGTTAATTATTATTCCTAAATACTACGATTTTACATTAAAGAAGGATAACACTGCTGTTGGAACAATAAACCTTGATTGTGACGATGATCGACCGAGCGTGTATAGAAATACGCGTGTGCTCACAGGCGCGTGGCGGTCCTGACTGATTTGCAACTTGAAGTTGTCGCACGCTGTAGGTAATTATCTCGGCCGGTATAGGCGAGTGACGGAGGCCTGGTAACACCCAGACCCGTCACAGAAATTAAAATTCATCATTTCAATTTCTGCCCGGCCGAGAATCGAACCCGGGACCTCTCGGCATAGCAGTCCGTTCTGAACCACTACACCAAACGGCCGACAACGAAAAGAACGAGGTAAACAGTTGATTTTAAAACGCATGCAACATGAAAACATCATGATGTCAGATTCTAGAAATGGGGTAATGTCATACCTACAGCCGTGCGATGCAACGTGAGGCTGCGATCAAAATTCTAATACATTTATTGTTGGTCCCGACTTGCGAAGTTGATATAGTCGTGATGAATTATTCAAAAGTGTGTGATCACCGCTGCCGTAATACAATAAATATAGAATCCATTGTTTGTTATTGTTTCTGCAAGATTTAAAATATCTGGAGCAAGCTGAAAAATACTGAAGCTTACCTGAAAACTTCTATTCATTAACTTACCTGTTGTGATTTTGATATTTTCTTATAATTTGATTGCCACATTATCGTTGCTTGTATCCTTACGACGAGTTCGGAACCTAAAATGAAATGTAATTATTATTGTGCATAACAAACAACAAGTTTCAGGAGAAGATCCGGAGCTGAAAACATTAAGTTTTCTCCGATGGTGACCAACACATGAAACTTTTCATTATCTTCAGATTAGACTCCTCTTTGGTGGTGGTTTAAATGGCAAATGATGTATGTAATTACTAATTACCTAAAGAGACTTCCATTTCAGAAAGATTACTAATTTGCTCCTTTGACAAAAAGGCATCCGGTCAGAGCGAATCAGCATTACATCGAGATTGATTTATATGAATGTGTCGTAATAGAATTTAGGTTAGCTCATTTTGGAGACACGCATAATATATAATTTACATTTACATGCAAAACAAAGTCGAAACCATTCGAATGCATCAGAACCAGCCCACAGTAAAGGAGTCGAATATCATTTCATTGAGTTTAATGGCGGTATCGTTCTGTTCCAGGTCAGGCACGTTCTTCCTGTACCGACTGAGCTACTTGTACTACACGCTGGTCGGGATGACTGTGTGCGTGTTCGTCGGCGTGGTAGTGTCGTATTTTACGCAGCCCAACGACCCTGCTTTGGTAAGTTCCCTGTTAAAAATCACCCTTTATTCTAATGATTCCTAAATAATCCTAAATAAATAATAATCGCCTTTTCAAGGCGAGAGTGAATAATAGGCACTTACAGGGCAGATATTATGTACCATCCTAGACTGCATCTCACTTAACACCAGGTGCGATTGCGGTCCAATACTTGCCTTGTCTTGTATAAAAAAAAATTATCGTTTTTTTTTCATGTGTTGGTCGGCACAGACTACCTACATATAAGATATAGCGTATTAGTATAAAGTAAAAACGCTGAATATGCTGTAAGGAGTCGCGCATGGAGTCAATATTGGAAAAAATGCCATCTTATCAAGTAAGTTTGGCGACTCTATGATTAGATTTTATGTTCAACTAGCGGACCCGACAGACTTCGTTCTGTCAAAAATATTCACCTATATTGCTTCGAAAACAGGGAGGGAGTGCTTGTAATTTAATATGAACTTCATCCCAAGTANATGGAATAGCAATAAAGTTCAAATTGACTCTACATTTTAGTTAGAAAAGGTTTGTATACAAAAAGAAAAGGGTTGTTTTTAGGGATTTCCCGGAAATTATTCGAACTTTTCTCGCCGTAAAAACCATCCTTCGACTTCAACGAACATTTAAAAAAATAGTTGGTGAAATTGGTCCTGGCGTTGTTGAGCTATGCGCTTGCCAACACATTTTGCGATTCATTTTTATATTAAAGAAGATTATATTCAATTACATTTCCGGTTTATATTCCAACAAGGTTGTCCCTCATTTTGTATTTTGTAGCTTTCATTGAGATTCAGATTTGGGCAAGTAGATACAAATATTTAACCAAATTCATGTATGCACGCTAAACAATACAAATTGAATTGATTAGATTAAATAATGTTAAAACGCTCTCCTAATACATTTATTTGACGTGGAGAGTTTCACTTTCCTGATGATGACAAATGAAAAACGGTTGTGAACACATCGAATTACCAATTCATTAAAATCTGTCATTAGTCCGGTCAAAAAAGACATTTAGTCCAGTCAATAAAGCATTGTAGATGGAAATCCATGGAACACAATTTTTGACTTCGGGACTTTATTTAGACTAGTTAGGAGGTGAACGTAGCAAAAGTCCCCGCCCTTAGCCCTTGAGCCGGCGGGGAGAGGGGGGTTTAAAGGTACCACTTTTCGGTTTTTCGCTTAATGTTTGAGGTATATTTATGAAATTTAAAGCTGATGTTTATCTTGCAAGTCTCAACACATGAGCCTAATTTGAAGTGTTAATGCACATAGTCCAGTCAATGAATGCCTTAACGACGGTGTAGAGAGAAATCCGTGGAACACAATTTCTGACCTCGGGACTTTATTTAGCCTAGTTAGGTGGTGAACATAGCAAAAGTCCCCGCCCTTAGCCCTTGAGCCGGCGGGGAGAGGGGGGTTTAAAGGTACCACTTTTCGGTTTTTCGCTTAATCCTCGGAAACTATGCGTCCTAGTGACATGACTACTATGAACCAAAAAAAGCTTATTCAATTTGCTACAGGTCAATATTACAGACCTTCTAGAGCAGATGCCGCGAAAACTATACAATTTATAGAAAAACTTGTCCATCTCATCTGTAGCAAATTGAATATGCTTTTTTTGGTTCAAAGTAGTCATGTCACTAAGACGCATAGTTTCCGAGGTTTAAGCGAAAAACCGAAAAGTGGCACCTTTAAACCCCCCTCTCCCCGCCGGCTCAAGGGCTAAGGGCGGGGACTTTTGCTATGTTCACCTCCTAACTAGGCTAAATAAAGTCCTGAAGTCAGAAATTGTGTTCTACAGTTTTCCATCTATAATGCTTTATTGACTGGACTAACAGTGCTTTTTGAGTGATGAGGAGTCAAAAGTGACTCCAATTAGTTCGTCTAAATATACGCACGATGCAGTCCCCTCCCTGGAACTAGGCTTAACATGCTCCCGCATGTCTATAATGTTTGCTTTTAATGTTGATTTAGTCGATTTTCTCCTGATGGGAACATGTAAGACAAAATTAAAATTTACAATATTACAGACCTTCTAGAGCAGATGCCGCGAAAACAACAATATACAAGATATAGAAAAACTTGACTGTCTCACCTGTAGCAAATTGAATAAGCTTTTTTTGGTTAATAGTAGCCATGTCACTAGGACGCATAGTTTCCGAGGATTAAGCGAAAAATCGAAAAGTGGTACCTTTAAACCCCCCTCTCCCCGCCGGCTCAAGGGCTAAGGGCGGGGACTTTTACTATGTTCACCTCCTAACTAGTCTAAATAAAGTCCCGAGGTCAGAAATTGTGTTCCAGGAATTTCTCTCTACACCGTCGTTAAAGCATTCATTGACTGGACTAATTTCAATTAACTGACAATTATTCGCATACAGCCATTCACGTAATATCAGTGGGTCTAGACAAAGTGCAAATTATAATCGCAAACCAGTCGAAAAGTGGTCGAAAAGCCCCTTTTTTGTATGGAGTTTAGTCCAGTCAATGAATGCCTTAACGACGGTGTAGAGAGAAATCCGTGGAACACAATTTCTGACCTCGGGACTTTATTTAGACTAGTTAGGTGGTGAACATAGCAAAAGTCCCCGCCCTTAGCCCTTGAGCCGGCGGGGAGAGGGGGGTTTAAAGGTACTAATTTTCGGTTTTTCGCTTAATCCTCGGAAACTATGCGTCCTAGTGACATGACTACTATGAACCAAAAAAAGCTTATTCAATTTGCTACAGGTGAGACCGTCAAGTTTTTCTATATCTTGTATAGTTTTTACGGCATCTGCTCTAGAAGGTCTGTAAAATTGGAAATTTTATTGTTGTCTTACATGTTCCTTTCAGGAGAAAATCGACTAAATCAACATTGAGCAAACACTATAGACATGCGGGAGCATGTTAAGCCTAGTTCCATGGAGGGGACTGCACCGTGCGTATATTTAGACGAACCAATTAGAGCCACTTTTGACTCCTCATCATTCAAAAACTGCTGTGCGTTAACACTTCAAATTTGGCTCATGTATTGAGACTTGCAAGATATACATCAGCTTCAAATTTCACAAATATACCTCAAACGGTTATTTAGGTATTGACGTTCAAAAATCGATATTTAGAGCATTAAAATCTATCTATCACATGTGAAATGTTAAAATTGACTGGTTTTTTATTAGTTCCTAAGTATTTACATAACTACCTATCTGGATGCCAAATTTGAACCTTCGAGGTCATCTGGAAGTGGTTAGAATTTGGTCTGTAGGTCAGACATGAAGATTTTTGGACGTCAATATTTAAAGAACCGTTTGAGGCATATTTATGAAATTTGAAACTGATGTATATCTTGCAAGTCTCAACACATGAGCCAAATTTGAAGTGTTAATGCACAGTACTTTTTGAGTGATGAGGAGTCAAAAGTGGCTCAAAGTGGTTCGTCTAAATATACGCACGGTGCAGTCCCCTCCCTGGAACTAGGCTTAACATGCTCCCGCATGTCTAGAATGATTGCTCAATGTTGATTTAGTCGATTTTCTCCTGATGGAAACATGTAAGACAAAAATAAAATTTCCAATATTACATACCTTCTACAGCAGATGCCGCGAAAACTATACAATTTATTGAAAAACTTGTCCATCTCACCTGTAGCAAATTGAATATGCTTTTTTTGGTTCAAAGTAGTCATGTCACTAGGACGCATAGTTTCCGAGGATTAAGCGAAAAACCAAAAAATTGGCACCTTTAAACCCCCCTCTCCCCGCCGGCTCAAGGGCTAAGGGCGGGGACTTTTGCTATGTTCACCTCCTAACTAGTCTAAATAAAGTCCTCAAGTCAGAAATTGTGTTCTACAGTTTTCCATCTATAATGCTTTATTGACTGGACTAGTTTTGACGGATTCGATTTTCGATTCGATCAAAAAGTGCGTTTTGTCTAAGGGGGTGGTAATATTAAAATATTCGCATATTGTAAGTTTACACTGACATTTATCCATTTTCATATAATAACTCTAAGATCTGACTTCATTCTATCTGGCAGTAACAAAAATCTAGCTACCTACTATGATTTCATTTTATAGGCTGAAGATACCACCATACGACCATACTATGATTGTCTTTTGTTTACATAGCATTTGTGAAAAGATTTATACAAAAGATACAACTGACCTCCAATAAACCAAATAGGTACACAATGAATGCGTCCGTTCACGACCCAAGAGTTCGTTCACGTCTTTAATTTTAGGTCATCTCAGATCCCAACATAAATCTTCTGCAAAATCGTGCCAAGTCGCGATTGAGAAATTTATTGGAAAAGATGTAGAGTGTGAGAAAATAAGCCTTATATGGGAATATTTATACTTAATGGTTGTTTAATAACTATTGTATGTAAAAGGATTTTCAAAGGACATGAAGCCGGCCAGCATTATGAGAAAGTTAAAGGTTGGTAGTAGATACGACAAGATTTTCACTATTAATTGATACTGACATTCGCTTAATTGCGTAGATACACAATAACATTATTTTATTATCCAGGAAAACTTACTCTATCTAACAGTTTTCATAAAATAATTAAACGTAGCATCTACTTACGTTATATTCAACTATTAGTGTCGGGATATCTGAATAAATGAACTTATGTGATCCACTAGCAAGACAATAATGAAGGACAACAATAACTTATGACCGTCAAGCTGACACTGTGCTCCCACTGAAACAATCCCTGAAAAAAATATTGCACAGCGTAGTAAAATTTATGCGGGTTGCAGCTCAAGGAAAACTATTGAGTAGACCGAACTGACATTTACATATTTGTTGAATGTATGAACAGGGGTTTCTTTAACTTATTGTACTTACATAAATGTGTTTTAATAGGAATTATCATAAATTAAGAAAAAAGTGTGAAAACAATGTTTATTTTGACTTCATACGTACGCTGATTGAATTTTTTTTTTATGGATTTTGTAACAATCCTTACAATGTCTCGGTATTTTTATCTTTACCACTAGGGACAATAAAAATGTGTGTTGGTCTTGAAAACAAGTAGAATATGCTTTTTGGGGTCCTATTAGATGTATAATACCTACTTTATCCAGCGATAAAAACAATCACAAGATATTTTTTGTGTAGAGTTTAATTCTCTATCACTGATAATGAAAGGGAAATGTCATTTATGCATTCTTCTTCCTTCTTTTTTAAGACCTTGAACTTTTAAAGTATAAAAGTTGTGATTGAAAGCATGAATACACAAATTATGGCGTTAATTCCAGCCACCCACCTCAAAATTGTAAAGTTAATACTATATTGACTGGACTATGAAACCAAAAATTCAGAATTCTTCCAGTAAATAAATTCAAATTCTTTAAGATTAGGTACATTTTAGGTACAGTATGGTCCATACCACCTGTTTGCTGTGCCCGACAGGGTCCATACTGTATGGACTCTGTCGGGCACAGCAAACATTAGAGGAGTGGAGGACGTAGATTTTTAATGTAGGTAGGTAGGTAATGCCCGTTTTCACCATCAATCCCTAATTTATAAGTAACCCTTATGTAAACAAAATTCCTGTTATTTGTTCCCATAGGGGTCACTTAAAAATTAGGGATTGGTGGTGAAAACGGGCATAAGTATAATAAAATAGGTAACTCTAATGATTATTTCATTATTACATGTTAGGTGGCTCATAGATTGTCTTTGAGGTACTCTTGAATAGGGGTCGCAAACCGGGATACCGAATTTCGAAAATACCGGAATACCGGGCCAAATTTAGGTCTAATTAATACCGGTATTTATTTCACAAAAACCGGGATATTCGGTATTTTCGGTTTTAGTAAAATAAATAAAAAACATATACAAATAGAAAAATTAACGCGCCATTCAATTCAAAATACGCGCGCGCGAGTTAATTAAAGTATTTGAACTATTTAACCCAAGTTATTTTAATAAAGGATTATGATTATGCCAAATCCATTCCAGTCCAGAAGCTTGAAGACATCTTCCAGGGCGGCGGTAAACAGTTTTGGAGATATGACGTCTCCCTGTCTTACCTCTCGCTGCAGCTGGATAGGTTTCGAGTCCCGATCCTGGAGGCGGACCCACATTGTGGCGTTTTTGTATAAACTTTTCAACACTTCGATATATCGATAGTCAATTTGGCACCTTTGGAGAGATTGTAGCACTGCCCAGGTCTCGACCGAATCGAAGGCTTTCTCATAATCCACAAACGCCAGGCAAAGTGGTTGATTATACTCCTCGGTCNCTCTTGAATAGTAGTTATAGTAGCTTTTTGCTATAAGCATATCTTTAAGTTTTTTTTAAAAATCTTTTTCTGTGCTGTTCTTTATTGTAGTTAGTTGACAACTTGTTGTAGATTTTTACGCCCATAATATTGCTAAATACAGCAGGACTTGGCGAGAATACTGCCGCGCTACTAGATAGCATGTCAGTTTTGATTAGGCTAATTTATGTTAAGCACATCTGGGGAATCCATTTGAAGATCGTCCTGTTTGTTCATCCGTTTTTTGATTTGTCAGTTTGTAATCTACTTTAACACCTGTTATTGACCTCCTACAAACATTAATTCTGGATGATCATTTGTCATTTGAAGAGTTATTTATTACTAGCTTTCCGCCCGCGGCTTCGCCCGCGTGTAATTTTGTCTGTCACAGAAAAACTTTGTTTCAAAAACCGGGATAAAAACTATCTTATGTACTTTCCCGGGACTCAAACTATCTCTATGCCAAATTTCATTTAAATCGGTTCAGTAGTTTAGGCGTGAAAGAGAGACAGACAGACAGACACTTTCGCATTTATAATATTACTTAACTTGTAAGATTGAAAAAAAAAATACGAGTCCAATATTTTTTGATAATAATTGACGGACTAAAAGTTTTTTTAGGAAACTAGCCTATTGGACACTAAGTAACGTGTCCTATCATGTCCCGGTTCCAGGTTCACCGTGACCTGCTGACGCCGGTGATCCACAGCTGGCTGCCTCCGCAGAGCCCGGGCTGCCGGCGCCCGCGCCTCACGCAGCACGACATCGAGTTGCACGCGCGCGATCTAGACCACCTGCGCGTGCGAACGCCTTACACAGTTTGTATATTCCTACTCTAGCATCATGCATGAGCCGTATATTCCAGCAGAGAAGAATATGACCAATCCCGCGACCTGCTGACGGATCCACAGCTGGCTGCCACCTGCGCCTTACGCAGAACGACATCGAGTTGCACGCGCGTGTCCTGGACCACCTGCGCGTGTGAACGCCTTACACAGTTTGTATATTCCTCCTACTGTGCATGAGCCGTGATTCCAGCAGAGAAGAATATGACCAACCCCGCGACCTGTTGATGGATCCACAACTGGCTGCCACCCGCGCCTTACGCAGAACGACATCGACCTACACGCGCGCGATCTAGACCACCTGAGCTTGCGAACGCCTTACACAGTTTGTATATTCCTACTCTAGCATCATGCATGACCCGTATATTCCAGCAGAGAAGAATATGACCAACCCCGCGACCTGTTGACGGATCCACAGCTGACTGCCACTCGCGCCTTACGCAGAACGACATCGAGTTGCACGCGCGCGATCTAGACCACCTACGCGTGCGAACGCCTTACACAGTTTGTATATTACTTACTACTCTAGCATCATGTATGACCCGTATATTCCAGCAGATAAAAATATGACCAACCCCGCGACCTGTTGACGGATCCACAGCTGGCTGCCACCTGCGCCTTACGCAGAACGACATCGAGTTGCACGAGCGTGTCCTGGACCACCTGCGCGTGCGAACGCCTTACACAGTTTGTATATTCCTCCTACTGTGCATGAGCCGTGATTCCAGCAGAGAAGAATATGACCAACCCCGCGACCTGTTGACGGATCCACAGCTGGCTGCCACCCGCGCCTTACGCAGAACGACATAGAGTTGCACGCGCGCGATCTAGACCACCTGCGCGTGCGAACGCCTTACACAGTTTGTATATTCCTACTCTAGCATCATGCATGAGCCGTATATTCCAGCAGAGAAGAATATGACCAACCCCGCGACCTGTTGACGGATCCACAGCTGGCTGCCACCCGCGCCTTACGCAGCACGACATCGAGCTGCACGCGCGCGATCTAGACCACCTGCGCGTGCGAACGCCTTACACAGTTTGTATATTCCTACTCTAGCATCGTGCATGAGTCGTGTAGTTCCAGCAGAGAAGAATAGGACCATCACCTTCTGCGGGAGCCGCCACTCGGCACACAGTGTTATTCTTCCCTAGCATTCAAGCCACAATATAATCCCAAGCATGAACCATGAGCCATATTGTTACATTAGACAAAAAATAAAACCACCTGACCGGCCAACGCGCGAGATATGGACCACCTGCGCATGCGCCTTACACAGTTTGTATTATTCATATTCTAGCGTCATTAGGTGTAGTTCCGTTAGAGGAGGGTTAAAATAGGGCCACCTCCACTCGACCTGAGAATGTTGTGCGAGGCGGCTAAGGGAGAAATATGCGAACATCAAATTTCCCTAACTCATGTAGCCAGCGTGGAGAGTGTTGGCCAAATCTTCTCTATGCCACAGGGTCAAGTTCCTGCAGTGGAGACACCTCATTATTGCATGGTTTGATAAACGCAACGTATTAGAATGTGCACTTTTTCAGGTTTCTCATTTGTAAATATCTTCTGATCGTCTTTTTTAAAATTATGGTAATTTATTTTTGTGGAGTGGAAGAAATCCTACTTTCTAAACCTAAATAATGTAGCATCTTAGACACAGATAGTATAAGCGATTGCATGCATAATAAATGCCCTTTTGATGTGGTGGTTTTTATCCATAATATACTTTCTCTAACTATACTATATGGGTATCTACATAAATCATACGGTTTTTACTAGGTTTGTTATTAAGAGTTTGATTTTCTGACACTACCCTACTCTTTTCTCTACTCCTAATTTAACTATGATACCTATACTAACACTGCCGCTCGTAACTCGTAGCATCTTGTAGTAATTTTCGTAGCACTTTGCGTAATTAGTGGTACACGTGGTTAGAAAATAAGTTAAACTTTTGATGTTTCTTTCAGAAAGTCGAAAGCACCCAAGACGACGACTTCGTGCCTCACAGGAACAACAACAACAGCTAATACAAAAGGCGGACAGACGATCAGCCTAGGTTAGTTAGTAGTTAGAAAAAATATGTGTTATAAAACGGTGACTACCTTTGACTATATTCTGGACCAAATATTATAATAAAGAATTTATTTTTATGTGGCTGTATTGATTGTCGATTGATAACGTGATATGTGCAACCTGCTTAGGTACAAATGCAGGTGGCTCTAAAAATAACTCGGTGTGGTTTAATATTTCTAAAGTTTCACAAAACGGTAAACTCAAGTTTTAACTCAGTTACGATTTTTTTTAAATTTGTGTTTAAACTGCAGTAAAATTTAAACTACAGCTAATTAATTAATGCATTATCTGCCTGATATATTACTAATAAACATTTCTGATCTTGAAATCACAAGCATACTCTGCTCATGCGCTACTTCCCTCTTGAGACAATTAGGATCAAAAAGAAGTCAAACACTCCTTAGTACTGCGACATTTGCGTGTTTTTGCTACTTGGCAATTAACGGTTATCGATATCGGAAAAGTACACAATGTTTGCATCAATCTTGTTATTCTTGAATGTCAAATAAAAATTACATCCTCCAAATGTATCCAAAGTGTGCTTTTAAGTAGGTACTTTATAATGTCTGAGCTCGAGCAAGTAGATTGTTTAGGTACCTAACTTAAATACTTAAAATGTGATCTGTTTCTAATTTAATAGAAACGTAGTGAAGATTTTCCTAGATAATTATCTAACAGTCTGATAGAAGCAAACTAAAGCTTCTATAAATTGACCAGGGATAATCAAACAAATAATAGGAAATAAAAATCTATATATTATATTTAATTATTCTTACAAACTGTTAAATTACGTCATATTATTATGTACAACATCTCATAACCAAGACATAAATTAACAGATTGACGGCATATTATCAAATACTTTTTGGCATCAAATACTTTCATTTACTTATGTATTTCTTGCTTCACTAAACTTGAGATTTTATTAGAGATTCAATTATTACTTACGTAAACAGAAATGTAATATTTTCCGGGTTCCTTTTGTACTAATTAAACTTTCAGCGAACGGTACAGATTAAACATAACACTCTAGAAACCTCTAAACTACCAAAAATAAGAGCTTCAACTGTGTTGATTTCAATAACTCTAATAAAAAATAGCTCACGTATGATTAAAACGAAATAAAATAAAGAAAATTCGTCACGAACAGTTGGCTGTAAATAAAAAACGGTGTTTCTATCCGTGCAACTGTTCTGCTCACTCGTCAGCTCGCACTCTGGACATGGCCGGTGAGGCACAATAGTTCTGCACAGTTCTGTTAGCGTCCGGCACTGGTGAGCTAGTTGAGCTCCGTGCGCCGGCACGTGCGCATGTTGACGGGGAAGAACACGTTGAGCTCGATGAGCGTGGCCAGCACCAGGAACATGGCGTACATGGCCAGGCACGCGCGCCCCACCGCCGCGTCCAGCTTGAACTTGTTGAACCAGAACGTCAGGTACAGCAGCAGCAGCGTCGACAGCAGCGATATCGCTGAGTACTCCAGACCCATCGAGTTTATCTTCACCTGTGGACATTCCACGTGTTAACTCACAATCGCTTAACAACACCGAAACGCAATCAAACCAAACAATATTCTTAGTCAAAATACTCAAATAAAACAAAAGACAATCGCCTTGCAAAACGTTATGATCACAATTCGCATCGCGAGCATTATGTCAAGAGGAGGCGTTCGCAGTGTGAACTGATTATACCGAAAATAACATTATGATCTAACCCAATAATGTCCCGGTTCTGCTGGTGTGAGTGACGCTTTGATTAACCACGGGAGCCCAAGACATAATAATATGTCAAATGTGTTTGATCCAATTGAATTACTTATTCCCATCGAGCCATGTCCTGTAAACAGAAAATTCTTTATGATGAACGACACACCGTTTCGTGAATCATGGCAACATGTTGCAAGAATTTACGTATGAAAGAAATACTAGGTAGAATTTATTTCAAGGATTGTGTGCATATTTTGAAAATTAGTGCTGCTGTTTTAAAGAATACTAAATAAATATATTAGGACAATTTCACATAGCGCCAACTAGTCCTAAAGTAAGCAACTATTATTGCTTGTGTTATGGGTGCTAGCTTATCGGATCTACATAAATATATTTTTTTTAGAATATGTTTGTTACCCTGTTTGGCGACTATTACGCTAGAAACAGCTTCAGGAACAGAGGTCCCGGCAGCCAAGAAAGTAATGCCCATTACTGAGTCTGGTATCATTAACGTATCCCCTGAAACGTACATTCCAATTTAATAAAAATTCCATCTCACGTAGTCATCTTGAGACAGTATTTTTTCACTCTTACCAATTATCGTTATCATCCAAGCTACTATGTAGGATAATGACCCTATCCAAACGATACACATAATGAAAGTCAGTGGGAACCAGTTCTTGAAACGAGGTTTTTCACAATCAGGAATTGTAAACAAAAATACTAAGTGAATTGGCCAAGTAACGATCCAAGTAGTCTGAAATATAAAAATAAAATAAATTATTTGTAGCTGTAAAGGTATACGATTAACATTTATGAGGCAATTTCTGTCGATTGTGTTGAAGTTAAAACGCTGCAACACTTTCAATAAAAATATGTAATACCAAATTAATTTATTAATTGGACAATAATAGCACATGCCGTAAATTGCTGAATGAAACCCAGGTCAGTAGTTGTAGAGTATGGCGCAGTTGTAAGCTATTTCCTACCTTGGTAATACAACTCCTGCCGCTCGGCCATTTCCAGAGGGAGTGTTCATACTCATCTACAGGGTCTTTATCTCCCACTTCCAGATTTTGCTGGCCAGTATTTTCTTCAGTACAAGCAATTTCCACGTCATTGCTTTTGTGTTCGACTTCTATGTCAACGATTTTGTTCCTCTCATCATCACTGACCTTCTCGGTTCGCAACGTATCACCACTTTTTTCATTTACATCTGGGTAAAGAGGTAATGCAGCTTTTATATTTCCGTTATGTTGATGATGCTCCATAGGTACATCATCTTTATTTGTAGTTGAAGGAGGTTTAACATCTTTCACTTCTGGAAATTAAGTTAGTAAAAAGCAGCTTAATCCAAATCTCCCAATATAAAAGTTAAAAGTAGTTAATTACACATATTATCAGCTAGGTATATTGAGAGCTTTAGAGTTTAAAATCTATATATATAAAAGAAAGTCGTGTTAGTTACACCACTTATAACTTAAGAACGGCTGAACCGATTTAGCTGAAAATTGTCAGTGAGGTAGTTTAGAGCCAGGAGAAGGACATAGGATACTTTTTATCCCGTTCGAAATTTAAAAAAAAGTCTACTTATTTATTGCCATTAAGGCGGAACAAAGTTCGCCGGGTCAGCTAGTTACGAATAAATTAAAAGATTTATACCATTATCTGTAGTTGTAGCGGCGTCTTGCTTCTCATCCTGATTTTTAAACATTCTGGCCACACATTTCCAACTCCCTATAAATAATAAACACAAATTTATGTTTTTCAACTCTACAAAATACTCAATGTTATGTGTATTATACACATAACATTGAGTATTTTGTAGAGTTGAATTGTTTTAGAACAGTTATTAAAACACTGCCCCACGGTTTCTGAATAGATTTTTAATTTGAGCGAGCTCATTTTCTACATAAGTATGAACTTTTTATATTAAGGTCAATACAGGCCAACGGTACTAGAAAAATAATTTTGTCGAAACAAGAGCAAGGTAAAATTATCTAGGATGATTCAATCTGGATATTTCCCTCCTCAAAATCGTGAATCAATTTCAATTTTCGGTTACATACCTTTAGCAAAGTTTTGAATTGACTTGTCGTAGTACATGACGCATATGTAGACCCCATAGAGGGACACGAGGAGGAAGGCCTCGTACCACTGCACGTATTCGTCGTGCATGATGCAGATAAGTATCGAGACCGTGATGCCGTACGCGAGGCAGTCCCTCGTGAGCGGCCACCAATCCAGCGGTACTACCTGGAACGCAACATACCACCAAACATTAAACACCGACATTGAATAATAATATACGAGTAGGTAATTAGCCTATAAATCATTCAAAGAATTTTCAAAATCATGTTAAAAACTTAGGTAGGTGAGAGAACGCGTAAACTGTTAACGCCGCGCTCCCTTTGAAATTTTAATATTGATTTAATGCCCGTTTTCACCATCAATCCCTAATTTTTAAGTGACCTCTATGGTAACACATAACAGGAATTTTGTTTACATAGGGTTCACTTAAAAATGAGGGATTGATGGTGAACACGGGCATAAGTCTTTCAAGATATACAGAGAAAATAAATATGGCACAGCTAAATCGTAGAATCTTCTTCGGCAATGAAGCAGAATACTGGTACACTCAAAAATAAAAACATCCTTATCATCCTGAGCTCTAGAAACTTTCATAGCAAAGTTGCTAACTGTTAACATAAACGCTGTATTGTAGGATGATTTCGTGCGTCAAGTCGTCACACGCAATACGCTTTAAAACGTTATGTAATTAAATTAGATATTTAAACAAAATATGTAAGTACTATGGATGAATTCTAACGATGACTAACTGAATAGTAAGAAGGTATAGCGAACTTTAAATACTATCTTCTATGTGAAAGTTACATGGACTGTTTGACTCGGGAGTACTTTGACAGATTCACATGACGCGGACGTAATAAAAACCACTCCTAAGTAGTGGTGATAATAAATAATAATAAATATCCTTGGACATTTTACACTTAGTCCCTAACTAAACAAAGCTTGACTATGGGTACTAGACAACGGACATAAACATACTTAAATACTTTTAGAAAACAGCCAGACCCGTCACAAAAATTAAAATGTATCATTTAAATTTCTGCCCGGCCGGCCGGGAATCGAAATCGGGACCTCTCGGCTTGGTAGTCGGTTCTGAACCACTACACCAAACGGCCGACATGTGAACACAGACGACACAGTGGTGAAGCCTATGTGTTACAGAAATAGTGAATCGATTCATGCATGATAGACAGACGGCTTACCTGGTTAACTCAGAAACCAAGCAATAGAAAAAGTGCCAAAATGAATAACAAAATCCGTGTTTTCATACCGTCTAATTGGGAAGGATCATTAGATCATAGATCAAGAAGATAGTCAGAGATCAGTACCTATACTGGATATTATGAATCAGAGGACCAATTCGAGTTCCATTTAGGTACATCATCGTATAAAACTTTTTGTCAATAAACAAATTTTAATTTTAATTTAATTTAATCATCATTTCAGCCATATTAGGTCGTCCATTGCTGAACATAGGGGGAAACACACCCCCAAAGGGATCCCCCTTAGATTTACATTCTGTGTTGTTTTTACTTTTAAAGGAATGAGCTGTTCCACCTATGACGACAGAAGCCCGTGGCTAATAGATTCACATAGGTACTTAGGTTGTAAATAGAAGATATATCTAGGCTGAGTGAAAGGTCGTTAGCTGATAGAAGAAATACCTAGACTGAATAATAAATTAATACTTAGTTTAAAAATCTAAAAACACGCTTTTAATTACTGCACTAAAAGGCTCCTGGACATCATCTAGCACAAAAGTGGTCGAAAAGACAAATTCAATGAACCCAAACTCGATGCGATTCCGCCGTTTCTTTTAGGAGTTCCTATGGCTACCTTCCAGTCCCATCATCAGACCAGTTCGATGGTACCATAATATTAATCTAATTTACATAATATAATTGCCAAGTTTCATGATGATACTAGTACAAGCTTTGCTTAGTTTGGGACTAGAAGCGTAGTGTAAAATGTCCAGGGATAGGTACCTATTTATTTATTAGAAGTGAGTGTAATTCAGATTCTTAGATTCCATTACCTAGCTCGCACTTATTGCGTGTCATGTAAGCTATAAACTACTGTATTTTATTGAAAAAGAGGCTGACAAAGGTGACTGAGTTCCTTCTTCTCAAAGTGGTGGTACGACAAGCTATATTTGGGATGTGTATAAGTGCCGTAGAAAGGGCCTATGTACTGAACAAACTATTTGAATTTAGTTCATTACACGACGACACCTAATAAAAGCGTGTTAAAAACAAATTTCAATCGATATTTCTTACCATTCCCGCGCCAATCCCGCAGCACGCCGCCACCGCTAGGATGTTGAACACCGCGGAGCCGACGATGGTGCCGACGCCGATGTCGCCCTCGGTGATGAACGTGCCGATCACGTTCACGAACAACTCCGGCGCAGACGTCGCCGCCGCCATGAAGGTGGCTCCCGCCACGTCGTTCGTCATGTTCAGCGCTGCAAATGAATGTTGCAATATGAAAAATTGGCTAGGGTACAGCAATTTATTATAAGTACTGTGGTGAAATTTTAAGAACTGAAACTGTATTGGTCATTGAACCAATAGACGAAGAGCTAGTGAACGCCAGACCTACGTCATTTTATAAAAGCTGAAAGTTTGTCAGCGTATGCTCCCAATATAGGATATTATAATGTTGGTGAATTATGAAGTTTGGGTCATCGTGGCTTTGGGAGCTACCCTAAAAAAACTGTCTAATTATATCCTATATTGGGAGCACACGCTGACAAAATTTCAGCTTTTATAAAATGACGTAGGTCTGGCGTTCACTAGCTCTTAGTCTACAAGTTCTATTACGAAATATTAGTTATTAACTATTAAATTACTCTTACGTATTTTTCAGCTTCACACAATAATACTGCAGCGAAAGGTATATTCCCAATGAAAATGTTTGTAAAGACCTTCAATATCAAAACCATTATCTTCCCAAGTATTATTTCGAACATAAGAATCATAGTCAAGATGGACCGACACCAAAAAATTGTTTGGTGTTGTTAACAAGTCTCGAAGCTGCTTCTACACAATATTTTTGGCGTGTTTTTTTCGCCCAGACGAGATTAGTCATGAAAGTAACAAGACTCTGTCTTCACCTTAATAATATCCTAATGAAATTCATACGAACATCACCACCACCCACGTCTACGTCCTGCCAGTTTATTTTGTACCTTGTTTGTAACCAAGCAATTTATTTGTTACAACGCAGAAGTACATACACTGGCTTCGTTCTAACACAGTTATTTTAGGATTAAGAGGTATCCATTACATCTAAAGTAACAAGCGTGATACATTATAGTTAAGGTACGTGCAAGACGCCATGAGGACTCTGACTCGGTATGACACAACTGAATAAGTGTTATAAAAGCATCAACAATAACACATAACCATCTTTTTGCGCTTTGAAATTTTTATTTTCTCTTCGTAATACAGATTACGTTATTGACGATAGACGGTTCATTGTTGCTTGCTGCACAAAAACTCTTCTCACAAGCGCACAATGAGCCCGGCCGCTGCGTTACATGTGGTCTGCTGCTCTATACTTGTATATTTGAGTACTCAGCTTTGTTTAGTTTGTAACTATCATACGATTCAATCCAATCATTTTATAAAGATATTTTAGTGATAATTAGTCTTATGTTGTGTACTTTTTCTCTTTTCTCCGATCTTTCTCCTCTAATTTCATACCATGTCCCATTTCATGTTGGTATTTTCTGACGTTACAATTTACTCATACCGAACTAAGCTTTAGAAACGAAGAAAGCTTTACAACTGAAAGAAAAGCTCTCATTATACATTATGTATTATACCTACATATTATGAAAGATAATAGACAGGAAAATATCTCGTAATTACTCGATATGATCTTATTTACCTAATAGAGAGTAACTTAGAAAGGAACATAAAATGTTTCTCTTTGATTTATGTATTTTTATGTGCCTTATTTACGCAGGTGAATACACTCATTAAAGGTGACAACTTTTATTATGATAGGAAGATCGCATCTTAATTGCTTCTTTAAACAAATTAAATCTTTTTCTATACAGATATAAGCAGTGTAATTAATCAGTTTAAAGTAGGGTAATTCCAGGATACATGCCCCAGTGGGATAGGTGCCGCGATTTTAAGTAGGTACACTATGTTACAAGCAACTCAGCCTAAAGTTTTAGTACGTATAATAGAAAGGGACCTCCCCGTACCACTTTTCGCCTCGCAAACCATCAAAGAGTGCGTTCGTTTAGCCAGTGAGAGCAAAAATCTTCCGCGGCCAAACGTTAGCAAGCATCGAAATAAAATTGGTAAGTATCATTTGATGGATAATTTTTTGTCAGCTGTAAAATTAAGCAGATTTTTATATAATTTGATAGGCTATCTTATAAATTAGACGGGATAGCTATGTTTTATTAGATTTTTAGTGTTATTATATTTTTTATTAAAAAAAATAAAACCGACTCCAAAAAACCTACACTAAAAAGCAGAATAATAATTACTAATTACCTACTTATTCAGAATTCATTAGGACGAATTATTAATATTTATGTAGGTATACCATGATTGATACTTCTGGAGTCGGTGCCAAGATTATGAAACATGTAAAGTTTGCCTGCACCGACTCCAAAAGTATCAATCATGGTATACCTACATAAATATTAATAATTCGTCCTAATAAATAAGTAGGTAATTAGTAATTATTATTCTGCTTTTTAGTGTAGGTTTTTTGGAGNCACAGCTAGTTATAGATAAAATTAAATATTCATAGTAACAAAGTAATGATTCCTTACTTAAATTATCAAAAAAAATATCAAAAACAAACAATTTTATTTTTTTATATAGGGCTTATTAAAACACCGTGTTCGAATAAGGCCTACACATAAAACCTTTTAAATAAATCAGTTTAGGAACATCATTTAGTCTTGAATTTTTGTAAACAAAATGAGAAGTCAATTTTTGTTAGAACCAGGGCATAAAAAGGCTTCTGAATCATCTTTACGAACTCCTACACAATCTTTGTGATACCACCAAAAGCAGTCCTTTATGTTAGCATATATATCTGCTACATTGTCTTCGAGACAGGTATGATAATACCAGCTTTCATTCTCCTTTCCTTTAGAATTATACACACGGCTTTTTTTTCCTTATTTTTTATTGGTTTTGTATTTTGTGTCTTTTTTTTACAGGTTTAGTAATTTTTTTCGACTCCGTTTTCTTTTTCTTTTCTGTGCTGTTAGTAATATTCTTATTAAATAAACATTTAGTTACTCTTTGACTCATTTACTTTAATGAATTTGTCCGTAATCAGGTGTTGACATAAGTATATAATATGGCCTATAATGCTGAAATAAGGCCTAGGCCTTATTACATATCTCGCACTTGTTGTCTTTAAAAATTTACAAATAATGCATCTATAGTCACTAGTATAAATTAAGGTAATTATTAGCTAGTAAGAAATATTTAGAAACGATTACTAAGAAAAGCTTAATCTAAAACAGCGTCATTTTACCGAAAATTTAAGATGAAATCGGCAAATTTTTATAAGAGAGCACGAAATCACCCACCACCTTAGAAGAACGCGTGCCAATTGGTGCTGGGATCGTGGATCGGGACGCTCTTGCGCTCTACCGGGTTGTAGGGCATATGAGTACGTGTCCCTGAAGTATTATCCCGGTTGGATTTATTTATCTGTGTTTTCTGATGTATAGGCCTTATTAGAACGTAGGCCTTATTTGTATCAAGTACCTTATATGTACATAAATAACTCTAAGTATTAATAAATTAAAGAATGTTAACAGTTCCAATATCTAACCTTTTCCAGAATCAATTGAAAGTTATTCGTCCCGTCACCTACTTGGCCTGGTGGAGATCGGGAGGAACTGTACTCCTGCTGCGATCCTGGAGTTCCCCTCCGATGGCCTCACGCATACTCAAAGACGTCATGTGAGTTAACACTAACATAAATAAAACAGTGCATATGTTATAGTCAAAACTCATAATCGGTCAAAACCGTGATTTTGTGTGAAGTGATTTTGACTACTACCCGTTCGCGCTAAGTTTGCCGGTCCGTGGAATGCGCGTCCCCTCCCCCAACCGCGATTAAAGGCAATTAGTTAGTGATTAAACGCAATTAATGTGTCTTATTTTACGCAAATACACAATTGTTTTGACATTTGACCAATGCGTGTTGCCAGTGATGGTATACGGATCTGAGACGTGGTCGCTTACTATGGGCCTCATAAGAAGGCTCAAGGTCACCCAAAGGGCGATGGAGCGGGCTATGCTCGGAGTTTCCCTGCGTGATCGAATCAGAAATGAGGAGATCCGCAGGAGAACCAAAGTAACCGACATAGCTCGTAGAATTGCTAAAATNCCCTTTTGATAATACCTATTCAACAAAAAAGTAATCGTTCTAATTGGTTTATAATCGGCGGAGATATTGCGTATAAAAAAGTTCATCCCCAATTTTCCACCTTTGGGGGTTGTTTTTTTCAATATTAAATTTAAATGGGACCACCCTTGAGATATTATCTATACGCTGAAAAAAGATTTGTTCAAATCGGTTCATAATTGGCGGAGCTATCGCGTAACAAACATAGAAAAAAAAAAAAAAACATACGGGTCGAATTGAGAACCTCCTCCTTTTTTTGAAGTCGGTTGAAAAAGGCACCTATCCTATGTTAAAAGGATAGTTGCCTAATTTTTTTTGGGTATAGATGCCCTTAGGGTCAAGTCCCATGCACCTAGGGGCATCTATCCTAACCTGATCTTTTTATCACAATTCACAAGTAGCCAGTAAGAAGAAAAAAAGAATGCAGTACGGCTAACCTTAGGAAAGTAATAAATAGGGTGCCTTTCTGATCGAATTACCTTTTTACCCGACTTCGGGTGGATGTACTATGTACTATTTTTAATAAAAAATATTAAATTTCATTTTTTATTCATTTAATAACAAACAATCTTAAATAATAATACTTGGATTGTTTGATTTCAAAATGCATTTGATCCTTAGAATTTAAAAATTCAAAAACTATCTTATCGAGTCATCTATCCCTGCATCAGGCATCTATCCTTTGAAGCAATCATACAGTGAGGGAGTACATCCCCCACATTAGGCGTCTATCCCACTTTTTAGAGGTCAATTAAAATGGTATTTACTCAGAATCGGTATAACTTAAACTAAAATAATTATAGTAATATCATAGACGAAAAACTAAAGTTTACAGATACTAAGGTCAAATTGTTGATAAAAACTTACTGACTGAGTTACAGAGCTGTTTCAAAAAGTGGGGCATCTATCCTGGACTTACCCTATGTATTAGTAAATATTGTACGTGCGGTAGGTAGGTATGAAGCATCGGTAAATCAGTTCCTACCTACATTAATTATATTATTAACTTGAGTCAGCCGATATTTCTCGAGATATTACAGGATTTAAATAGCTTGGCTGAATACACTATACGAGTAAAGCTATAAAACTAATTATAGATGGCAATCCGAAAAATTATGGAATTTGCCCAGTTAATGTACAATTGTCCTGCCTGCAGCGAGAACGGTGTAATCCGTGTAATAGGCTGATTGCTTACCATGACATATCCTGTCGACGGCGGGCACGAAGAACTTGTCGCAGACCACGGCGAGAGCGATGAAGAGGTACAGCGAGAGGAGAGCGTGGACCACGATGGCGCCATGCTGCCGCTGCAGCTCCGTGAAGAGCCCAGAGGGGAAGTCGTCAATGGCCGGCGGCGTACAGTTGCGCAGATACCCATCTGGAAACGCAAATTGATTCACTGCAATGAACACAGTAAGGCGATAATTGCATAACGCTGATGGCATTGGACTGCCAATTTGAAAGCCACTAGTTGGATCCTGTCGATCGCTGGACCATCGTGGTGAACGCACTTCTACTTTAAATGTAATATTTCTCCTAGCTGGAGAGGCTAGTGTAATTTGTGCAATATAGCATACAAATATTTTAGTAATACCAGTAATACCACTAATTAACAATAGAGCTAAATTACATTTTATTACGTTGTTGTTATTACTTATAAACAAAATTAGATACAAAAGATAAATTCCATATTTTTTTCTCAGATTTCATTTAGCTAGTTGCTAGTTAGTTGTCAGCTCTATAAAACCGTTAGCCTCGATTAGTTTCAGGACATGCTGATTTACTGCTTTACAAATGTGAGGTTTTTAATAGGTAGTAGGTACAGTCTATTTTTTCTTGACTTATCTAATAGTAGGTAAAACTCGTACTTAAAGTAGGACTTTGTGCCAATACTTAACTGCTCAGATAAATTTTTATCTGACCATAAAATAAACAAGTTAATCATCAATTCGCTGAGGTACATAATACATATATCTTAGTCCTTTACTTATACAACAAAATTCACTACTACATATTACTGTAGGTATAGGTATGAATGAATACGAGACACGTGCAGAATACAGGCTGATAAAAACGCCAACAAACATTAATATTTTTATGTGTAAAATTTGAAATGAACATAATATTAACTAATGCAACAATACTTCTCTAAGGGCTAACTAAAATACCCACGTACCTACGTTATTGTACAATAAAAAATGCATTCATAGTACCTATCTTTTAGCTTGATCATTTTGAAACATCATGTAAAGTATTAAGAACACTTACATAAATTAATCGGGAACTTCTCTATAATAATATCTAGTTACATTGTTGTAACTATTTACCTGTATCTTAAGTGTCGGCTGATTACCTCTATTTTATTTAATATTTGCATTACATAATAACACAATCTTAATGTTTGATGAATAAAAATTATCGACTGTGGAAGTAAAACAAGCTCCCTTCATCGATTTCATCAATGATTCAGATTTTGAACATGTAACATGATTAATTAAATACAAGTTAATTTTGATGTGATATAAAACCAACCCTTAATAAACACCGTTTACCTACTTTTAGTGGCAACAAAAACCATGTCGCTCTTGACAAATAAACACAATTGCGGTACTTCTCAAAACGGCTCCCGCAAATAGCAAAGTCAACAAGAAGATCGTGGACAAATTGGCTCAAACGACCACTGCACGGCGTGTTTAACCGAATTAACTGATTTTACAAAATACGACGTGTCGTCGGGAGCCGGCCACTGCCACTGTGGCTCTTTTACCCCGATGTTGTATGCCAAAATGTGCGTGTCACATCTCGTTTAGACACTCGCTCGTCCAGAGTGCACTGTGAGGAAATTGACAGATCAAAGAAGGCAGGAAGTCCGCATTAACGTCGCATAAGTCGTCTTTCGATTCTCTCGGCCTATTCGACGGCTTCGAGCTTCAAGATTGCTGCGGAACAGATGCGTTTATGTAATTTGTCATTATATCTTAGTCCAGTGTGTGTCTCTAGATGCTTTTACAATGATTTAAGAGCACACTAACATAGATTTCAAAGGCTAACGGTAATTAGTTGTTACTGGACCGTTGGGTTTTTGGCAGTGCAGGATATTGATTGTATAGTTATTGGACAGTGTCGTCAGCAGTCACGTGAAGGCCGGCAGACTCAACCTTGCGAGCTGCCCTGCGCCGCCGCCAATTGACAATTTGCGCGAGGAGCGACCGGATGAGGCGCCGAGTCGCTCCTGCCTCCCCCTTCTAACTTGACGAATGTCGGCTGCCTCTATCTGATAGCCGCACAGAAAATTTACTTCACCATACCTAGATACTTTCTTAAAACTTGCGCGCGGTCACCTGAAACGATTTATTCAATGCCGTGGTCCATTGTCAGACTACACGGCACACTTCGCATAGTACGCTGCCCAACTGACGTAGCGTCATAGGTAGATGTATTCAAATAGCAATTAGAGATCATGGCAACAAGGACCCTCTTTGAATATTGAGCTAAAAATAGGTATCGATGCAAGTCCGAAGTCAATTATTGACATTAACCACGATTCACAGTGACCTCTATGGTAGTAGGCGGGCCCTCATACGTATGCTAATTAGGTACTTCTGGGTGTAACGTATCGGTCTTCACTGGGTTTGTTTACTTTCATATTTAGCTAACGGGCTCTTTGACAGGTTAACAAACATGAAATTGGCGAACAGTTAATATACAGGGTGTCCCAAAAACAATGGATAACCATACAACTATCGATGGGCCTCCTTAAGATCACTATAATATTCGTATCAAAATTTTGACCTTAGTAAAAATATCACAGATTTAAAGATTTTTATTTTAGAAAACTGGTACTTTTGATTAAATTTTCTCATGAAATTCAACTAGATAGTTCCAGTCTTTAAAAAAAAAAGAAGAAAAGGAAAATTTAAATCGTAATCTCGCATCACAATCGCAGGTGTCTATTTTCTAAAAATACAAAAAAAAACTTAAAAGTCTCGATACCGTGATATTGTTATCTGGTCAAATTTTTATATTAGAGATACCATAGTGAGGCTTATCGATGGTTACAAGGTTATCCATTGTTTTTGGGACACCCTGTATAGGGTACTTTGTATCATACTGATATCTAATATAAACTAACGGGCATTGGTTATGTTCATGTCGGATGCCAAGTATATGATACATAGAATAGATGATACAATCGACACCAATTCGGTAACAAAAGCTACGGGCAATGAATAAAGATCACCAGCCACACCCTCCTTCATGAATGTTCAGCTCATCTCTATGCAAACGAAAACAACAAACTATCTAGCTATGTAAATTGTACCGTCGCATAAAATTAGAGTTCACTACTCACCTACCATAATTCCTGAATGGTTTCCCTAAAGCTGAAGAGTGTCCAACATAAAAAGCATACCTGTTTGAGAAACCACGATGACCGATCTCCCATACTTACGGCTCCTCCAGTCCCTGAACCCGCGGAACTCCTATAAGACTAGTCACAATCACTATAACTGGCACTGGAAACGCTTCCTCGACTTCATTGAAGTCACTCCGCTATATTGAGTGACCTAGCCATTTGGTGAGAATTGGACGCACTTCCGACGTCCATGGAAGAAGTGTTGCATGGTGGCCGGTGCAACGAGAATCTGTAGTTACATCCTTGGCGCGCATCGAAATCGGATCCTTAAACTCGCTTCCACAAGAAAATGCAAGACAGTGATCGTACCTCGATCGGAGGTGTTCATATTGTCGTGGTGTTGCGTGGAGCGCGACGCAGGCGACCGGGGACGTCGCCAGTGGCGTCCGAATGCCACTGCTCACGCTCAAACGGACATAATGGACCCGCCGGAGAGCTCGTCAAAAGAAGAATACGGGGGCCAATTATTTATTTCCATACAATACACGTAGGTACGTCGGGCAGCGCGCGGGCGCAGTGCGGGAGTGATCCCGCAACAGCACCGCTCGCCATCATCGCCGCACCTTCGCACAAAATACTGTTTAAGAGCATGACTATTATTTGTAATTGGAAACTCTACAAACCGACTGACCTATCAGTCGGGCAGCTTCATCAATTACCTAAATTGGGTTTACGACGATCCGTAATTCGTGCAGTAAATTTTATTAGGTGCTTATTTAAGTCATGGTAGGCATTTACATTTTTTATGAAATGCAGGAACTCATGGTTTAAACGTGACTAACTCAAGGCTTATAATTGGATAAAATTAAAATTATACCCATAAGAATTCATTTTTATAAATTCACCTTTTTATAATGATGTTTTCCCACATGTTTACATACCTAGACCTAGGTAGCTAATTAAAATAATTGGTTCTTTCTCAATTAAGTACCTATATATTTAATAATTAAAACCCTGCAAGTTGAAGGCGAATTAAAACTTTTTTAGTTTGGTTACAAGGTAGAGGTACCTTACGCAGGCTTGAAACTTCAATAATCCGCCGGGTCAGGCGTCAATTGTCGGCCCTTCCTAAAGAGCACGCGCCGTGTCCACATTATGCTTTCTGAAATTAAGTCAAAATTTGATAGTTAATTTTATTTTAATCTCACTAATCTTAAGTTTTGATTGTTAGATAATATTCTTGTACATATACATATTGTTTATGTAGATAACTTATTAAATATAGAATAATAACTAAATTAATTTAAATATAAACAATTTAAAAAAAACATGAGCTAACGCGAAACGCAAGCTTAGCTTAAATAATACTAAGTTATTAAACTTTTTTTTTTATAGAGACAGGTAAGTAGGATTACGCGATCGTGGAAATTTAATAAAACTCTGGAAAATATTGATTTGTTTTTTTTTATTTTCTCAACAGGGAATCGAACCCGCGACCTTACGAGACATTTTTAAATTAGCATTATAATACGAAAAATCCCATTAACTACGTGATTTGAACCTAAAAACATTCTGAAATAAGTATGTATATCCAATAATCTCCCAGTAAGACGGTGAGGGTACGCATAGTGCAGGCGTACAGGACACTGAACGCGAGCACAATACCGTTTTTAGTCTTTTGACATCGCCATTATTACGCGGCGCGGTTACGGCGCTGATTCAATCAATCCACACAATTAGAGTTAATTAAAAGATTTGAGCACGAATTATTAGTTGTAAGCCATAGCGACGTGACTCATGTCACTCGTGGGAGCAAAGTAACTCTACTTTGTAAGATTATCATGAACTGCAAACATAGTATAAGGTATTAAGATGCAATGGGCGGTATGTTTTAACCATCCGTAAGAGCTGAAGAGCAGAGATTATTTTAATTTGCCTTTATGAATAAATAGCAATATGAAACCTTTTTAGAAAAGCAACTTCTTAGTAGGCACATTCGCTTAAAATTATTTACTTTGTCACAATTAGATTCTGTAAAGGCAAATTAGGTAAATAAGATTATAATTAATGAGCCTAGTATACCAACATCTAGTAGGTAGGCTTAACTGCCATAACACAGTTTTTTCACATTACTAATTTATTGCCTAAAATAGTGAACGTATTATAATAGACAATAAAATTTACAAATACATATAGCTGAAAATTCTGAAAAAATTTAGATATTTCAGATAATAATATTGTATGCACTACTTGCTACCTAATTTTTTTTTCAGGATCAAAGTAGGTAAATCAAGTTTCCTAAAAACGACTATTTACGTTTAGGTATTTAGGTTTACATTACATATGAGATATTAAGGATATCAGAGGATCAAAATACAGGACGTGCTTATCCGAGTATCTCATTATGGTAAAACTCTACATCAAATCTTTTCTGGGTTTAATTTTATTCAACTGATTTAATAAGTTATTTATTGAACAAGCGCTAGAGTCACATCATTCCCTCAAAAATATTTGATTATATGTACTAGTATTCCCATAGCTACACGTCTCCGCGGTCACAACTTATCGACGTATTTATTTATACCTGAGCAAACAAAGATGTACCTGCCCAGCAAACAGCGGAAAGTTCCTTGCCTACTCGAGGACTCGTAATCTATAGATTAGTTCTTAATGGAATATTTTTATCCAACACAGCTTACCAAGCAGTCAAATGTAATCGAACTATCATATCGGCCTACTCAGCCTTGAGGTTTCGTAACCCAGTTTGTTAGGACACTAATTTATTAACGTTGCCTTATTTAATTACAGGAATCACCAGTCTTTTAATACTTACTTGTTATTTTTCAATGCATGTATTTTTCATTAAACACTTTTACATCAGATTCATTTACAGTCTTTGCCTAACTCCTTCACGGATTTCAGTTCGAAATTAACTGAAATTCAGACTTTCCTCACGAATTATTTATACATACTCTTGACAAAATTTCCGATTAGATTATTAATATTTATCATTTACAAATATTTATTATGTTATGAACAAATATTTGCATATTTCGCACTTGTGCTAAGTACATTACCTACCTACTTATGAGTCGAAGAACCTTACGTACCTTACCTTATCTTTTCTTAATAACATCATCTCAATTAGATACTAACAAGAGTTTGAAATATACATGACAAGTTAAATAAAATCTTGCAATTAGTTAACTATAAGTAGATAAGTACACATATTAAGATCTTGTAAATAGCAAACAGAACACCAGAATATTGCATTTTTGTTTCAAAATAGATAACTATGTACAAAATGCCACAGAATTTAGCTTGATGTGCTATTGTACTATACATATAAATATTATGTCGTTTCCAATCCAATCTAAGTTCAATTTATTTGTTTTCAAGGAGCGCGGCAACTACCTACCTGCGGCGATCTGACCGGCACTCTCTGTTGACATTCGAGTGATAACGCCGATATCGACGGCTCCTAGTAATAATACTCACTCGATATCATATTTGCTTCAATGGCCCAAGAAAATAAGTGCATCCAGTAAATTATTGACTTCTTGACGAACCACACGTATGTTTCATGTGCTTGTTCCGCGGCCTGTGGTTCTAATGCTATCGAGCTGTATACACAGCAAAATATTCGAGTTCTTCATTTGACAGAAGCTTAAAACGGGAAGTTAGATTAGCGGTCACTAAATTATTTGAAATTCTAGTCAAGTTAATTTTAATTGTTTTGGATAAATGGCAAACATGTTGATAAGGACTAGACGTGAGTGCAATGCCAGAGTGGCGCTGGCGGTGCGAGTGTCGCTGTTCTTCGGAATCCCTGCCGCGTACTTCCTTTACTTATTTGTTGTAGCGGCCGCTGCTGGCCGAAGCGAGATCAGCCATGAGAATGCAGGTAAAGCGCAATATGAATCAAATAAAAGTCCTCTTTGCGTCCTGGAAGAGATTGCTTTATAGCGATAAGGTCACCCAAGTTGTGCCGTTTCAACTTTTTGTGGTGTGTGTTGAGATGAAAGTTTTCTTGAATGATTAATCTTAGATTAATGAACTTGAAAGTTCAAACTTCAGCTTCAGCGTTATAGTTTAAAATGAACCTGACCAAGAATCAAACCTGGAGTGCATTTCTTTTCTCTATGGTCTGAAAAGCGTGAGCGTGATACTATGCACGTCCTTTTAGTCACAGTAATAGTGGATTTTTATAAAAACAGTTGTAAATTAATATTTACAAAGGTCTTCCGTGCGTACCTACTACTCGTACTAAGGTACTTGATACAAATAAGGCCTACCTAACTTTAAATGCTCATATTTCAATAAATATTAACGCCAGTCAACAAAAACAAGGTTAATTAACTTCTTCCATCCTTTAATTTTAGAAATATTACAAAAAATAACTAAATTTTTAACGAAATCTATTCAAAATAAGCAAATTACGAAACCACTGATTTTGGCTTTAATAAATCACCTACACGGAATAAGGCCTATATGATTTAAATGCCTGTAGACCTTAAAATTGAGGTTGTATTAAAAAAAATCGGTCTTATATCATTAAACACGTCGATTTGTTTGCGTTATCAAAATTTTACATACAAAGTAAACAGAAATATACTTTATATCTCTAGATAAACTTAAATTCCACTTATTAAGAATAATACATAAATCTATACTAATATTATAAAGCTGAAGAGTTTGTTTGTTTGTTTGTTTGTTTGTTTGTTTGTTTGTTTGTTTGGTTGAACGCGCTAATCTCAGGAACTACNGACGATGGCCGTTGGGGCAGGAAAGTTCTCGAGTGGCGACCACGGGCTGGAAGACGTAGCGTGGGCAGGCCTCTTACTAGGTGGACCGACGATCTGGTAAAGGTCGCGGGAAGAGCCTGGATGCGGGCAGCGCAGGACCGTTCATTGTGGAAAACCTTGGGGGAGGCCTTTGTCCAGCAGTGGACGTCATTTGGCTGAAAAGAAGAAGAAGACACAATTGTTATCAATATTAATAAATAAAACATATTTAAATATAGTTTGTTATAGTTATAGTAGACGTTTCCTTTCGAGTGACGTCATATCGCCAGCGGCAAACTTAAAGCGAACGGATAGTAAAGCCCTTGGTCAAAACAACTTCTGACTGGAAAAATCAGTTAAAAGTGATATTGACCAAGGGCATCTGTCAAAACCACTTTTGACTGATTTTTGCAGTCAAAAGTGGTTTTGACTGATTATGAGTTTTGACTGTAACATATACCTACATACAAAAACAAATTTAATAATCCTTTTACTTCCTAACTAGAAAAATACTTGTATTTATTCTGTGTTAGAGATAAAATTATGGCGGTCTAGTTTATCCCTGCTTCTAGCTTATCCGGTTTCCAGTTGATGCGCCTTTATAGTCTAGAATGTAGACTCTAGCTAGATTGATGGTCCGAGTAGAAAGTTCTCGATTTGTTAGCATAGATCTATTGATAAAAAAATATGTCAACGACCATGTCTGTCCAACTACAATGTGCCTACCTTAACTGCCTTGATCGTTCTAGTAAGAATTGTTGTCTCTCATTAGAATAATGATTTCTTTTTTCTTCAATTTACTAATGCATTTTTTTACAGGGATACATCCTTATCCACTGCATCTTGGCCATTTATTGCTTCATGCTACTGGGCACGGTGTGTGAGCAGTATTTTGTTCCTGCTATCGATATCATTTGTGAACGTAAGTAATAAACCACTTATTATCCACTGAGTACAGTCAGCTACATAAATGCATTAGTTAAAAACCTATTTGTTAATCTATTTATTTAGTTTTGAAAAATCTAAAGATCTTTCAAGGTTAATTTGGTTGGGTAACTCTGATTATTGAAATATGTTGTTCTCTACAAAACGCAGCAATTTCAATTATCTTATCGGGTATTAAAAGTAGGCAATATGATGTTGACGTTAGGCATTAAAGGACAATGAATTTGTCTGCTTGTTTAATGACATTAGAACTCACCTTAATCAGATTAATCTTATCTTTAAAACAAACAACTACTTATCACGTACCGATTGATAGGTATATTAAAGATACCTACTAGTAAATTGTCAGTAGGCATTGTCAAAGCTATTACAAAATTTGATGAACACAAGTAATTTTATTACTTAAATGATTTACAAACTTAAGGCGGTGATACACAATGTGTATCATTGCTTGCTGGCTTGTCATTGAGGTAGCATACACACATGATAGTGGACCGCAACTGTACTAGTTAGTTACTGGCATGTGTATCGCTGCCGCCTCTACTTGCCGAGTTAATATTGTTTGAAAACTCGTGTTGTAATAAAATTGCGATAAAAAAAAATACATTAGAATCTCTGTTAACAAATATTGTTATTAAGTAATTATGCGGTTGATGATACCCACTCGAAATTAATCTGCCAATGCGAGAAATTGCTTTTACGATGCTTTGCGAGCGGCGCACGCGATGCATTACTGAAACATTGTTAAATGCAAGTTGCTTTGACGTTTGTAATTGTACCGACGTTTCCTTTGAATAACTTAATGCAAAATGTACCTTTTATAAGTAATTAACTCATCATTTCTCTTATATCGAACACTAGCTGCCGAGCTCTTTCTTTGTACTCTACAATTTGCAGCAGGTGTAGAATGCATTCTAAGTAAATGTATGTAGATAGCCTATACATTAAGTACATGCACTTTACATCAATTTATTGATTCAGAATAATCATATTGTAGCTAAAGTGAATATCTTACACCGACAAATGTTAAGCGTAGCGTACAAACGTAATTTTAAGTATCCCGTTAGCCTTACTTCTTTTTTCTGGCAGCCTCAGTCCTATATTAATGTAGAACCACCAAAAAAAATTTACAAAAGTTCTGCCAACAGTAGTATTGGTAATATGAATTGATTTTACTTATATTCATGGTAACACTGATAAACTAAACTACCTGTGTCACCACCAGTATAGGAATAAGCAGTAGGACCACGGGTAGAGCATTTTTCAATAAGAAGCTGCACCCTATGCTGCACATTCAGTTGACATACCAAACTTTTGTTTGGGTAGAATTAATGTGAATTGTGTCCATTTTCACCATCAATCCCTAATTTTAAGTGACCCCTATGGTGACGGTGACAGACACATAGTTAACAGGAATTTTGTTATCATCTTAAAAATTAGGGATTGATTGTGACGGGCATTAGTCTTCAGACTCTACCTTCACGTAATGAGAACTCATTTTATCAGGGGTGGACATGTCAGCGGACGTGACGGGTGCCACCTTCATGGCAGCCGCTAGTTCCAGCCCGGAGCTGTTCATCAACTGCGTCGGCACCTTCGTGACGGAGGGCGACCTGGGCGTGGGCGCCATCGTCGGCTCCGCGGTCTTCAACGTGCTAGCAGTCCCGGCCTGCTGCGCGCTGTTTGCTGGCAGGGTAAGCCATGGGACTGTTCCCACACCTCGGTATAGTTCCTAGTATATTATGTCAGGTGACGTGACCAGGGCAACGTTCATGGCAGCCACCAGCTCAAGCCCGGAGCTTTTCATTAACTGCGTCGGCACCTTCGTGACAGAGGTTCGTGGAAGCTGTCGACGACTCCGCTGTCTTCAATTGTTTGCTAAAAGACACAAATATTAACATTCTAGCACTTCGCTCCTTCTATTTCTTACCCGTGGCCATTCCTAATCAAACATCTAAAATACGTAACGAGCAACAATGCCTAACTCCAATTACTTAGCCCCACTGACAAATGCGGCGTTATGACGGATGTGCGGCCGAGCCGATCACGCTTGCAAGGAACTATTTGATGCATGCCGCTATTTTGATGAAGTGAAATAAAATACATCGATCTATTTGGCCCCAAAAAAATATTCATGGAATGATTTGCTCCTGAAAATTATCGAAAGTACAAGTCAGTTACTTACTTAGGTATATATTATGGTTTTAATTACTTAGAATAGAATGAAATAAAACACCTTTATTGACTTAATCATAACAAAGAACGAAAATCGTAAAAAAATATTTACATACTTAATTATCATCATCATTTAGTTCAGCTTTTATTATCATTACATGAATGCCTAAGAGCATGTCAAAGCACTGTACCTCTAGTAGGAAAAACTTTCGAGTTCGTTTCGTTGCGTATTCAAAGTGTCATCGAAAAATTTTGTATGAAAAATTAAACAGCGCCCCCTATATTATAGCCGCCCTAGGGAATATAATGAGGAACCTCATATATAACATAATGAGGAAGTCTAAAGGTTATTAGTGTAAAAAAATTACGTGCAGTTATATTTCAGGAAGTCTTAAATTAATAACAAAATAAAACTATCCGTAACATTTTCAAAGTTTTATGCAAATCATGAATCAATAGTTTATTGTTCCGGTAGAAATAACTCGACACCCGCAAAATATTCATAGCTCTATTAAGTTCAATAGTAATAATCATGGAAACTGAGTACTGTAATTAATTTACGACTGTAATTAACTTTCATGACTATTCATAATAAAGTGCCTATAGTCTTCATACCATAGTATTAACTTATTTGGTGTACAACATAATTATTAGCAATGATTGACAGTTCGACAGCATGATGCACAATGTCCTATCGGTCTGCTGTCAAATATTGATTTAATGTTAAATACTTTATTATTACGCGATATTGATGTTGGCAGGTGCTGATTTGATCGGTAGCAATCAGAATTGATATGCTTTATCATACTAATTAACTTGCGTTTTAGAACGAAAGAAATGCTACATTTTATTAACATTGATGTTATCTAATTAATGAATATTCCACGATTGTTTTTTTAAATTTAGGTATAGGTTCCTACTTAGGTCGTTTGCTAGCGAGTATAATGTATTTCAAATAGGTACTAATATTATATTATAATAATACATGTTACAACATAGTTAGTTTCATCTAAATACGTCCACTAGTTTTTTCGTGTAGGTCTATCAAACAAACAAACGTCCATCCATTTTCAGAAATTTTCCTCATCTTAGATATATCGGATTAGAAAGACTAGTCATCGTCATCATCAGGTCATTTAAAAGTATCTGCAGAGTCGTGACCCATTCCAGTTTATCGAGTTAAGGAGGATTTAGCGTTGCTGCCCAGTCGATTACTGGAATAGTTCTTTTGTGGAACAGTTCCTATTTTTTTAATGTCTACGATTAGATACACTTGTGCGATGAATTATGTTTGTGATAGACTGAAAATCACACAGACGAAGCCGTTCACAAAAACTAGTAGTAAAAAATATGGTTTTCAGGTGATAGAGCTGGACTGGTGGTCGGTGTCGCGCGACTGCCTGATGTACGCCGTGGCGGTGGTGGCGCTGATCCAGACTCTCTTGGACGACACCATCTACTGGCACGAGGCGCTGCTGCTGGTACTCATGTACATCTTCTACATCCTGGGTGAGTTGACAGATCATTAGCTTAAAGGGGAACAAAATTGTTTTACATACCTAGTTACTTGAACAAAATATAGTCGTAGAACTGATCAGAAGCTTCTCCATTTGAAACTTTCCTACTTCTCGAGTGGGGATCACGGACTGGAGATAGTGTAGACAGGCCTTTCAGTTGGTGGACCGATAGTGAAAGACCCAGGAAGCGCCTGTTTGTGTACATGACTGGGAGAGGCCTTTGTCCAGCAGTAGCCAGCAGTAGAAATGAGGTGGTTAAAAAAACGAACAAAATTGTTTTCTATGGTCGGAAATTACTTATTCGAATTTTACGACTAGTACACTACCTTTAGGATATTATCAAGCCGTCTTTATAACCAATTAGCCTCTAGCTGGGGTTAAACCTTTCCGCGTTTTTCTCAACGTTATAAATAATTATTAGCCAGAACTATTAATGATGTGGAAAACTTAATTACGTTCCTTGAATACTTTCTACTTTCCTATTTAATTGTAACTAAACCTAGCTAATTAATTAGATACCTATATTTTTTTCCAGCAATGGTATTCAACGGTCGCCTAGGATCGTTTGTGAAAAGTGGGTGCTGCGTTCCCAGCAAACCTAAAATATACACGGAGGTTACGCCGCTGCTTATAAAAGGTGCGTACGAGTATATGTAACGATGACACAAAGAAAAATGCATTATTGCGGCAAACGCAATATCTTACTTAAGCCGTATGTTAAAGCGTAATGAAGCGGAGAATATTTACTACTACTAGTTGGTTTTACTAGCGATTCTTACTTGTTTCATAGGCAATGAGGTGATTTTCATCACACTTGCAAGGAACACAACCTCGTCTGAAAAATATTATTTTTTAAATGGCACGCGGAATTATTTGTTTGCCTGGCCCGATTGCAAACTATACAGTATGAATTAATAACTACGTTGAATGCGAAAAACGTGAACATTTACAAGTCAAATTCATTATTTATAGAAAAAAATATATTTAAAAACACACATCAGAACACTTAGCTGGAACTTAACAACATTTTGCAGTAGAGCAGTTACCTAAACGAAAACGCACGCGAATGTATCTAGGTAATAGGCTTCTACACGGTTCATTATGAACCATTTTACGAGCAAAATGTGTACGAGTATAAACAAATAATTAACATCGTGACAGCTAACTATATTAATTTGTTTGCCCAACGTTAATATTTCAATGAAGTTATTAAATAAAAGGAAACACATTTTCGCATTACAGCAGTACTTAATCGTTAATTAACTGCTAAGGTGCAATTAATTCTAGTGGTGTTGTGCATATGTAATTTGGTTCCTGGTTTTCGTTAGCCATGGCTATTGAATTGAATGTCTTGACACCCTATTATTATAAACGCGGAAGTTTAAATTGTGTGTGAGATCTTTTTAATTAAGTTAATCGATGAATGGATTTTGATTTTGGTATTTTCTCCAACGAAACTGCAAAATTTTACTTTATACAAAATAAATCTTAGTTTGTCAGGTAAAGAAATTAGGGGGGTGGAGCACCTGGTATTCGAGTTTTCCCTAAAATCTAACAGACACCAGTCTCTCACACACAAGGTACCACAAACGATGTGCATAGGCATCAGTCGTTTGTATGTGAGAAAAATAAATATGATTTTATTATTATTATATGTAGGTTTTATTATGTAGAAGAAAAGCACCTACTTCACAAGAAAAGGATCTTTGATACATTACAAAAACATATCCAGCGGGTGTAATTAATTTAATTATTCTATTCCCTAATTCATTTAATTTCATGATTTGCGGCGGGATTTATCGTCCATTAACGATATCCATGTAATGTAAGCAATTAATTGTGGTTTTATTAGACTACAAGTCTAAAAAAGTAATGGACAGTACCTAACTGCCTACTTGGCAAGGAAAAAGTTTACCTATCTAACAGACAAGTGACTTATTAATTTACTATCATGAAACACGTAATTACTACGAGTAGATATTTCTGAAGTGACCCCACTTCCCGTTTTGAATGAGACAGTCCCATTTACAACTAGGTACTATATTCGTGAGTCCCAATAATAACTCTTGTATGCAAAATGGCCTGTTTTCAGATATGAGAAAAATACAGTAATTTCAATATTAATAAGTAATAATATGGTATTAAACTCGTCTACCTATTCAATTAAACGTCTCCTATCATTTATAAAGTATTCAAATCAGCATCAAATAATATGTAGTTCGTGACACCCAAAGCACAAAGTACATAGCTAAAAAGTTCGCCACACGTCTTTGTCACAATTGGAATAAGGTTGTGTTGTCAACTTATTGGCCACTTTGGGTGTCCCAACACAAACTATTTGACGCTGATTATACATAACTTATAATAATTTAGTTAATCTTGCAAAGAAAAAATAAATACAATACATAGTTACTTACTTATAAAGTCGGGTAAGTATAAAGTAAGTTATAGTAACTAACTAGTCCCGTTTTAACATAAAAACGTGGTCAGTTTATGTCTCGCCGTAGTACTGTACGCAATCTAATCAAACGTCGCATGCGCCGCTTTAAAGTTTTTATAAAATAAATAATACACGATGCAATTTAAGAAACATTACGATTGCCTGGCGTCGCCTAGCGTGCTACTTGCATGTAATTTAAGTATAAAGTACCATGATTGATATGAGTAGGAGGTACCTACCTACTGTTAAATTATAATAAATTGTTTGTTGATTTAAGAGTACGTGTGTTTGTTTTTAAATAACAATTATTTTATAAATGAAGACATAACGGTCCGCGGATCACTGGTGGTCCCTGGAGGCATTCCAAGTGGTCCTCGAAGAGCACTTGCACGCCTTGGTCAAAACCACTTTTAACTGATTTTTGCAGTCAAACTGGTTTTCAAAAAAATTCTTTCACCATTCGAAAGCTACATTATCCACCAGTAACATCTATAGGCTAAATTTTATTTTGGAAAAAAATAGGGTTCCGTAAAATATGTAGATAATGTAGTCCACGCGCGCGAAGCCGCGGGCGGAAAGCTAGTAAAACATAAACACATTAATGTAACTTGTAATGAATCGGTAATAAAATAAAGATATATATTTTTATTTAACATAATAAAATCGATATTTTCTAGAAAAGCAACACCCCCTGGATGCCTCAGGTCGCATGAGCCGCTCCATCCGTCACGTTAATTTGGAAAACGGCATGGAAATGATGAAGCGGCACGACTCTACGGGATCAGGTAACTTTAGATTAAATCAATCAAACAATAACATCATCATAGAGCTCAAATTCATTACAAAACACTATATTCCGACACAAGCTTAGTAGACCTGTGACTTTAAATTACATTATGCCAATAATAAGATAAAAAAAAATAAGGAATATTTTCGAATTCAAAATTGGAACACATCCTACCAGAAACAAGCAGCGTAAACTCGCTAAGGCCGGACGAAAAGACATTCCTCCTAAATAAACTTCTGTAGGTAGCTAATACATGGCCCTAGGGCTGGTGTTATATGCCACCATCCCCGATTGATAACTTTTTCAATTCTAATTCTCACTTTGATCCACAAAACAAGACTTATGTAACATGGCTCTACAGGGTGGAAACGATAAGTGATCTCACTCGATTATTTCTAAACCATACAAGTTCCTGATCCTGAAAGTGCTTTACGAGCTCTTTCAAACGGCACCAATAACAGATTACAGAATAAACTGGATCTATCCGAAAATTCAATGTTTCCGGCTTCCATACATTTGGTACAGCCTCATAATATTAAAAACTACAGAAGGTATCGTAAAACTGGTTACTGATCCTAAAGTGCTTCATGAGCTCTATCCAACGGTATCAATATTAAGTTACAGAATAAACTGGATCTATCCAAAAATCCAATGTTTCCATCCCCCATACATTTAGTACTACCACAGTCATGGCATTGATACTTGATACAACACTTTATAGCAAGTAAAGCCTAAAACTAATTTTTTCCTTGAATAATTTTAAATAAAAATGCAATTTACAAGTTTTTTTAGGTTTATTATTTAATTTTTAAAAATTACACTTAATATTGTGTGGTTGGCATACATTTAGTATGGAAGCTGGAAACATTGAATTTTCAGATACTTCCAGTTTATTCTGTAACCTGTTATTGGTACCGTTTGAAAGAGNGATTAAATCATTAATTCGTTTTTATTATTGTATACGACTTACGACATCAGTTAAAATTATCATTTTTACCGTAAAATACTCCCTAATGTATGCGTAATATAATATCAAAAACCTACCAATGTACAACTCTGTACAAACTTGGGCCCAAAATGGTTGTTCTCCTTTAATTTCTTAAAATTAACTCACTCTAACGTGATATGTTATTATTTGTTAATCTTGAATAATCTAAATTACAAGCAGTAGAAGTGAAATAAAATATACTTGATTAAAGTATTGGAATATTGGACACATAGCTCGCAGCTGGTGGCCGCTAGGGCAGAAAAGGTCTTGAGTGTCGACCACGGGCCGGAAGACGTAGTGTGGGTAGGGCTCCCCACTAGGTGGACCGACGATCAAATGATGGTCGTGGCAAATGCCTGGATGCGGGCAGCGCAGGACCAGTCGTTGTGGAAATCCTTGGGGGAGACCTTTGTCCAGCAGTGGACGTCATTTGGCTGAAACTAACGAACGAAAGTATTGGAAGCGTTTTAAAATTACGGAACTATTTCGGTAGGAGATGCAGTGGTGGATAAGAGAGTTGGCTTGTTTCCTCCTCCTTTCCTCCTGCAACCCTTGCCTGTGTAGGATCAAGACCAATCAAGAAGTCCCTTAACAAAAATTCATCATCTTTGTTAAGGGTTTTAGATTAACAAACTGAGATACTTTCGTATTTATTGTGATATAAGAATTCACATTTTTATATATTTTTATGTGAAATACATCTCTGTCGCAGCCCCAACCCAATCCAATATAGTCTTGCTAGGACATCCATCAATATGTCTGTTTTGTTAGTCAAATGTCATGTTTAGTAACTCCTTATTACCATGCCCTGCACATTACGGATTCAGAAAAAATGTTGACAGATAAGTAAATTGTCCATCTGATGACCCGGTCGGCCTCAGTGGGACCTTAAGCATTGACGATCTGTGATAAGATTAAGGTCAATTGATTTAAAGGTTTTTTTTTACTTTTAAGCTCAATACGAAAACACACAGGTAACTAAGTATGTCAGTTGTATTACAAATATATTTTTTTATGTATTTTATGTTTATTATTTCTATCTTTAAAACTTAAAAAAAATGAGAAGGTTCCACTGTATGTAGGTACTTTTTTTTCTTATAATGAAAACAGCGCGTCTAAAAAAGAATTTCAAAACTCTATACCATTCAGGTAAAACTGCGGGCAATAGTTAATCACAAAAATGTTTGCGACCCCTTCCAATAACAAGTATTCCATGCAAAATATTTTGCTGCAGTGAGTGACGCGACGTGTCATAATTATGTGTAATATGATTAATTAATAATGTAATAAGTTGGCGTTAAAATTAATTACTCAACACGCTAAAAAAGGGTTATGGTGCTTAGAGTGTATGCAGAACATAATAATATCTTTCACACGCTTAGCTTGATAGCCGTTGAAATATTGTTTATTTTCAACCGACTTCAAAAAAGGAGGTTTTTTTTTTTTTTTTTCTATGTTTGTTACGCGATAACTCCGCCAATTATGAACCGATTTGAACAAATCTTTTTTCGACGTATAGGTAATACCTCAAGGGTGGTCCCATTTAAATTTAATAATAAAAAAAACAACCCCCAAGGGTGGAAAATTGGGGATGAACTTTTTTATACGCAATATCTCCGTCGATTATAAACCAATTTGAACGATTATTTTTTTGTTGAACAGGTATTATCAAAAGGGTGGTTTCATGCGAATTTGAAGAAAATATTTCACCCCCAAGGGTGGAAAATTGGGGATGAACTTTTTTATACGCAATATCTCCGCCGATTATGAACCAATTTTTTTTTGGTCTCAGTGTACTGCCTACCTTTAGTAGTTATTATTGTAAAAGTGCTTTTTAGAGCCTACTTGCATAAATAAATGAGTTTTATGAGTTTTGTTGTGAGTGACACTGGGTGAACTTAGAGCTAACTTAATTTGTAGGTACTAGCACAGAATAATAATAAGTACTGGTACTAGTACCATCTTATTTTTTTATATTTCATACTCAAGTTAGCTCTCACCCAAAGTTGCATTATTTTCGCCTTTTTTTTTACACCTTACGCCAACTCCAAGATTTCTGACTCTATAACCATAATCATTTACCACCCCAACAACCTACTCAAATCCGTCCACCCACCAACAGCTGCAAATCTAGCGATAAATCGGCATTAGCATACCGGGCATCGAACCTGTACTGCACTTTCGCCACACTCCACTTTCGCAACTCTAGGAATGGGGGCAGTGTTGTTCTCCACTAATAATCCTGTCCAAAATGAAGTTGAGCTTTTAGTATGTATTTGTCTTCTAATAACGGCCTAATTTCATGAAAAAAGGATAATTTTAAACGATTATTTAAATGACAAGAGTGCGTGGACTTTACCTGCCTAGCTCGCACTTATTACGTGTCATATAAGCTATAAATTACTGTATTGGATTGAAAAAGAGGCTGACAAAGGTAACTGAGTTTCTTCCGCCACTTCTTTTCAGCACCAGCCCATTATTATGTTGCCGCAAAGTGTTGGAAGGGCTAGCTATATTTGGGACGTGTATAAGTGCCCCGGAAAGGGCCTATGTACTGAATAAACTATTTCATTTCACTAACATAGGTATCTTCTTCTTATTCTTCTTCTGCTATGATTCTTCCATTGGAGTTGGCCTTCTCCACTTGTAGTTTTGTTTCTAAAAATCAACTAATCGAATATTGCACTGGACAGCAAAGAAAAAGGGTCGGTTAGAAAATCTTCAATATCTTCAAAAGTACCTGACCTAGCTTCATGAAATAAAGACTAAATTAAATAGCATTTTGATGTGTTTGCTAAATGAGAATAAAATATTTTTTTTATCTCTTGGCCTGTATCTCACCTGATAGTAAGTGACGATCAGGCTGTTAACATTGTTGTTATGGCGACAGACTTAGGTAAGATGGTGGTAGCTAGCCAGGCGGACTTAGAACAAGACCTACCACCAACCAAACCGAACAGAAAAATCCGCCCCCATTGGGAATCGAATCCGGGACCTCTGCGTAGGTGGTCTTACCACTAGACCACAGAGGCGGTTATTATTAGTTATTAATTCAGCGTTTTTGTTTTTAATAAATGTAAAAAACTTTCAAATTTCTCGCGTCCCCGCTAGATCCTGGTGAGTAAGCTGCGCCCACGCACGCTAATTGCCGCCTTAATCGTCGGTTTAGTCAGTCATGTCGTAATTGTTAACGTTTACCCAATCAATGAAATGTTGACTGATTGGTTTTGCATTTACGCGGCCCATTGGAAACTTTTTACAGGACTAAAATAAATAGGATTTATTTTTGACACAAAACACCTTTATACTGCATATTTTATTAAGTTTTTGCCTGGCCCATAATGTTGATTGGGAGAAAATGTCATTGTTCTTCTTTAGTAAAGGACAATGTTCGTTCTCCATACATTGTTCGCCTAAGAACCAACAATTTTGACATATTACTACCCGAAAGCGAAATAACACGATTCTGTGTGTAAGAACAATGATTCCTGATGGACACTTGCCATAAAATTAATGATTAAGAATATTAAATCACAACGATTTTATAATATGTCGTTTATGACAACATGGCGTCTAATGTATTAAGTGAATGTATGAACACCGATTCGCGAAAAATGTTTTGTATTGTCGTCACGCCGATTCGCAGCCAAATAGTATAAAATAATAGAACAAGTTNCCTGTTATTGGTACCGTTTGAAAGAGTTTGTAAAGCACTTTCAGGGTCAGTAACCAGTTTTTCGATATCTTGTATGGTTTAGAAATTATCGAGTGAGATCACTTATCGTTTCCACCCTGTATATTATACCATACTGTGATGTACGAGAAACTTATTTATACATGATCTTATTTGGAACGTCCTTCCCACCAGACACAAGCAGCATCAGCTCGCTATGGTCGTGGCCGGACGAGAAGAATCCCCCCTAACGAAACTGCTGTGGGTGGTCACATGGCCATTGGGACTGACACAGTGGGCCACCATCCCCGACTGCCGACTTATTCCAATTCTAGTTCAGTTTAACCAACATTACAAAACTTAACTTTAACGTACAGGAACTTATTTTAAAATCTTCAAACGTCCTTCCCACCAGACACAAGCAGCGTCAGCTCACTCTGGTCGTGGCCGGACGAGAAGACATCTGCTCTAAAGAAGCTGTTGTGGGTGATCACATGGCCCCTGGGGCTGATACTGTGGGCCACCATCCCTGACTGATAACTTTTTCAATTCTAATTCTCACTTTGATACATAAAACAAGACATAAGTAACATGGCTTTATACCATACTGTAATGTACGAGAAACTTATTTATACATGATCTAAATTGGAACGTCCTTCCCACCAGACACAAGCAGCATCAGCTCGCTATGGTCGTGGCCGGACGAGAAGACATCTGCCCTAAAGAAGCTGCTGTGGGTGGTCACATGGCCCCTGGGGCTGATACTGTGGGCCACTATCCCCGACTGCCGGCGGCACCCGCGCCTCTACCCGCTCACCTTCGTCATGTGCATCGCCTGGATCGGCGGCGTCTCTTACCTGGTCGCCTGGATTATTACTATACTTGGTAATTGAGCAAGAATAACATATAGGTCAAAAGCAAAAGACCTCATCCGAGTAATAAGCTTTTCCTTTTTTTGGTTCATAGTAGTCATGTCACTAGGACGCATGGTTTCCGAGGATTAAGCGAAAAACCTTCTAACCCCCCTCTCCCCGCCGGCTCAAGGGCTAAGGGCGGGGACATTTGATATGTTCACCTAACTACTCTAAATAAAGTCCCGAAGTCAGAAATTGTGTTCCAGGTATTTCCCTCTACACCGTCGTTAAAGCATTCATTGACTGGACTTAGTCAATATTCGTAAGAAATACAAAAAAGCAATTTTCATTAAAATGGCCAGTTCCTAAAGCAAAACAAAAGAGTCACACTAATGTTTTCATTGTAGGCAATCATAAGAGCACTGACTCTAACATGCGTAAAATTGATAAACTTTCCTTTAGAAGCCTTTTGTTTCTTTATTTATTTATTTAAGTATTGCGCTATAAAATTTAGATAAATAAATAATCTTGTGTTTAATAGGTTAGCCCAGAGCTTCCCAAACTTTGTTTTAACTGACACGCCCTTGTGAACTTGCATTTTTTTGCTGCGACGCATCCCTTTATGGATAAAATCATCATAAATTATGTTCCAGGTGACACCCTAGAAGTCCCAGACAGCATTACAGGACTGACCATTCTGGCTGCAGGCACCAGCCTGCCCGAGGCCGTGTCCAGTGTGCTTGTCACTATGCAAGGTACGTCAATAGGGGAACTTTAGCTCCACCCTTTACGAGTAGTTTAGCCTTTTCTCACAAGGCAGATTGCAAGTTATGTATAGCAACTACAACGCCAGTTTTAAGGGTTCAATAGTGACGATGTAGAGATGGACAATGACCTTTAATGAATGAAAATCTGGTTAATGTTCAGATGTTTATCATTTACTTAGATTGTACCTACCATGTAGATTACTTCTAGTTATTTTTGTTTAATTTAGGGCTAGGTACTCGTACCTACTAGTTACAATTTATAAGACTACTTACGTTCTCATTATTGTAGGGCACGGCACCATGGGCATCAGCAATTCCATCGGATCTAATACTTTCGACATTTTACTTTGCTTGGGACTCCCTTGGTTGGTGAAATCTTTATTCTACCCGTCAGTCCCAGGAAACCATTGGGTGAGTAAATTGTTAAATGCATAAGTAGTAATAAGTTAGTGTAGAGCTCCTAGCTAGCCTTTCAGTCTGGCTGAAAAATAAATAAGATTCTGGAGAGCATATGACCTACTCGTAAGCTGTGAGATAGTCCATCTAGGGTTGTGACCTGAATTAACAACCTCCACCACAGAAGAAGCTTAATTTCGTCAGCAACTCGTGTTCAGTACAAGACAGCGCGTGACCATTACCTGCAATTTCCAGGTGACGATAAACTCAAGCGGGCTGTCTTACAGCGCGATCTCGCTGCTGTCAACTCTGTTCGCGCTGTACGGCTGCCTGGCGCTGAACAAGTTCCAACTGGACTGGCGCATCGGCGTCACCTGCGCCGCGGTGTACCTGGCCTTCCTCGTCTTCGCTGCGCTCATAGAACTTAACGTGTTCTTCCTGGTCAACTTGCCTATCTGTCCTCACTGATGTCGGCCGTTTGGTGTAGTGGTTCGAATCGGACTACTATTCCGGAGGTTGCGGGTTCGATTCCCGCACAGTACAAACATTTGTGTGCATGAACATATTTGTTTGTATTGGACTGGGTGTTTTCTATGTATAATATGTATGTATTTACAAAAAAAAAGTATTTAACCCTCCGTGTACGAGGTGACTAAAAGTTACGTCCCGTACCAGGTGGGGTATGACATACCCCAATATACAAAGTGATAAAATTTTCATTGAAAATTTTTTTAGGTGGAATTTAATATTTAATATTGATTATTTACGTATGCTAATTAGGTGTAAGAAAAGCTCTGAGCTGAAAATGTGTATTATAACATTTTTATCATAAAATAACAAAAAGACACAATTTCCGTTGTTCTTGTAATTGAGGAATCAGTTTCTTATGTATAATTTTTAATTAGTGCCTTTAATTATGACAACCGTTTTATTTAACAAAATACAAGATATTTACTTATAATTTAAAAGTAAATTAAAAACTGGAAGGGTATAAATTTGTTTTGACTATCGGTTTTCAATTTATTACAATCCTGATGAAAGAAAATGAGTATGCTCAATGCATAAAATGGGAGCGTAACATTTTATTTATTTATAAAATATGCTGTTCCATTTCAGTAGCCCATAAATTGTATCACCAAGTATAAATAATTGTAGCCCATAAGTGTATGTTCACATACATCTTCGGATCTCAGTACTAAACTTCCAGGTTCGCACTAAAAGTCATCTCATTTGACTAAAAGTGCTTGAAAATTTCAGATTCCGTGAAAATTACGAAAAATATTATTTGTATTGAATTTTATTCAATTAACAAAGCTAAAAATATATAAATTATACCAAAACTGTTAAATTATTTTTTAACTTTTTTAACAACGTCCCGTACCAGGTGGGGTGTGTGACACCCACACGCACTTTAAAGGCATGTAACTCAGTTGGTAGTCACCGCTGGACTGATTTTGCAGCGCTGATCGAAGCAGCAGCGCCATAATTCCAGCTACTGAGAATTTCAAATTCAGCACTTGCAAATTTTTAAAATTATGGCGATTTTTAAAGGCCTGGGGTGTGTCACACCCCACCTCGTACAGCGAGGGTTAAGTATGTTTATATCCGTTGTCTAGTACCCATAGTACAAGCTTTGCTTAGTTTGGGGCTAGCGGCGTAGTGTAAAATGTCCAAGGATATTTATTTATTTATTATCCAAGGATATTTATTACTGATTAGTTAAAGCTACGGCCTCCTATTAATATAAGACTTACGTGATGTCAGACTACAGTGAACGTGTGAGATATAGAGAGATGCCAACTAATGCGCTGAGTTCGAAACTCGTGTCGCATTAGAAATTCACACAGAATCAAAATTCAGAATAAAAATTATGTCACAGCGTGTGCCATTTTAGTCACGTTAAAATGCAAGTGCAAATTGATTAACTACTAACGACATTCGAGTTTCAGATTTTCAACTAAACCTTCAAGGATCTCGTAGCACATCTACTCATCTCACTCGCTTTAAATCTACTAATGGTTTGTGTAAATTTTGTGTAAATCACATACTTTAGTACCATATTTAAGGTTAAGTTAGCCAGTCTAGAAGACTCGGGAGCTAATGAACGCCAGACCTACGTCATTTTATAAAAGCTGAAAGTTTGTCAGTGTATGCTTCCAATATTTGTAAGAATGTTGGTGCATCATGGCGTTCACCAGCTCTTAATCTATTGTGGTACTAGAAGTCTGGCAATATCATTTCGAGACAAGGGAGTGGGGCGAGTGGGGGGAGTGGTATATGACCGACACTTGACCCATCCTGCTTGCGATTAGCACAGTTAATGCGTAAGTGCCGGGCTCAACGATTGACGGAATATCGTCATTATCCGATTAAAACTAGTGCGTTAAAGTTTCACTTCAGCTTGTATGAAAAGACTGTGCTGGTTTGTACTTAAACAAAAAATAATTCAGGACAAGCCATACTTCCTGCTATTCCACTTAAAGTAAGATGATGAGAATATAATAAGCTTACCGGTACATAACGGTTTTAAAATGTATGTAGGCCTATTTTAAAAATTTAGACCTTTAATATACCTACTACCTAGTACCTAGGTAGTAGGTATATTAAAGGTATAATAGGGATTTTAATAAGGGTTATAGTTATTAAAAGCCATGATACTTACAATATAATTTATTCACAGTTTGTTTCAAAGGGAGTACAGTAAAACATTAAAACTATATAAGACATAAAAGCATTTCTGCCACAGAAAACCGAAACAGTTTAGCCCGTACAGATGTCAGCAGGTCAATGTAAACTCTACATCGTATGTACCTAATTGTAATAGGTGTTATTTTGCAATAAAATTATAGTCTGATGTGCTTTCGACTGTACAATACTGTTGAACAATAAAAAATAACAAATAATCGTAAGGTTTGAATGTTTTCTATTCGTTTGGTTAGACTAAATCAATAATACATCGGAAATACTAAATGCCTTTTCATTTCATTATTTACCCAACACCATTGATACAGTCACATTATAAACGTGGGCAAAACCACGACACAGTTGTGCAGAGAATATTGTAAGATCTTGAGATTTTAGTAACTAGGTAAGTTTTATTTAAACATCGCACAAAATCAGCACTGAATTGTCGCCTATTCTACATAGGCACTTAGGTATACCACAGTATACCTATTTATGAGCTATCTACTGTGCTTATACATTAGTCATATTTACTTATTTACCTAGTTATAATTTTAAGTATATAGTAGGTAAGTACATAATCTTAGCACTGATTTTGAAACAATGAAATAGACTAACAATTAGGTAATCAATTTATCGATGTATTAATTAGGATTAAAAATCGACTGTTATATATGGGTCATTCCATAAAAATCTGTATATTTTCGACGTCATTTTGTCCGTAACTTTTTTAAGATGCTTTTGAATACTTTATTAGTGTAAATTATTGTTTATTAATTAATTATGTTATGTCTAAAAGGGCCAGTCACTTTATGCTTTATTTTAGGAGAAATTATAATTTTTAATTTTTTCATACTACATTACTCCTATATGACTTCTAATAAAGTATAAAACTTTTAACCTTAACATTTATAGATAAGTTAATACACATAATGTAGTTGTTTTGTTGTTATCACTATATAAAAAACATCATTCCCTAACTAGTNTTTTCGCGATTGAAAAATCCGCGAGATGGCAATACGTAGACGCGAGGTCCAAATGCTGCATGATTGGATTGGCTTGCATGGTTAGTCAAAAATAACCAATCATGCAGCATTTGGACCTCACGTCAACGTATTGCCATCTGGCGGATTTTTCAATCGCGAAAACCCTCATTGGCATAGATTATGAGAGACTGGCAACTATACTAGGTTGATATATGTTTCTCACACTTCAACTGGCATTGGATCCAACATCGGATTCTGACACTTTTACAGTTATGATACCATGAATATCAGCTTATGGTCCTAATTATTTTTATTTTATTTACGACCTTCGACCAGTTGGACACTTTAGATAGCTTCTTGTAATAGTGTCAATATCTTTTTAGCTTTTAACGCAAATCTAGTATTCAAAGCAGTTTAATCGATTTATTTTATTTTCAAAATCGATATTTTATTGTCTATGATGGCCGCAGGAACATCACTATACATGGACTCCCAGCAATAAAGTACGGTAATGCCTCGTACAGATTTTATCGGCAAAAATTATGGAACTTGATAGGTTTTAGACCATGCCACGCACCAAAACGTCCGGAAGTTGTAATAGTATTTTAGAATAAACGTTATAAGACTTATTTAATTAATTTTTCAATGCTTAAGTGTCCATTAGAACGAAAGGGTGCTTAATGTATTTAAAAAAATAGAAAATAATTATGATGGGTTAATGTTTTTTGGCGGTTTTTTAGGCGGTTTCTGACAATGTCCTTTTACGTGAAAAAAAATTGCAAAATACATACACTTAGTGAAATTAAAGTAAAAAGAGTCAAAAAACTTCAATCCCCTGTTGGACCATACCGTAAAAAAAATATTCCATGTCCTTGCCCATTAGCCCATTAACTGAAGAAGTCTTTCACAAGTCTGCCAAATCTTTGAAGACTCATTCTAGTCTGGTTTCTAGTCCACCAAAAAGAACTAATTGTATTTTATTTTTTTAAATTTGATTTTCTTCTTTTTGCCGAAAGTATTTTTTTCTTAATCGTACCCAATGTGTCTCTCTCAACCCAGCCAGTGCTAAATGACAGTTAAAAAAAAACAGATTATAACTATACGACCTTAAAAATCGAGCCGTCTGCTTTATTAACTGTTGCAATAAAAACAAGAGTACATTGATTTGTTTTTTTGTGATTTGAAAACTTGAAAGACTGCCTTGATAGTCGTACAATAGATTAAAACGTAGCCTCATTAAGTTTTTTAAACTAGTGCCTCAATCTGGACTGTACTGGCAGTAAAGTAAAATAATAAAATTCAAAATGTGCAACAGATAATTTTGTGACACAGATCGGCATAAATTATAGCTTAATCTGGGTTACAAACAATAATACTGTAAAGTTTCAACAACATCCGTTCAGTAGTTTTTGCGTGAAAGAGTAACAAACATCCTGACATCCAAACTTTCGCATTTATAATATTAGTAGGAAGTAGGATTTTAGCCACAAAACTAAGTGTGTGTTTTAGCCAAGTTCTTGGACTATTGGCTATTCCAGTACCGGAACCAACATACAGGTTCATTCACACCTTCTATTTGCATTTTGCAGTTATTTTACGACGTATGTGGTTCTTACCCCATACACGCTTCAGCCATTTATGTTGACCTCTGTGCATTGCTATTTCAACCTTATTAGAAAGGACTAGGAACCAAAACAAGTGTCAGAGTTTAATTGTCGATGTTTACGTGCACCATAAGAAAAGAAGACGTGGTAGAGACCCATATCCTACAAAGTATGAAATACCGGCCGAATGGAGAACC